TTAATCCATCTGGTTTGCTGTCATTTAGAATAAATCAAGAAATGTAGGTGATTTCCAACGATCATTCAATTGATGATTTTGGGAATAAAGATTGTGTTTTGCCATCAAAATGTGTGAATGGTTTTTCAGTGTTATCTCGAAATGTTTAATATCCACTGAGCTGAAACTTCAACAATTTAGGTTTTGACAATTCTTTTGTTTTGGATTTTGAGTGGTGTTATTATGGGCAACGAACAAAATGCACGAAAAGCAAACAAAATTTAAAAGAATTTCCCCACTGGACGCATAGATTTTGAATGGTTGGGTTACAATCCGAAATTCTCATTGCCCCAAATACCTTCCCTGGCTAGCTGTACATCACCTGAAAAAGCCATCTGATTTTTTTCCCCTTTGTAATAATACACGGAATCTAATTAGGGAAATAATTCGTCAGCAGGTTATGTTACCAATGAGTACATATATCAATTTTCTCTGATATCTTTCAGTCAAGTGATTGCTGACCTTCACAAGTCAAACTCCATCAAGTTGTTCTGAAATGATTCCAGCTGAAATGCATGTGCAGGTCGTAAGGTCGCACCAATATTCCATGTGTGAAATCTGGGAAACGAATAGGTAGTGGAAATGGAAGGGACACATGGGGCATTCCACCCCCCAAAAAACAAAATTCTGCCAAATTTTGGATCAAAAGATGAAGAGAAACAGTAGCCTCTAAATAATCTGTTGCCACAAATATACTGTTGGATCTCAGCAATTCCAGCATAACGGACATAACAAATCTGTCAATTTTATTTTGTACTTTAGGAGCTCATTGAATAAACCTGAAAATGTATTTTATTTTTCAAATCTGATACTGTACATCCATCATCTAGTAATGGTCAAGGAGATTACAGACTAGGAGTTTTGGATCATCTCTCTGAATTTCTCTCTGAATCATCTCTCATGGTTACATGTAATTGGCTCTGTCACGGACATTACATATTTTTTGAAAGGATTTGTTCTTTTTGCTGTTCATAGTGACTACATAGTTTGTAGAGTGTTAAACAGTTTGTAGAGTGTTAATAATTACATACACATGTAACTGCATTCTGCAGTTTTGAAGACGACACAAAACAAATTTCACTGAGTGAGCGTAATGCATGAGTCATATGCAGGTTTTTTCTTTTTTACCTGTTCATCACTGACCCTGTCCATCCCTAACGATATGATCTCATCAGAGGAATTTCCCCCGACAATGTTTAGACAACTGGGCACCTGTGGTTGCAGTTCTTGGCCAGTGTCTGATCCTGGTCCGTAATCGCCTACTAATCTGTAAATGTTTCCTGGGAGCAGGACTTGCCGCGCTGAAATGCTGTCTGTAGCATAGATGCATAAATCTGAGGTGTTCTGGCAATATGAGACAGAACTGGGCAGAGGTCGAAATGAGGGCTTGTTGAAATTAGGAAAGAGAATTAAAGTTGGCATGATCAACAAAGACATTGACTTTCGAGGGACGACTAGCCTTGGGTTGCATAGCTGCATTGGTAGAGTGTCCGTCTTGTACTTTGGAGTTTGAAGGTTCGAATCCCAGTCCAGACAATTCATTTGTTTGAAAAAGATAGAAATTGAAAAATATACATGTACCAGTGTAATCGTCTTTGTTTTTGAATTTATTTTGATGAAGGACGTTAGTGTTTCTCACCTACCGGTATTCATATGAAACTGAATGGTATAAAAGTCGTACAAAAAAATGAGACATAACTGGGCAGAGGTTGAAATGAGGGCTTGTTAGAATAAGGAAAGAGAATAAAATTCTCCTTACAATACTGTTTGTTGCACTTCAATCGGACATTCCATTGACAAGCTATTTCTGTTTAATGTTCGCATTTATCGACATGTCAATAAAGAACAATATCGAGAAAAAGGCCTTTAAAGGTTTGAGTTTTGTGAAAATGAAAGATGCCAATTGTTTTTTTCTTAAAAAAACCCAAAACCACTTTTATTCCACAATTTTTATAATATTTCTTTAACATGTGTAGTAGAAATAACAAAGATTATAAATATCAATAAATCAGAAAATCTGACAAAAGCTGCCCCCATTCGCTTTTTTTGTATATTTCTCCACTACGACTTATGCCCAGTGCCATTTCATTTTGCCAGAATGCCGCATAAATAAGGAACTGAGCATTTAGGACCAACATGTACATTGTACATTTCGAGAGGTATAATGTGGCCTGGTGATATGGTGCACCAAGCTTCTAGCTTCTGAATGGTGCCCTGCATTTTTTATTAATAATAATAATGGGTATTTTTAAAGCGCATGTATCCACCACCAGGACTGGTGCTCAAGGCACTTCATCATTATTACCCCTGCTCATTGGGCCCATGAAACATTCCAAACACCATCTCAGCTCCCTGGGGAGTATACAGCTCGAAGCTAATTCAATCACCATAACCACCTCTGCCCTCACAGGTACCCATTTACTCCTGGGTAGAGAAGCAATGAGTGACAGAGTGCCTTGGCCAAGGGCACATGCACCATGACCTGGGGCTGGACTTGAACCCACAACCTACAGCTTTACCCACAGACCACGAATCCAATGCCCTTAACCACAAGGCCACAGCACTTCACAAAATGGGTTTTAATAACTACATGTAGTTATTAAAACGATTAGTCTAACTTGGACTTAACGCTATTTGGATTTTTGGTGGATGAACAAAATAATTTGGTGCTTTGTGAAATAAAAAATTTACTTTCCTTTTTGTTTCATACATGTACCGGCAACTTGAAATGCAGCAGTTTCGTTAGTGTAGAAGTGCCATGCCGAAATTCCAATTTGAAGCAGGCATCCTGACTTTAAAGGGAATATACATCATTTGCTTTTGCTGTAATTTTCAGAAATGGATGGAATTGGGGGGTTGGAAATATAAAGCAAATATAGTTACACTGACTTTTTGGAGGTTTTGGGTTCGAAAATGCTATGAAAACAAAGAAAAACGATCATTTTCCTGTAGTCTGGTTCCCTGACTCCATATAAGAAGAAACAGAGCAGTTTACATACATTGGGGAATTGTAAGGTCAGGGAACCAGTCTAGCTGGCTCATACCCGTTCATAGGTTTGTAATCGATTGAAAACAAGTGCAATGGTCAATTGGGTCCAGTATTTGAAAAAAAAGCCAGATGTTTCCAACGCTGATCGGCCGATCAGCGTTGGAAAATTGATACAAAAATACCACTTTTCTTGAAAATGACAGTATACCAGGTGCCATAATTTTACAGGATGCTTTAAACTGTCATTTACCAACATCCTATTAAGGTATTTCGCAAAAACTTGGTAGTTTTATTTTTCGATGTTTGCAAATGTTGTATATTCCCTTTAAGCTCAAAATGTAAAAATGTGGAGAAAAAATGCATATGTGCACTTTGGGCAAGAAGTATTTACACATCCCACTTCCCGCCAAAAAATCGCAGTTCGTGTGTCAATACATCACCGGATCCGAAACGCCATTATTTCTGCTTTTTGTTTGCACATACTGAAAAGTTACCATGGTCATGAATCAAGATTTTTTTTTCTGCTCATGTGAACCTTGGCACGGCAGGGTGCGGCCTTAAACTAAGTAATGTGTCCAGGGTATCCATGCTGCAGGTTACCAGTGTTGCAGGGTACCAGTTTTCGTTATTTACACAATCAGTCCACCATTCACATGCAATGTTGCACCCCTGGGCCCCTGAATGGGGTCAATAACTGCTCAGTCTAGACTATTGTTTGTTTAAGGACCTTTAGCCCAGAGCAATTTGTAGTTGTGAAGGACTCTAAGCACCGTTTTGAAAACTTGAGCTTTACAGCTTTCCTATCTTTTTTTGTGGTTAATGTGGCTCAGGTCCTATACATTACAAGAATGTACATTTGTACTGCGTTTTAGAAATTGCATTGTCCTGAAATATGGAAGCCATTTTTAATGTTAAATTATCAATGCCCATGGGATATTGCACTCAGAAAAACAAAAAATATCCGAAACCAATTAACTTTCTACCGTAGCAGATAAAAATAAGTTTCAAAGTTTATCACCCCACCCATAATTCCCGTAGTATCACATGAAATGCAACTCAAACAGACCTGACTCCTTCAGTAGTTTACAACTTTGTAGACAACCTGTGGAGGTACAATGAATGTTAATGTCTGATACAGTGTTCATCAGTCTCTGTTGTACATGTCGCACTTAAGTTACCGTTCATGTAAATGTTTCTGGGCAATATTAATAATGTGGTGTTACAGCGGTAAATACCAAAGGTTTCAAAGCGCTTTACAATTATTATCCCTGTTGATCGTGAATGAGACCGTTTTTCTGCAGCAGCTCAGGATCAGCGCGATTTGGTCTCTACCTTCACGGACACAGGTACCCATTAATACTCCTGGATGGAGAGAGGCAATTGTAGTAAAGAGTGTTGCCCAAGAACACAAGTACCATGTTCCCCATCAGGGTTTGAGCCCACGTACCACCTCACATATGAGTAATTGACCACCGTAACCATTGGACCACAGCGCCCCACTAGTAAGCTTTGGGAAATCTTGAAGCAACTTTCCAGCTGACAATGGGCATTCATGTAAAATTACCAAGGTTACAGATTCTGAACCAAGGACTCAAGAAGCTGCACTGTTGATAATAATGAGGAATGCCAACACAGGAATGAAAAGTCCAGCACTGGTACGATGTTCCAGAGGTTGGGGGTTCGAATCCTGCTCTTGATGATTGCTTCAATCTTCCTTTCCTCTTGATAAATGCTCCTCGATCAGTTGATGATGTAGCTTGTCTGCAGGGGGTGCAGTAGTCGTTCTTTCTAAAACTGCCAAAAAAAGAGAGTGAATTTTGTAATCCTGAGCACAAGCTTGACACAGCACCAGCAACATTCCAAGCATCTTCTCCAGTCCTTTCTCCAGTCCTCGGATCCTCGCACATGATCCCAGGTCATAAAAAAAAAGGCGTGTAAATCAAAACATTTTTGAATTTGTTTTAATTCTCAGATCTCGGATATCAAGATCGAGGGCCAGCACCTGCAGCCCAAGGAGGCCCTCCTCCACTGGGCCAAGCAGACCACAGACAGCGTGCCGGGCGTCCGCATCACCGACTTTGGTCGTAGCTGGCGGGATGGCCTGGCCTTCAACGCCATCATCTACCGCAACCGGCCCGACCTGGTGGACTTCAACAACCTGCGGCCCTCAGAGCACAAGAAGAACCTGCGCAATGCTTTCACCACTGCTGAGAAGCACCTTGGAGTAACTAGTCTGTTGGAACCAGAAGGTGAGTCTTCAACCCACCTATCCCATACCCTCCACTCCCCCTACCCCTCCCACCATTGCTTAGAAGCACCTAGGAGCTACTAGACTGTTGGAACCAGAAGGTGAGTCTTCAACCCACCTACCCAACCCCTCCCCTTCACTTCCCCTACCCCTCCCCACCATTGTTTAGAAGCACCTTGGAGTTACTAGTCTGTTAGAACCAGAAGGTGAATCTTTAATCCCCTGAACCCGCTAACCCCAACCTCTTCTCCCACCAAGAAGAATCGTGGAGTGATATACTAGTCTGTTGAAGCCAGAAGGTGAGTCTTCATCACTCCTACCCCAACCCCTACAATCCCGGCCAAAATGGTTGGGACTCTTCCTGAGCCTGCCACGGTCACCCACTCCCCCACTCCCCCGGTCAATGTTGTTCTCTCCAGCTGATGGAGCACACATCGCGCAATGAGAGACAACATTGAACGGGGGCCGGGGGGTTGGGGGCCCAGCGAGATTTGGCCAGGATTGTAGCTACCCCAACCCCTAGTCCTAACCCCAACCTCTTCTCCCGCCAAGAAGAATCATGGAGAGATGTATTAGTCTGTTGGCGTCCGGAGGTGGCTTCAACCCTCCTACACCTACCCCAAACCCTATCCCTAGCCCTAGCCCTACCCATATCCCTGCCCCTTCCCCTACCCCTGCCCCTTCCCCTACCCCACCATTGCATAGAAGCACCTTGGAGTTTCTAGTCTGTTGGAGACTGTTGTTAAATTGTTCAAAGCAGCATTGAAATAATGTATAATCTAAAACAAGAACAGTGTTTGTCCCTGTTACCTATTTGAAGTCAGTCCATCAAACTTTTTGGATTCTGTCACTTTTTCCCTTAGATGTGGATGTCCCCGAGCCCGATGAGCGTTCCATCATGACCTATGTCTCCTCCATGTACGATGTCTTCCCCACGGTCCCCCCAAAGCCAACCAAGACATCGTCCATAACCACCACACTGAAGACGTCCCGGCAGACTGGTCCCTCAACTGCCGCCTCGTCCTCACATGTCCAAGAGATGCTTGTCCAGCCCTCTAGCAGCCACACTGTCTCCAGCGCCCCATCTTCCGCTAGTGTCACCAATGTAAGTTTTTTGGTTTTGGGGATCAGTGTTGTGGGAACTTATAGATGTGAAGAAGCAAGTAGTAAAGAGAAAAAGAAGTTGAACAAGCAGAAGTCAAATCACAAGTCAGATCACAAGTCAATCACAAGTCAAATCACAAGTCAATCACAAGTCAGTAACAAGTCAAAGTACAAGTCACTCACAAGTCGTATCACAAGTCAAATGACAAGTCTATCAAAATTCAAAACACAAGTCTTTTACAATTTTTATGAAGTCAATTTACAAGTATAATCGCGGGTCAAATTGCGAGTCAAATGATAGTCAAAATGGCAAGTGAAATTGGAAAACAAAGTGGGGTCAAATTGCAAGTCATATTTTGAGTCAAATCGCGAGTCAACTTACATTCAAATAGCAAGTCAAAATCCCGAGTCAAGATGTGAGTCAAATGGTGAGTCAAATTGCGAGTTAAGTCATGAGTCAATATCCAGAGAGAAATCGCAAATCCAATTGTGAGTCAAATCGTGAGTCAAATCACCAATTGACCACGAGTCAATTCAATATAAAAGTCAAATCTTAAGATTCAATCAACAGTCAAATCACAAGTCATATCGCCAAAATCCCAATCGACCAATTTATAACTTTACATATAATAACAATTATGTACACAGATTTCATTCCTTTTTTCAGAATCTAACAGCAACTCCGTTTTTAACCCCCCCCCCCCAAAAAAAAATTACATCTAATTTCTTATTGCTTCACTTACCTGGCAATGCATTCTCATTAGTAATCATTCCTGAACAACCAAAATACACTACTGTACGGTAATCCATCGGCTCATAATAAATGTAAACTTTTTGTGTGTGTGTTGACTTCAGGGCACTGATCCCCAGTGGGAGGTGTACGCTCAGCCGGCTCGCCAGATGATGGACTGGGTCAAGCGCACTACCACCATGATGGAAGACCGTAGTATTCCCCAATCTACGTCTGAAATCAAGGTAAAGAAAAAAGAAAATAGCCATGCTATTTTTCCAGCAGTACCAAAAGTTATTCACTTTTGAATGAGACAGGCCCACATTTAGTTTTGAAATAATAAGTGACCAGGCAAATATATTTTGTGCTTATTAAAGTTCCATCCTAAGTAGGTCAGTGAAATTTTGGCCCTGACGTGTGAAGGCTTAGTTTGAAAGTGAATGCGAAAACAGGTATAAACCTGTTTTTGCTAAGCAAAAATGCTTAGTGTTATTATATTCATTATATCCACAACAATGTCATTTCGAAGTTTTTCTTGAATTTCCTTGTAATTTTTTTTACAACAGAGAGCTCTAGCTGATCTAAATCGCTTCAAGTCTGAGGAGGTCCCCACCAAACAGGCTGAGAAGCAGCGCATCGCCAACAAATTCCGAGATGTGGAGGTGAGCTTGGCTTCTTCATAACTTTCAAGACTCTCACAAAACTTTTTGGTCACTAAAGCATGAAATCCCCCCTTTTTTTCTGTCTATGGCTGCAGCTATTGGCATAAGAGTGCTTCGGTGAAAAGCCTTTTTCACAGAAAACGGTTGTTTTTGATATGGCCCGTTTTGTACATTGCCCGTTTTTGACATGCCCTGTTTTGGACATTGCCCATTGTGGACCTGACCATTTTGGACGTGGCCAATTTGGATATGCCCCTTTGTGGACATGGCCCGTTTTGGACATTGCCCATTTGGACATTGCCTCATTTGTACATTGCCTCATTTGTACATGCCCTGTTTTTAAAGGACTGTTTGGCATGGCTCTCTTTGGACATGGCTTTTTTTGGACATGCCTCATTTGAACACGTTTCATTTGGACATGGCCTATTTGGGACCTGTTCCATTTTGGATGTGCTCCATTTTGGACATTGCACATTTGGACATGACCTGTTTTGGACGTTTTCCTTTTTTTTGACCATCCCGGGTTGAACATGGCCTATATTCCTTACTAAATACAACATTGCCTGAATTTCTGTTCATGGCAAGAAGTCAATAACGTTACCCGCTTGAAAGGAAAATTTGACATTGCGTCTTGGTCGATTTTCACAGAGGAGCACCAGATCCACAGGCCAGTTTCGTCCCCCGACTGGCCTGCACATCAACAACGTAGAGTCTGCCTTTGACCGCTGCAACCTTGCCATACAGCAGCGAGAGCACATCCTCAACTCGGAACTCCGCAGGTACATGAAGGCTAAGGCCGTGTCCGAATCACCTAGCTGTGGCTAGCAGTTTCACACATGTCTATGGGATGTGGATTAAGCCACATCCATAGACACGTGCATAATTGCAATCTGTAGCCAAGCCCTTTAAAGCTATAGTCCATCATTTGTAATTTGTGCATTTTGTTCGTTTGAAGCAACAAAAGGGTTCAAAATCTAATGAAGGATACTGAACAACTAACCTGATGAAGTTTCAGCTAAGCTTCAGCTGTACATATCGAGAAAAACAGCATTCTAAGATCTCAATTTCAAATCAAAAGTTACTGAATCATGTTTTGAATTGTTTTGAATTGCAGCCATTCGCGACGTAGCGCACTGATCCGACGAATTATAACAACCGCGCGCGCGTGTGTGCGTCGTTCCAATACTTGTGCGCGCTGCGCTGAATAACAAAACGAACTACTAATTTAAATTTTCCTACGGTGCTTCTTAAGAATCACCGTTGGAAATGCCTTCTTTCGTTGATTACTTCAAAATGACAGCTTCCCAGAAGGAATAATTTCACAGGGAGTTTAGTTCCCTTACTATCTTTCAACCAAGCTTGTTTTTCAACAATAATTACGCCAGTTACTTTTCGGATGGCTGCAAATGATGGACTATAGCTTTAACATGCACATAAGTGCATATTGAAATGTTTTGCTGACGCTTTTAGAACTTCTCAGTAACAAACACAGTTTGGTCCACAAAAGATTGTTCTGTATAGCGGTTGTGTGTCATTTCAGTTTTTCACCACCGTTGTTCATTTTAATTGTCAATAAATTCAGGAGCTGAAGGGGATGTTCCTCATAGGGAATGTTGAGTATGGTGTTCTTTATAGCGGCGTTAAGTGTGGCTGTTTCTCCTCATGTAACTTAATTCTTGAATTGACATTCCTCTCGCATCCATTCAGCCTACGATTTATCTAAATTCGAGAAGACTTGAATCAAATATACAAATCTAAGATATTTGTCCAATCATTTTAAGGTAGCTCTGCCTATAACCTTTGAGGTTGTGGCTTCTCGGGTTGACCCCCAAAAACTTCAAGCCTGGTATACTTTGACTGACTTGATCAGTTTTCCCCCTGAATTTTGCGTTCCAGAATGGAGCAACAGGACGCCCTGGCCGACAAGGTCAGCCGACAGATCCCCATGGTGTCGGCTGACCTGGACACCATTCAGAGCAGGATTCACGACGCCGAGGGCAAAGCTGACAAGATGACGGCCACCGATGTGCGCAACACCATTGACGACATCGAATCGGCCTCACGGGTAAGAGCAGAGTCGTAGTCACATCCCATCACAAGTCTAGTCACAAGTTTAATCACAATTCATATGAATAGTCAAACCACAAGTCAAAACACAGGTCATCCACAAGACAATCAAAATTCTGAAATTTGTCCGATTTTTTTTTGCAGACTTGTGACAAAAATATTGCCATCCTGATGCGGGAGGTTGCCCAACTGAGGACCAACAACCACCCAAACGGGGCTGAGCTCGCTAGAAAGTGAGTAGAGTCCAGTTGTTTAAATTGTCATCATCTATCTAAGTATGTGGACATGTTCATGGATTATGATTTATTATCACCCCTTGCTCATTGTGTCTGTGGACTCGGGGCATGTTTTTGTTTTATTATATCAACAACATGGTCCGTATTTATGTTTTATTGTCGCCTAGGCTGGAGCAGCTGCAGCAGCGCCTGGCCACGCTGCGCAACTTCCAGATCGCCGGCACCACCCAGAAAGTGACCACCCGCACCACGGTGCAAGGCGACCAGGTCAAGCTGGAGCGCCGCGTGGAGATGCGCACTGAGCGCCGCTTCGTGGAGGGCAACGTGAACCAGTTCATCAAGGAGTGCTACAAATGGGTCCAGAACAAGGAGGTAGGTTACCGCGCCCCGGCCTCTCGTGGCTGTGGCTACTGCAGCCGAGATAGGCCATCAGCCTGGGGGTTTGGCCAGTATCAAATCAGGGCATAAATGATTATGGTGCGCATGCGCAAGGTATACCACCCCTAGAGTGGTAACAAGCATTTTGATGGACATTTTGAAAAAAAGGGTAGTAACACCCAAAAAGCTGCCACCGCTGCAATGCTATCACATATTTTCCAACTCTGGAGGTGTACACCTTGCCAAAAATCGCTATGACGATTATTCCCCTCATTTGATACCGGTGGCCAAAATTTTTGGACCGAGGCTGATGGCCTAAGACAAAGCTGGATTGGTCAATGTTTTGAGAAAACAAAACTAAACAAGTGTGGCATTGTTTGTCGAACCCACTTGGTGTATATAATGGTTTGTAACTCTTTTTTTTTTCTTTTCTGTGATTTGGTATCTTTTCTTGTTATCGTGTGATTGCTTTATGGAGTTATTCTTGGAGCGACACATAAGGTTATCCTGGGAAGGGCTGAGTTTACGCAAAACAAACAACACATGCATTGTTATTCAAATTACACAACTATTATCAGTTGTGTTCCGCAAAGTGGGTATTGAAGTCATTCAAATACACGACATAATTGAGATATTGAGTGAGACACCATTTTTGATAAGTTTTGATTAGTTAACTCTGTTATTCCATTAATTGTAACAGAATTTTTTCTGATTGTTTGAGATTGGAAAAAAAAATTCCAAGCAAAAATTGTATTCCTCAAATTGCAAAAAAACCTAAGAATTCTGACCAAGATTTTTTAACCTTGGTTGCTTTTATTAGCTTTTGATATCAGTGAAAAATCTTTTGATAATTTGTTTTCAAATTCCTTAGCATTTTGCACGGATTTTGTTCAAGAATTCAAACTGATTATGCCTTTTGGAATCACCCAGCATATATCTGCATAGAGGGTGTCATTTTAGCAATTTTTACAGCAGCCTACCAACTGAAATCATTTATAACTTATCTGTCTTTGTGTGACAGTCTTCTCTGAAAGTTGCCAGCTACGGCGACGATCTGGAGAAAGTGCAGAAAGCCCTGCAGCAGAGCAAAGCAGAGCTGCACGCCATACGAGAGTACGAGCGCAACATCTCCAAGTGTCGCAGCGTCCTGGTAAGTTAAGTTCAAGACTGAGTTGGATTTTATTCCCCTAAAAGGGACAGTCTCCGGAAAGCGCAGTAAAGCCGCCACAGTGGTAGAGGGCACTATCATCAACATGAATCAAATCCAGTCTTTGGAACTTGGCAGTGCTACCCAGGAACTCCGAGCATACCTCACTCATGCTGTATTCAAAGTAATGCCTGCGCGCATGAGGTATGCCCAGAATGGGTAACGCTGCCGAAGTTCCAAAGTCTCCCTTGGATTCACCTTGTGGACAGTGACCACTACTGTTGCGGCGGCTTTACAGCATTACGTAGCAATCCTCGGCAACATGGTTTGTATGGCTTTTTGTTGGCTTCTTACTAGCACACCTCAAATTTGGAGAACTGCCATTGCATAGCTAGCTAGCTCACGTGGGACACACCACCATTGGCACAGCGTTCAGGAGGTCCTGTTTGAATCCCACTTCTGCCACCTTTCTTTGTTGAACTGAAAATGTTGACCACTTTACGTTTTTTCTTATATTTGAATAGTCCAACATGACTGGAGAGGAATTGCAGCGTAACCAGGAGCAGATCGCCATCGTGGAAGATGCTTACAAGCAACTCCTGGTAGGTCCAATCAAATTATCGTTTCTTATTTTTGGTCCAGTTTTCTGCTGTGGAAGGTTTCTTGACTGACTCAGACATAGGCAATGACAACGTTTATGACGGAACATCTATGCACCAGATGTATTTTCTTTGCTGTGAATTTTATTTTGTAAAACTCCCTAAATGTTATATTCACTTGTTTAGATCTTATTTGTAAATGCACACACACACCTACATTTTCCTAGTATCAGGGTTCCCACAGTCATGGAAATATCCTTGAAAATCCTGGAAGTGGAAGCTATTACATAAAGTGGTGAAAAAGGCATGGAATTTTGTTAGCAGAGACATGGAACGTTGATATTCCAAGAAAAAAAGTCAAGGAATCCTGCACAAACCGTACGTGATGATGCGTAATATTTGGCTGTGGCAGTCTTCCAGTTTGTATTCCAGTTTAAATACTATACTTCCTCTTCATGCATGTATGCTTTATACTACTTGCGTGTTAAGCGCACCATTGTGATGCTTTTGCGGTGCTGAGTGGTCTTGTGCCAAATGGGAAGGCTGAAAGGGCTGAAAATTTTTAAATAAGCTCATTAGATGCCAAAAAGAAACAGCCTAGGCATTGGTCATGGAAAACTCTAATATTGTTCTGGATTAGTCATGGAATGCCATTTTAAGATTTCTGGGGGAACCCTGAACCTTATACAATGTATGGGAACCTTATACAATGTATAACATTTCCTAATGAGTTACTATCTCCCACCACCAGGAAATGGCCGTCAAGCGCGTGCGGGACATTGAGATCCTCCTGGACTTTGTCCAGCTGGCCACCAAGGAGATGATGTGGATGAACCAGCTGGAGGACGAACACGCCAACCGAGACTGGAGCGCCAAGAACCTCAACATTGCCGAACTAGAGAAACACTACAAGGTTAGTATAAAGTTGTTAGTAAAGTCGTTGGATTTGTCCCCTGAATTCATCCGGTCCCAACCCTGGCAAGCATGGTCAAGCCATTGCAGAGGCAGGGGTCGCTAGATGAAAAAAATGCGGTCTGAGAAAGATTGACAGCGCTACCCAGGAGATTCCAAACCTAGTCTCAAATTTAGCCACTATCATTGTTTGTCCCCTGTAACTTGCTGAAGCCGCCACGGCGGTAGATGTAGTTGTCCACCAGATGAAACAAATCTGGTCTTGGGAACTTTGGCAGCATTACCTGGAAAATTCCCAGTCTTGTCTCAATTCGAGCCACCATCTTTGTTTGTCCCTTGTAACTTATTGAAAATGTCAAGGTGGTGGAGATCGCTGTCAACAAGATGAGATAAATCCGGTCTTGGGAAGTTTGGCAGCGCTACCTGGGAAATTCCCAGTCTAGTCTCAATTGGAGCCACCATCTTTGTTCGTCCCTTGTATCTTATTGAAGCCGTCAAGGTGGTACAGATCACTGTCAACAAGATGAGACAAATCCGGTCTTGGGAAGTTTGGCAGCGCTACCCAGGAAATTCCCTGTCTAGTCTCAAGTCGAGCCACCATAGTTGTTTATCCCCTTTTACTTGTTTAACCTTAGTTGCTGCCTGTTGAACTCGATTGGGTTATAACTCCTTTAAATCTGTTTTTTTTCCCCTGTTCCCCAGACACTGATGCGAGAGATCCAGGGACGTGAGCGCCAGTTCACGTCGGTTCAGAACCACGGGGACCGTCTGATGGTGGAGAACCACCCTGCCAAGCCTTGCATTTCAGTGAGACCCCACCCCCTCCCTTCCTTCCCCCCCTGCCAAAGCTTTGTGACCCATTTTGTGTATCAAGTCCACCTAGACCATTTATACATCGCTCTAAAACCATCTTTGCAAAAACAAAGACGAATCAGAATTTTGGACGTTACGGCAATGATATGTGACGGGAATTTGTCAATTCGAACACATTTCAACTCTGGCAAATTTTGCTGGGAATGTTAATGTTTTAAAATGAATATATATATATATATTAAATATCCCACCTATTTCTGTGTTAAATAGTTCAATTATCTTTATTGCGTAAGATCCCAAAACTTCACGACAAAATTACTTGAACTCCCGTTTAAAAAAAAGAACATTTGACTCCAAAGTTCTGTTCTAGAACCAGTCCAGAACATCCCAGAAACTAGTATCTCTGGTCGAGTCCTGACTCTTTTATTGATCTATTTCTTTCTCTCTGTCTTTCCTTTGGTAATTTCCCTCCAACCCCTTTTCTCCACCTTGCTCTTTTTTGCGACCCAGGACCATATGTCTGCCATGCAGTCCCAGTGGAACACTGTGACCCAGCTGGCCAACTCGCTGGAGACGCACCTCAAGTATGCCGCCGAGTACTTCCAGGTAAACCCTCAAGCTCCACCCCCAGTCCATCCAAACCCCACCCTCAACATTCCCCCCCCCCTCAACCTCCCCCCATTGGGGTAGAAGGGATAAGCAGTTAAATCTGACACATAACAGTCATTGAACAACACTTGCCCATTGCCATGCAAGGGGTTAAACAATTTGTGTTTTCAATCCACCACATATTCGCATTCAACCCCACCCATGCCCCACCCATGCCCCACCCATGCCCCACCCATGCCCTACCCATGCCCCACCCATGCCCCACCCATGCCCCACCCATGCCCCACCCATGCCCCACCCATGCCCCACCCATGCCCCAACCTTGCCCCATCCTTGCCCCAACCAGATATGGGCTTTATCACTCCAGCCCCACCCAGGGGGAGAGATAAAGGAACTATCATACACACCGGCCAGCTTTAACCCTGGGGTGCCTGACAAATACCCACACACACCCGTCATCCCCACCACATTTTTTCAAGAGATACCCATACATGTATATTTGTCAAACATCAAGATTTGTTTTCCAGTCTGTATTTCAAACATCATTACATCCATTTTATAAAAAAATTGTGTAAGATTGTTGTCCATATGACCCCTTATGTGAAGCCAGTATGTAAAGGTTATCCCTTTCAACTGAGGACATCAAACAAATACCTAAAATAAAAATAACTCTGAGGACCTAAGCCTAAGTCCTCAGTTATTTTTGTAATACAAACCTTATGGGACATGTCAACCCTGAGGACCTCAGCTTTTGTGCACAAATCTTATTTGGTATGAGCCCAAGTCCTCAGTAGTTTTTACTACCAACCCAATACAAGAGATGTTAAGGCCTAGTCCTCAAACAAACCATATGGGAGATGTCAACTTTGAGGAGCCAAGCCCAAGTCCTCAGTTGTTGTATACAACCTTATGGGACATGTCAACTCTGAGGACCTGAGTCCAAGGCTTCAGTAGTTTTTTGTGTAGAAACCTTATGGGACATGTCAACTCTGAGGACCTACATGTAAGCCCAAGTCCTCAGTTTCTGTGCACAAACCTTATGGGACGAGTCAACTCTCAGGACAAAAGAAGGAAATAGTATGACTCCTCGGTAGTACTTTAGAGCCAACTTGTTTCTTCTAGAATTTAGTACTTAGAAATGTTTATACCACAAATGAGCAAATACAACTTTTGTCAGTGCTATACAATCCAAACACAGTTGGGTACAAGAACCCACATACATAGGGTGCAGGATTCGAACATGCGATTATTTTACACGGAACTTCATAGCAAGGGGGCCGAAAGATTGAAGTTAAAATAAATTGGTTTACTTTTTGAGAGAAAAAAAAAACAAGAAAAGGAACAATGCTCCACAGTTCTATGCTTGTACTCATCAAGCCCTACTACCAACTTTCACAAGCTTTTTAAACCTTCTGTTGAAAACTGCTGAACTGGCGTTTTTCATTTTTGATAAATTTGAGTTTTAATTTCCAAAAACCAAGTTTGGCTTACTAATGCTGTGGATCAAATATGATTTTTTTTCACCAGACACCTGCTTTGCTTAATTCGCTGGTTAATGTGAATGTGCAGTGTACACCCTTTGCAAACATACCCTAGCTCACCAGCACACTACAATGAACAAATGACACCCCCTTTCCTATTTTTTACTCTAGAGTTCTTTACATTAGTGTTTTTCATAATCCTGATAATGGGAGAATTTGACACGATCTTTATTGTCTCATATTAGTTAGCACTACTCATTTGTACAATACTTCCAAAATTTCATTGTCTGAATAGTCACAAAAGCTTGAAAATGCTCATTTTTTTATTTACTAGACATTGTTAAGTCACCGTACATTTTGATTAGGTCGGGGTTCTATTTTTCCTCAAAGCCAGATGCGTTTAGTAGATGTTTAATACCTAACTGGACCTGTTGTTTTTTTAACACGTGTGGTAACAGTGTTCAATGGTCTGCTTATTCACACTCCCACCTGTTTGTCATCCCATGCTGCATTTATTATGCAAATGATATGCGACACTCACAAACACTCAAAACCTATTAACTGGTCCCTCATGTTTCGCATGAAATATTAACGCAGTAACTCAAAAACAACTTAATTTTTCCCTTAAAAAAAAGCTTGCATAAATCTTAGAACAGTATTTTGCATGATCTGACATTTTAACAGTTAATTCCAGTCATATGGGGGTTTTGGATTGCTATGAATACAGTTGAAGAGCTGTGATTGGACTTTATCGTGATTAGGCCTAATAAGCATAAATTTGCATATTCACCAAATGGCTGGTGTTGGCGCACTGAATAAATAACATTCTCACTCCCCCCCCCCCCAAAAAAAATGAACACTATATGGTCTGTGAAGTTATTCAAAAGTAGAAAGTTTTCTACCCGTGCAGGTTTTCTAATGTCTTAATGCGGTATTGCTAACTAAACTGAACATTTATTGATAATCACAATAAGAAAATTCAGGTTTAATACTTCGATATAGGTGTTTTTTTTTTAAATGTACAATACAGTTTGTTGAGTGCAGCATTTTGCACCGTCCTAAGTTGCAGGCATTTCACATACATGTACTTCATTATTAGAAAAGGTCACCCCATTTTTTGCTTGTAACTTGAAAAAACTCTGTCAAATGATAAAAGGAAAAGAGTTTTCCAGTTGTGCATAAATTATTTTGACTTGTCCCCCGAAATAGCTAGGTACCGGTATGCTAAAAAGAGGTATGCTAAGCGCAGCACACAAGAAGTTTGAACAGAGACTTTTAAAAATGTTATCTTCTCTGAACACTTTGCAGCAACGATGCCAAAACCAAATACAAGCTAGTTGTAGAAATATTCAGTAAAATAGTTCATCAAGCTTTTTCAGTTCCGGATGATAGAAGGGAAGAACGAAACGATCCATCTTTGACTTGAACATATCTTTGCCATTTTTTGGTATACTTGCATGAAATCTGTGGTCTCCTCAGGATGAATGTTTTTTTTGTGCATGATGTTGTCTTATATGTAGAAAATGTTGCATGATATCGTATGTCTTTCGGTGTGCTCTTGGGAAAAAAAAAAACGGCGACGCACGGTGTGTACATGTGTGCATGACATCTCGAGGAAACGAAAACGACCAACTTTTGTCAAATGGCGTGTCTACTGTTTCCTCTCTGATTCGGTGCTGTCTGAGTCTTGTAACCCTGCATGCCCAACCTGACGTCATTCCGTATTTTGTATCGATATCCCCCCGTCTTTCGTTTCCGTACCTTTATTGTTCGTGGAATTCCTTTGGCACACCATATCCACAACCCACCCACGAAATCTCTGTGCGGTTTGCTCGGTAAACCCCCCATCCGTGTTGTCTTTGCATGGTAAGTGGTTCCTGTAATAATGCTGTAAAATGTATATATCCCTAAGCCACAGTTAATTTTTCCTTTTTGATATGTATGTGTATCTTTCATTAGTCCATATATTGTATTCAGTTATTCCATGGTTAATCTTTCCATGATGGTGAAGGCATTTTTTTTTTGAATTCGTGATTTTTTTTTGTGTCAGTATATCCAGATCATTTTTCTTCCTTCGTTCATTTTATGACGTACTAATCCATGTCGCTATTATTAACTGAACTCATTCCTGCGAAACCGATGGGATCATCCATTTCCAGACCTATCATCTTTATACCATTATGATTTGAAAAGAGGGGACAAAAAATCGGGAGTTGTTTACTGTGAAATTGCGCCTTTAAAAACTTTTAGGGAAAAAAAAAGTGTAAAATCTTGCTTGTGGTTTCGGCAGCACTAAGCCAAAAAAGGGACATTTTCATATGAAAAACAGGTCCAGTTGGTAATTGCAGAATGAGATCAGCTCTTTTTTTTTTATAATCTGGCTCTGTCAATATGTCTCAGGTGTGTTTTCACTCTTTAGAAAGAAAAGAAAAAACAAAAAGTCAGTGGAGCCCAGTCAAAAATGTATTGTGACTTGACAATGTAAACTGCACGTAGTAATCATACACAATAGCGATCATGGTAGTACTAGTTGTATAATAGGCATTTACAAATTGGTTTAGTCCCAAAAACGTAATTCGAAATATGGGTTTTAAGCGTATCATAATTAAACCCTTTTTTTTTGTAAATGACCGCAGAAATTTTCAAGTTGGACGATTTTGGTTGCTTTTTGTCCAATTCTTAAACTTGGTCCTGTTCACATTTTGTGAGCGCAACAATAATGTTTAAGTTAATTTCCCTAAATTCTACATTTTATACAAGATTTTTTTTTTTTAGAAAGATTATCCAAACAACTTAAACCCGTTAAACTCCTTACTAGTATTAAATTCAGTACTAACTTAATGATGCACATTAACCTTTTTGTAAAGTTCAACCCAAAAAAGTATACTGAAAAGATCCAGAGATAAAAAAAGGCTTTCTGATAAATTAGAGGAAGTTATAATTAAATATGAATTTTAAACAAAATCTTAAATGTTTAAAACAGACGGGCTCGCAAGACGATACTTTGCACAAGTGGGTTCTTTGTCTTCTTTTTGCAGTACTTTTACGACGTGAAAGAGTTTGAGCAGTGGATGGCCCGACAGCAAGAAATTCTGGTCTCCGCATTGGACAAGAAAGAAATGTCACAAGCGGAGACACAGCAAATGCTCCAAGAAATAACGGTGAGTAGTGAATTTTTTTAAATTTTTTTTTTTAATTTGATTCAAACGAGGGTTATCATACAGGAGAAAGGAAAAAGTTGTCGACCCAAAAAGTGGATCATTGCAGTTGTTCTGTTAGGCCAAAAAAAAAAGTCTCCGGTTTCTGGTATGGAGCTTGTCCAAAAAGTGGTTCGGCGACGCGGCTTTTTTTTTTTTTTTACCTGACTTTTTTGCTTCAAATGTCGGCTGATGACTGCAAATGGTGCCCGACTAAACTTAGTGCAAATATATGGGAGTCCAGAGAGGCCACATAAAGCTTATTCTCGATCATAACCCCATCTAAAAACACGTTAAAATTGTGCAGCAGCAGGATTCCAGTCAAACCAGTGAGTTTGGTGGTTTTGAGACATCATCTTTCAATGAAAAAAAAACCATTTTCATTTTGCCGACGCGCATGGCTACGGCGACGCGCGCGCATACCAGAAACCGGAGACTTTTTTTTTTTGGCCTTAGGAGGGAGGTTTTTCTTACTGTTAGAACTTGCAGACTCTGGGGAAAAAAATTGAGCACATGTTTCTTTTTTTTCCAAGACATTACACGGAAGGTCCCTGTTTTGTTTGGGAAAAATCTATTTTAAAATTGAATAGATCATTCGTTAATAGCATTAAAAAAGTTATGAACTTTCCAAATTTAAAATTGAATAAAAAATTTGATGCAGGCTAGATTTTCAATTTTTTTTTTTAATTCAGCTTTTGAATTAGGAGCGGGACCCTCCTTAAATTCAGCTGTGAATTTGACTCGAGTCTGACTTAAGTCGATATCCACACTGCCATCACAACCCAGTTCAGAATTCCATCATCAATGTCATGCCAAAACTTAACCGAGAACCAGCCAAAAGCAGTGAACACACCACATTAATTTGTTTTTTCACTGGTATCCTGTTTTTTTTTATCGAAGAAAAAAACCTTACCGGCGTCCAGCGCCTTTTGTGCTCTACATCAATGACACAGAATCATCTTTTCATATCTCTTTTTCACTGACACTAGCTAAAATTTTTTTCATGTATTTGTTTTTTCTTGTGTGTTTCCCAACAGATAATGAAACAAAGATTAGAAGAGTATCAGTTGATCTTGCGTGATCTCGCTCAGAGAAGCAGGCACGTTGTGCACCTCAAAAAGCGACGCCAGCGCCTCACCGAACCAATCCCAGTCATCGCTGTGTGCGATTACCCTGGTATTGATGTAAGTACATGAAAATCTTTGGTTTTTTATTATTTTTACTGGTATTTTTATTATTATTAAAAAAAAATTTTTTTTTTAAATTTTTTTTTTAAATTTAAATATTTTTTTTTGTCTGCGCCTTGCTCATCCCTCTAGAGGGCGATAGTCATGAGTTTGTACCGAGTTTAAATTCTTGAGTGGAAAATATGTCATGAGAACCTCACATTTGTCAATGAAATCTTTCCTCTATTAGTATGCTAAGGAAAATAGAGAAACATCGATTAAAACTCTTCTTTTGGGTTATTCATTCGTTTATTGGTCAATTGGAACAGATTTTCATTGATCTATTTACCATGTATATTCATATTTTTTGAAAATTAGTATCAAAAGCTTTGGGTGAAGTTGTGCAAAGTTTGTATGAATATTTTATGAATAGCTTTTTATGAAAATAAAACAGTCTGTTTGAAAATATTCTGAATAGCTTGTATGAAAATATGAATAACTTGCATGAAAATGTTTTGAAGATTTTTTTATTGAAAGATTCTGAATAGCTTGTATGAAAATATTAATAGCTTGTATAAAAATATTAATAATATTCAGCCAAAATTGATTCTGAAATGGTTTGAAGGAAGTTTACAGTTGTAAATTTTTATCTGAATTCCTGTTTTACAGTTGAATGTGGTAAAAGGCGAGGAGTACATGTTGCTTGACAACAGCAATCGGACCAAGTGGCGGGTGGTCAATCGGGCCGGAATGGAGGGGAACGTACCAGGGGTATGCTTCCTCATTCCGCCCCCAAACAACGAGGCGGTAGACCACGCCCTACAGTAAGTACAATAATCCATTACCCGGAAATTACATGGGAAAAAAAAGCTAGCCAGAGTATTGAAAAAAAAAACCACCAATATACCAACTCCTTCAAAAAAGGTAACATTGCTTCCTAATTGTTCGTATTCTCTGTCACAGTGTCAGTTCATTTATGGTTACATTTGATGAAACTGTTTTGCATATGATGACTTCTGAATTTGCATTGATTCATTTCATTCATGCAGACTTGAGGCACAGTTCAAGCATTTAGTTGATCTCTGGAGCTCAACGCACACAAGAATGCAGCAATGGATCCAGCACCTTAGTCAGAGCCGTAGCCAGAGGCAGTCCACACAGAGCATTGACTCTGTCGGACGAACGGCGACTACGGTCCAACATACCCAACAAGTGCCTCAGCAACAGCAGATTGTACAGAGTACGCAAAATGGTCAGGAGCTTCACACGAGATCAACCTCGGCCCGTCGCGTTGTGACTTCCAGAAAGGAGACCACGGAAGATGGTCAGACGTTCATTACGGAGGAGATAACGGAGCAAATGCCAGACGGGGAGACTCACCGGACGGTTACGACCAGGAAAATCCGGACCCAGGAGGTTTATCCGGATGAGATTCCTCAGCGAGCCCCCCTGGAAAGGATGGCTGCGCCAGAGATCCACACTCACCGGACGGTCACGCTGAAGCAGCACACCTTGGGTCACGAGAGCCGAGCACCCCAGATGGCTCCGGATCGGAGCGGCACCTTCCCCCAGGCCAAACGCCATGCCATGCTGCAGCAATTCCAGGAGAACACGGAGCAGATGAGACTGGAAGAAGAGAGGAGGCAGCAGCAGGAGCAGCAGGAGCAGCAGCAGCAAGCCGCTGAGATGGACCTGGAGCGGCGGATGGTCCAAGAAGAGCATCAACGACGGGAGCGTCTAGAGATGGAGCGAAGAGAGGAAATCAGGGTGATGCAAGAGCAGATGGAAGCCGAACGACAGCGAGCCGAACGGACCCGACTGGAGCGGCACCAGCTAGCAGAACAGGCCGAACGGCAGCAAGCAGAACGGATTGCCTATGAGCAGCAGCGAGCTGAGCAGCTAGCCCTCGAGAGGCAACAGGAAGAAGAGAGGAGGCTTGCTGAACAGATGGCTCTAGAGAGGCTGGACTTTGAGATGGCTGTCGCTCAACAGGCCGAGCAGTCGGAGAGGGAGAGTGCCGAGCACATTGCAGCCAAGCGGCGCAAGTTGGATGAGGTGGCCCAGCTGACAGCAAGGCAGAGGCTCGGGGAAGAGATAACCGCCGCCGGGATGCAGTACGAGCGTTTAGTAGCGCAGCAAGCCGCTGTGGCTGCCCAACAGCGACGGCAGCGCCAAGCGCAGCAACCCAGACAACCAGAAGTTGCTGAAAGCATCTCGCCGCATCAGGTGCGTGCCTCAACGCCCCGCGGGATTGAGAGCCGCTTACACCAACTAGAAGACCTCACTGACCAGTTCCAGTCCTCCAGGCCAGAACCAAGACATGATACTCCGAGACGCTCCGAACTGGAACTGATGCAGCAGGAAGCCCGAGAAAGACTCCAGCATCAGCAAGTAACAAGAAACCAATACGTAACATCTGAGCAAGTGTCGACGCAGTACACGCAAAGACAAGAGGACCAGCGTGAAGTTATAAGAGAGCAACAGCGTGCTCATATGATTGAAGACGTAGATACAAGTCAGATAGGGCAATTGGACCTTGTCTCTCAGGAATTGGCCAGGGAGGTTGAGAGCTGTAACCAACTCATTGATGAAATGAGCAATGCATCTCAAGGTAGAGTTCTGATCATTTTTTGTTTGTTTGTTGAGTTGCTTTGCCTTTGATAATGGGACACTGTGAATTTAAACAGGCGGTAACTCAAGGTTTGACTGGAGTTTTATGGGGCGCCTCATGGTTCAACTGCTTTTTTAATTTTGCTGTCTTCCAGATATAAACCATCCCAAAAAATAACAATATCTTCACGTTGTTACTTGTAAAATTTGTGATTTTTTTTCACAGTTTGAAATGCTACTTTCATTTTCTATTTTCTTTACTGAGTGTTTAAATACCATCTCTTTCAAGTGTAATTTCAGGTTGTCACCCAATGACAAAAGTCTATTTCTGTTTTTTTTTTTAAGCCTCGATTTCTTCAGAAGACATGCAAATAGTTGAAACGGTCATGCTAGACATCGATTCATTCCTCAGAAGGCTGTACAAAGCTGAGGAAAGACTCCAATCCATGGTTGAAACACCCCTCCCTCACACAATGGAAGAAGCCAGGGTACTACATAGTGATTTTCAGGTGCCTTTTCATATTTTGTTTCCCATTAACTGAAATTTCGATTTGTGAATTGAGGAACCGTTTATGTTGATTTGTGATTTAATTGTGACTAGACTTGTGATTTAGTTGTAATTGACTTATGACTGGACTTGTGATTTACTTGTGACTGGACTTGTGATTTAGTTGTAATTGACTTATGACTGGACTTGTGATTTAGTTGTAATTGACTTATGACTGGACTTGTGACTAGACTTGCGATTTACCATACAAATATTAAGTTTCTATTAGCGATTTACCACACAAATGTTAAGTTTCTATTAGCGATTTACCACACAAAGGTTAAGTTTCTATTAGCGATTTACCACACAAATGTTAAGTTTCTATTAGCGATTTACCACACAAAGGTTAAGTTTCTATTAGCGATTTACCACACAAATGTTAAGTTTCTATTAGCGATTTACCACACAAAGGTTAAGTTTCTATTAGCTATTTACCACACAAATGTTAAGTTTCTATTAGCGATTTACCACACAAAGGTTAAGTTTCTATTAGCGATTTACCACACAAAGGTTAAGTTTCTATTAGCGATTTACCACACAAATGTTAAGTTTCTATTAGCGATTTACCACACAAAGGTTAAGTTTCTATTAGCTATTTACCACACAAATGTTAAGTTTCTATTAGCGATTTACCACACAAAGGTTAAGTTTCTATTAGCGATTTACCACACAAATGTTAAGTTTCTATTAGCGATTTACCACACAAATGTTAAGTTTCTATTAGCGATTTACCACACAAATGTTAAGTTTCTATTAGCGATTTACCACACAAAGGTTAAGTTTCTATTAGCGATTTACCACACAAATGTTAAGTTTCTATTAGCGATTTACCACACAAATGTTAAGTTTCTATTAGCGATTTACCACACAAATGTTAAGTTTCTATTAGCGATTTACCACACAAATGTTAAGTTTCTATTAGCGATTTACCACACAAAGGTTAAGTTTCTATTAGCGATTTACCACACAAATGTTAAGTTTCTATTAGCGATTTACCACACAAATGTTAAGTTTCTATTAGCGATTTACCACACAAATGTTAAGTTTCTATTAGTGATCGTGTGTGTATTGCCTGTTTTTTGCCGCAGACATTCCATTACGATCTGGCCGAGCTGCAGCCGGTTTACGACCGGATCAGCGACGCCGTTTCCCACATTCTCCAGGAGCGGGAAGGCCAGTATCCAAAACTGGCCGAAAAATTCCACATTCTAAACGAAAAGTGGGACAGCCTAGTCCGTCATTCCAACGCGTGCTCCGAGAGGTAGGCCTGTCTGTTGGTCTGTTCGTTCCACATTTGTTTATTTGTTTGTTTGGAATCATTTTTTTTCCAGCTAATAGGCTTGTTTTTACCCAACCAGTTGTTATTATTATTATTATTGGGTTGAGGTTTGTACTATCTCTAGTTCAGAATCGGTTGAATTTTGAAATTGCCTTATTTCTTGTAAAAGATTGTCTTTGTTATGTCTTGATTTTGCTGTGATTTTTGTCTGTCCTTCAAATGAATATTGTAATCAAGAAGTAGACATTTGATTGCTTTAGAATATTGTTGAATAAATGTGAAATATTGAAGAGATAGAGAAAAAGACTGTTTTACATATTAATTAACTTTAAGAAGAGGGTCAGTATTTTGAAGCTGATTTTTTTTTTTATGGTTGCATAACAGAGTTGCACTGGTAACCGACATAGTGCATACACTGCACAGAGCACGCGAAGTGGTTACCAGCTGTGAAAAAGTCCTGACCTTACATGGCAGGATGCCCGGTGATATGGATAAACATCAGGACCACTTGGACAAAATACAGGTAAGACCCTCTTTATTCATTGTACAGGGCCAGGGAAAAAGTGTGTGTAGCCATATGACAGGGAATGAAATGCGCATATCAGGCTGCTTGGAATTGTGGGTAAATGGGCTTCTTGGGTTGCATGGAATTGTGGGTAAATATGCATATTTGTATAGAATCGTTGGTAAAAATGAATATTAAGTTGTGTTGAATTCTGGGTAAATCTACATATTTGGTTGTATGGAATTGTGGGTATATACACACATGCATGTGTATGGCTTGTATGGAATTATAGGTAAAAATGTTAAATATGCAAATTGGGTTATGTGGAAGTAGGTAAAAATGAAATCTGGGTTTCGTAGAATTGTTGGTAAAATGCCATGTGGGTTTTGTGGACTTGTGGGTGAATGTACAAATTGGGTTGTGTGAAATCGAGGGTACTTAAATCAACCATGACAAAACCATTATAATCCTGCCTACAGCTAAAAACGTCATGGTTAAATGTTTTTGTTCTTCGTTGCAGGGTTTACAAAGAACACTTCCGCCATTCCAGCCCGTGGTGGACAAGCTCAATGACGAAATGGCGCGGGTGCGCAGTCTATCCAAGACCACGCCCACCCACCAGGACGTCCAGAGGCTGGAGAGCGAGGTGCATGGCATCATGGGAAGGTGGGAGGATGTCTGCACGCAGACGCACGAACGGTGAGAACTCGAGCCCTTGTGCATGGTCCTGTGAGGGCGCTATCACTTTCGTGTCACACTCATCAGATCTTGAAGAAATGCCAACATTTGCACTTTTGGGTTAGAGAAACGTTCGCTGGGAAGTTTGGGACATCTTCAGTAAATTGTTTTGAAAGATGTTAGCAGCTTTAAAAGGAAAGATTGAAAAAATCTTTGTTTTTCAAGTTAAACACCATTTTTGTTTGTCTTAATATCCAAATTACTTAGGTTCCTTTTGAATGTTGGTTTCAGCTTGTACAGGCGCAAGACCTTTTTATGCATTAATGTCCATGTTTATTCAAAGTATATCTACATGTATAGCTCAATTTTGTCATGGGGGACTCAAAAGTAGAAATTGGAGCAATGTTTAGGATTTTTCTAAAAAGATTAAGGTAGGAACATGCTGTCTTGCTCTTAGTTTTGCTGCAGATGCAGTGTCAAAGAGTTAGCAAAATGCTTTAAGTTTTACAGTCTTTATTGAGAGTTTGAATTTTGATTTTGATTTAATTTTGTCTTTTTTCTTCTTCTGTGTTGCAGCTTAAAGAGGCTGACCCAATCGGGCGACCTCTTGCAAGAGTTCAACAACCTCCTGACCAGGGAGAGCAACTGGATCTCGCAGGCCGAGGTCACGCTCATGGAGTTTGAGCACGTGGCCAAGGGCGCCCTCAACTTGGAGCAGCAGCTGGTGGCGGCGCGCGACTTCAACACGTCGGTGGCCCGCCACCAGCACCACATGATGGAGGCCAACGGGCGGGGGGAGGTTTTCATTGGACAGGCCCAGGTGGGTAACAGTCATTTTCTCTGAGGGGAACCAGTTCCTTTTTGTTTAAAACGAATTAGTCTGTGGTGGTTGGGAACCAGGTTGGGAACCAGGTTCTGTTGGTTTTTATTGAATTTTCTTTTGCGGGGAACCACTTGCGTTTTGTTTTAAAGTGGATTAGTCTGTGGTGGTTGAGAACCAGTTTCATTTTGATTTTTGAGTGAGTGAACAGGTAGACGGGAACCGGTTGCTTTTTGGTTTAAGTGAATGTGAGTGTAGGATGGTTGGGAACCAGTTTTTGATATTTTTTTTATTGGATGAGTTCATGTTTAGCTGGGAACCAGTTAATGTGGGTTTGAAGGGAGAAGACTTTTTTATTGGAAAGACCCAGGTGGTGTTACCATGGGTTTTGATTTCGTTTTCTTTCGTAAGCGAATGAGCTGGCTCCGTTTTAGAGGAAGAAATTTTGAAATGTTGAAAATTTGAAATTTTGAAACCAGTTGGTTATTTCAACACGGCGTGTGAATGTGGACAAGTCGATTGGGGGAAATCGTAACCAAATTTGCATTCTACTGTTATTTATGTATGAAGATGGACGTAGAGTTAGAACTAGTTCAAGCATAAAAACCAACTTCAAATGATGGTGCGGTGCAAAGTTTTCAGGATTCTGTACGCTCTACAAAATAAGAATTTCCCTTTCATTTCGTTGGTACCCTCCCCTATTGTTGATCCCATTCTTAAACCTGTTTGGATGTGCGCAAGTGCAATGATTGGCCAAAAGTTTCTCCGCATACAGTTGGGTGCATTTGTTTTATTTCAGCTGCTCAAATTGTGTAGAAAAAGAACAATAACTGGCATTTTTAAAGAGAAAAGATTTTTTTAGAGCATGCAAAGGTAAAGTTTAGCTACGGTAGACACCATAAGACACATGAACGGGCAATAAGTTTGAGAGAAATAACTCCATAGTACGAAAAGAAATACTGTTACTTGTTGCATGGTAATTACTTTTTGGAATTGCATAAGTGGCGTTACTTACAGTATTTTGTTTTGCTTTTGTTTCACTTTCAGTCGTACGACTCCATGGTGGAAGCGTACAAGGCCAAGATCCAGCACCACCACCCCCGCACTGTGGCTAAAAAAGACGGCCACATACCGGGTGCGCGGTTGGTCCGCGAGGACATGGAACGACTGAACAGGCGTTACCGTGACCTGGTGGCCCGCGTGAACTTGCGCGTCGACACCATCCATTCCGCCGGAAATTTTAAAAATGTAAGAAAAAAAAGGTTTGTTTAAAACAAAACAAAACATTAAAAGTGCGTAACACTTTGGGATATGTAACACTTTTACCTACTGAAGAATGTTGCAACCAATATACCTAGCGAATTGTAAGGATGGGATTAAACATGGCTTGTGAAAAGCATAGTAAAAACTGACATGTTTCACATGCACAAGCAGAGCATTTGCAATAAATACAACTACAAAAATTGTAAAGATAGGATGAGACTTAGCTTGTAAAAAAAATTTGAAAAAATGCCACGTTTCACTTGCATAATTTTTTTTTCAAATTTTGCATTCATATTTTTTTGCATTTTCCATCCATACATAACTTGCTTGTTATTCATGTACGGATTTGCTCCATTTAAAAAAACCCACCAAATCCTTACATAATTGATTCAAATGATTTGTGATGTTGGATATTTTCAGAAAGTATATTTTTTCTTTTAATCAATTTCATTTTCACAGAACAGCCCTCATTTTGTTTGTGTAGATTGCCCCCTGTTATCTGAATAACATTGGAAAGATTCTCCATTTTTTAGTTTGGAAATAGTTTAACGAAAATGAGGTAAGATACAAAAAAACACTGATCCTAAATTTCAAAAAAATTATGTGGCGAAAGCAACAAGTTGAGATTCCTTTAGTAAAAAAAAAAAGCATAACAACAAATAAACGCAACATCTGTGCTTATTTTCGGATGATATTTAACTTGAAATTTCCACTGATTGAGTAAAAAAAAAGGACTGATTAATTATTAGTCCATCGCAACTCCTTCATTTTTGTCATCTTTGATTCTTATGTGCTGACTGTTTCTCTGTTGCTGGAATTTTTTTTGCTCATTCAGCTGTAACACATCTGATGCTATTAAACCACACATTTATGTACCTCACAAAACCACCACAACCCAAAACAAAAAACAAAACAAGTAATAACTGCAAATCAAGCATCACATATACACATGGCAAACATCACGCACCGCCAAGTGTGAGTCTTCAAATGCAGTCTGAGTGGCAAGTGATATAAACTCGCCGGTAAAAGCTGAAGAAAAATGTACTAACATTTCCTCATAATAACTTGTTGTCCTCTTGTGGGACTGTATTATTCCTGGTTATGTATTAAGCTAGTCAACCGCACTGCCATTCTAGCTATTAGGTGAGTCCTGTCACTATTTTTGCCTCCTTACTCTAAAGAAGTCTTCCCCCTCCTTTTCTTTTTGTATTAACTTGTACCGAATCATATTTGTAATACACCTCCATTCCTTGTTTCTTGTGTGTTGTACAATTTGCAATCCGATCGCTCTTTGACTGATTTCAACATCTGCAACCAACGTCCCTCTTTTTTTTTGCTGCCAGATTTGAATAATATTTCCACATGTACCTTTGGAATGGCACCAAGTCTTGTTGCCTTTGTTATTGTGTCCTGTGTGGAGCTTTTATATATGAGTGGTTTCCCTGTTTGAAAGTTTGAAGGGGGTTACATGTTTTTGGGAAATAAATTTCTCATCAAAATATTTTGTTGGAAGTTTTGTTTGTTCAGCTTTGCCGAGCATTTTCCTTCATTTGTGCACTCTTGCTTCTCTCTACGCCAACTCTTGCGTGCACACGATGTTGTGGCAGTGAGTGCCTTTAACCATTTCATGACTTAGGTTATTGTTTTTTTCCCCCCGTTTACATGATAACAAGGTTTGTATAAAAAAGGAGAAGAAATTCTGCTGTGTGCTACACCGAAAAAGCCTGTTTCCTAGAGAATTTGTGAAAAAATTCAAATTAAAGCACTCCTTTTGTTACTAAACTTAGGGCAAATTACTTAGTTGTACTCAACACACAACAATTTGTTTTTGCTCCAAATGTGTAAGCAATATGCTGCCTTGTATTAGTTATTAAAGCAAAGAAATTGACAAAAATAATCAACTGAATTGCTACAGTTATTTTTGTGTGTGTTTATAGATGAGTATTATGTCTTGTATTAAGTAAATGAAAAACTTTGTAAATTATTGTATCATATGAATAAAACTGATTCTCAGATACACCAATCTTTGTAATATTTTAGTTTGGAATTTGTACATGTAGTTCGTAGTTATTTTGCATTGCATGTTTGCATTTGAAAGTTTAATTCATTAAGCACGTTTCCCCATCTCATTTTCCTTCCATTTATGCATGTCATTTTGGTTATGTGTTTGTGCATGTTATATTATGCATGGTACAATTTTTCAAAATATAGCTTTCTTAGGCTTAGCTGTACAAGTTTAATTCTAAGGATATGTTTTTCTTTTAATAACACATTTTTGTTACAAAGGGGAAGTTCTTTATCACATGTGGATTTGTTGTTTATTTCATTCTGACAATAACCACCACCCTTCTGTTCTGTTTTAGGACCCAGAATCAGCTATTGAAGCGAATCCGATAGTCCAATCAGTGCAAAGTGCCGAGTTGGCGTCTGTACTGATGTCAAAGGTCAAACAGCTGGGCAGCCAGGAGCCAGAAGGTGGCCCGGTTGTTCCCGCGGAGGAGAATCTGACCGAAAAAGAGCCAACGGACAAAGACGCTCTTGGAAATCCAAATCCTATCAAATCCAGAGATCCGAGTTTAAAATCAGATAATCCTCACCCTCAATCTGGAAATCCGCATCCCGGTAATCCGCTTCCTGGTAATCCGCATCCCGGTAATCCCCATCCCGGTAATCCGCATCCCGGTAATCCACATCCCGGTAATCCACACCCCAGTAATCCGCATCCCGGTAATCCGCATCCCGGTAATCCGCATCCCGGTAATCCTCATCCAAATCCAGAGAATCCCAAATCTGGCACCGGCAACCCTGGCACCAAACCGGAGAATCCCAGTCCGGAATCCAGAAATCCCCATCCGAAAACTCCGGATACAGATGATCCGTATAAAACGAATCCCCATCCAAGAGAAGGTAATCCTCATCCTGGTAATCCAAAACCGGATAATCCTAAGGATAAAAAGGAAGGCCCGAGCACGAGGAAAGAGTACTCTGTCACTTCGACCACAAGGAAGCTTGTGTCTTTCCCAAGAGGTGCGGATGATGAAGGTGCCAAATCTGAGACATCTAAACTGCCAAATGTTCAAGCAAGAAGCACCCCTCCTGATGATCCTTACAGCACAACCTCTTGGAAGCCTCGTAGAGAAGGCCCACCAACTTTCGGAGAAGCCAAGCCGCTAGGGTCAGCCTTTAAAACGTTTGACTTTAAAATACCTGAAAAGTCTGGAGAAGTCTCACCGCTGACTTACCAGCCCCCCGCGATAGCCAGCCCCGAGGTGGTGATGTGGCGTGTGCAGCGCCTCCTCAGTGCCGAAGTATCGGTGAGCCATTTGTCGCCCAGCGAAAAGCGTTTGAGAAGCTTTTTCGCGCAGGACACCTCTGCTTCTCCCTCTGATTCTGTACTAACTTGGGTAAGCTAGAGTCTTAGTCACTAATGCATCCCACTCTCTCTCCTCATTGGGCTCTGCCAACTAGCCATCTCATTCTCAGATCTCCAGAGCGCCGATGTCGGGTTTTTTTTTATTACAGTTCTTATACCCCTGAGGTGGTTCAGTTCACAGAGCCTTGCATGTCTATGACACTAGCACTAGCTTGTCAACATCTCCCGACACTAAACATTGATCTCTAGATTTTTTTTTAACCCAGCCCCCTTCATCTTCTAGTGCTTTTCAAATTACTCAAGAGCCTTCACTTCCAGCAACCCAGCTCCTTCGCCAATCACAGCAATTCCATCTTTAAGTTTCTGTCTCATCCAACTTGCCACTATTTCCACCTCCCCTGCTTGGCAAGATCTTCCCGACACTACCCATTGATCTCTAGATATTTTTAGGACCCAGCACCCTCCATCTTCTAGTGCTTTTCTAATTGCTCAAGAGCCTTCACTTCCAGCAACGCAGCTGCTTCACCCATCACAGCGATCCCATCTTTAAGTTTCTGCCTCATCCATCTCGCCAGGATTTCCACCTTCCTTGCTCGGCAAGATCTTCCTGCACACACTACTTATTGATCTCTAGATTTTCCAGGACCCAGCCCCCATCATCTTCTTGTGCTTTTGTAATTGCTCTACCACATTGCTAGTGAATTTGAACATCCATCACCATTTTAGGAAGAGGATGATCTGTAGTCCATCTTTACTCATGCATGGAAAGGAATGTTGCAAATTGTATCTCATTTATTGAAGTAGGTTGCTTGAACTTTCCTTTAGATAAGACATAGATTTCCATTGTATCTTTCACCTGCTGACTTTTCCCCTCTCTTTTATCACAAACGTTCTGCTTGCAGTAGACTAGGTTTGCATAGTGGTACCGGTACTTTCCTCGCCTTCCACCGCTGTGACCCGGGTTTGAATCACGCCTGGGCCAACATGTGGATTGAGTTTTAAGTCCCTGCCTGATTCCATGGGTTTTCCCTAGAATGTCATTCTGGTGGTTTTCCTCCCACCACTAAAACTGTAAGTTCTTTCCACATCTTCTACCAAGGGACCCCACTGGAAATAAGTCCAGAGACTTTTGTGGGCTATTCCAGCCAAATAATTAAAGGCAACTGTGTAGGTAACTTCAAATATTGAAAGAAAAAATGAAAATAGAAGATTAACATTCGTGTTCTTCGCAGTTGCCTTCAGTATATGTAGATTGCAACAGGATATGTTTAAAATTCAGGTTCTGAAAGCTGTGATAATAAGAAGTACTTTCTCAAATAATATAAAGCTCAAGCTCAGGAAAACTCTTAATATTTGATCTAAATACAGCAGTGGTGCTAATCTTTCTGTTGCCTGTAACGCAAATTTCCCGCTTCCCACCGCAGTTTGTCTCGTTTCCCTGCAAGTATTGTTTTCCTAAAGACCTTAATTGGAATCACTTTAATCATTGTAGACGTTAGACCTAGATTAACCGTTGTAATGAGTTCATTTCCTTACCGCAATAAAAAACATCTCATGATTCTGTAGTACCATTTTGTGTGGCTGTCATTCATTTAATAGTCGAACCTTTTTCTGTACTTGGAAAGTGTGTGATTTCATATTTTCGTGCTTAAAAATTCTCCGATACATGAAGATCATTTTTTTCCTTCAAATCGGTTTAAAGGTGTATCTGTCTGTACTTACCCCTTGCATATTATTTGTTAAAACAATCCTCATTCACACATGACCATTTTTGTTCATATAGGTATTACATCATAAAAATGTTAAGTCATTGTTCAATTGTTTCAAATGAAATAAGTATAATTCTTTATTGGTTGATTTTGTTTATACTGAGATGCCCAAAAAAAAAAAAAATCAGCAGAGAGGTTTTCGTAGACAATTTTGGCAAAAGATTACATCTTTGGATGCAGTTCATATTTAATTTGAAAACTGCTGCGTACTGTACCATATCAGTTACGAGTCATAGAGGTCGTGGTTTTGGTCGACAATCTTATATTCTGAAAATACCCAGAATTCATTGGAGTTCCTTTTTCTTCTTTTGCTTCTTTTGTTGTTTGAAAATGAGAAGCGAAGACAAGAAGACGATTGCGTGAGTTAAAACTCTGCGTGTGGAATGTTCGAACGACTCAACCACTTTTATTAACACAAATCAAGAATGGTTTCTTTGTTTTTTTGTTGTTGTTTTTGTTTATACTTATTTCATCATTATTTACCACGTTGTTTTTATCCATCAATCTGTTGTCCCTAATTCATAACTGCCACATTATTAACACAAACCCAAGTTCTTGCTGTGAATTTAATACCGTTTTGTGTGTGTCTGTGTTTCGCCTTGTCGCCTTTCAGAACCAAACGTGTGACTAATAAAAACTTCCAAATAAAAAACCTTTTAACCCACGAGTGTCTGTGTCCTCATTTTCCCAAGGAATCAAAATCTTCCCATTCTTGAGTTAACACATGTCATTACTTGGGAAAGATTTCCATATAAGAAGTTCACTCAACACTCTGTGTACAGACCCTATGAGAGTGGACTGAAAAATTCTAAGTGTTTTCTAAGAAAGTGCTTGTATTTTCTCACTGCTCAAGTTGACTTTGATGACTACAGAGGAAAATTTGTGAACTTCGCATATGGTAACCTTGCCATTACTTGTACTCATGTGTTCATTGACATTCATTGTGACGTGTACTTTTGTAGACTTTTTCCTGCCCTAAGTTTCAAAGTATCCGTACATCAGATTTGTTTCTGCATTTTGCTAATTAGGAAGATTCCTTCAACTGTCGGTTACCAAAATTTAAAATACTGATTATTTCCTATCCACGGTGTTTACTGAAGCATTTTTTTTTTGACAATTTTATTTTTCTTTTGCCTGCAATATTCTACATGTAATTTCTCAGTTTTCAACAGTGCTGGGGGTATGATTTTACTTGAACACTTAGGAATTCAGTGTGGTTTTGTCGAAGAATATTTTTTGTTTTACTTTTATTTATCTTGTGTTTTCAAGGTCTATAATTAGGCTATTCAAAAAGTGGTCCGTTAACCCATATAGCAACTGTACTACATTGTATTACGTTGTGTTTATTCACTGGTGAATCCATTAAACCATCAAGTGATTGGGCAGTTTGGGACGCTACAGGGAGTAATAGGTGGGGCGGTTTGAGATGATACATTGCTTTTAGGGTGAAAAGAAGCAAAATTGTTGTGATCTAGAATTGCACCTTAACTTGTGCACCAAAACAAACAAATCAATACAAAGTAAAAAAATGTACATATAAACCCAAAACAAGTATCACTAGGTACTTTTATTTTGTTGGGGAATATCATATCCAAAAAAGTATTGATAAGAACCGTTTAATGTTGGAGAAAAACCCACAAGCTTGAGGAGACCACTAAGTTTAGTCAGGCTAAATAGGAACCAAGTCAATCACTCTACAAACTCGAACGTAGTCATTCATTTTGTAAATTTCTCAAGTGAAGTTTGTGTTTCCGCATCTTATTAACTCTTAACTGGAATGTTATCATTTTCATCGTCATTGAACCCTTTTGGTCTTCAATTTTCACTAATATACATTTGTGTCACCATATTGCATTTCTAATTTCTTTTTAAAAATTCTTTTTGGGGATCTTTTTTTGTCAAATGACATTTATGAACTTGATTGTTTTTTTTGGTTTTGTTTTTGTCAGATGCATAATTATATTTGTAAGGTCTTGCACCCAGACTGCATTACATGAGATATCACACCACATGCATGGCTGCCTTGCTCACATTCTGTACACAATACAAAAAAACTTCAATCTTGACATCAACATGACCACAGAACACTATCCATTCACAGTTAATGAATATGATTGTAAACAAACTATAGAAATTTTTGTTGATTTTCAAAGATGACTTTGGCCGTGTCCAAATCACTTTGGCTACGGCTAACAATAACACACGAGTCTATGTGAAGTGGCTGTAGCCGCTAGCCAGTGGCTTCCATAGGTGCACGTGTTATTTCCGACCGTATAACCATTAAGCGATTCGGCCATGGCCTCGGTTCAATATTGCCTGACCTTTTGATCTAACGTCGACCTTTCACCTCTGACCCCCCAGGCCGACCTGAACAAGGAGTTCCGCAGCATCTACCAGGTGGTCAGCGAGATGGTGTACTACGTCAACATGACCCAGCAGAAACTGACCAACATGGAGGTCATCAGTCAGGACATTCCGGCCCTGACTGTCCAGATGGAAAAACACAAGGTAACGGAGAGACTTGTGTCTGTATTAAATAAGCCACAACTACTGTATCATTAGCAATATATAGTCCACATACAAGACTATAATACATTTATATGTACACTGGTGGCAGCGGTGGGATTCAAACCCACGCCATCGAGTCGGGCAGTTGTGAAGCTACTGGCCCCTTGTTAAAGAGTCTTTTTATCATTCCAAAATGACTTTTCAGAACCGCACATACTCACAAAAGAGATTTATTCACATGGTGCTATCGCAAACTTATCTTGTCTTAAAATGACTTTTGCAACCTTATATATGATCATCTGTATTTAGCCCAAAAAGATAACTTCTGAATTATCAAAAAGCTTACTTGGATCAAAGATTGTACTGGTACTAAACACCCCGTGAAACTATTCCGTCTGGCTTGCTTTCATTTAGAAGAAAGCAAGAAATGTAGGTGATTTCTGATGATCAGTGATTTGACTGATTTTTGGAAATACAGAGTTCTATAGACAAAATCGTGTTTGGTGATCAAAATGTTGTGCGTCATTTTTCACTGTTTTCTCGTAAACTGTAATTTAAGATTAGGTTTTGAACATTCTTCTGTGGATTTGGAGTGGTGTTATTATTGGAAACAAACAAAATGCATGAACAGCAAATGATCGCAAGAAAGCAATGATCCTTTCTTTATTCTAATTACACATAAGATTAGCATAGAAGTGGGAAACTTTTGGTCTCTGGGAACAAGACTATACATGTCTAAGCGCTCACTGCATGTGCTCTTCTTTTTTTTGTTTCTATCACAGATCTTCCTGGAGGAGATCGTGCACCACAAGGAGCCCATCCTGGAGTCGCTGAACCGCGCCGACCGCTTCATCCACAACAACCGGGAGGAGTGCCAGAAGGCCGAGTGGGCGGAGCAACAGCAGGAGCTGAACGCCAAGATGGGGGACCTGCGGCACGGCTACGACGTCATCGTCCAGCTGGCCGAGGACCGACTCAAGAAGCTCAACTCCACCCTCGGCCAGTTACACAAAGACAAGGATGAAAAGGTAATGAGGAATATCAGTTTAAACACAACAGCCGTAAGAGTTATAGATTTGGTGTTTCTATTACCTGAGGGCGCCCCATGGTGCCATTTGTGTTCTTAGGCAAGACACTTTATTACAATTGCCTCTCTTTACCCTATAGCAGGTTAGGCGAAGCCTCGTATTAGTTATATCTGTATTTTGTATGAAGTGGATTGCTAGTCCCATTCACATTGATGCTTCTTCACAAAATTAAACGTTTAGCTGTTTTACATGTATTCTGCATCTTGTTTATGTCACTTGGAATATTGACAGTTAAAGTTTGTTATTGTTTTTCACAGGGTGTCCACAAAAAGGTTGTGCAAGCAGATATCCTTAAATTTCTCAAAAAGTGCTTAACATGAGTATTTCATCTTGATGAAGCATATTTATTATACTCTTGTGTATAATCAGTGAAATTGCCATGGAAATCCGTTCATGCAAACCAGAGATCTAACAGATTATAAAGGCTTATAGGTTTTTCGCCCATTCCAATGGGATGGGATTTACACTGTTAACTTAATTTACGTCAGAGTGAAAAGGCCCATGGTAATCAGATGCACTGATATCACTAACTGTGTAAATCCCATTGGAATGGGTGAAAAACCCTTTAGCTTTTACAATCTGTTAGATCTCTGGTTTGCATGAACGGATTTCCATGACATCTTCTCTGATTATGCACAAGAGTATAATTAATGATTAATGTGCTCCATCAAGATGAAATACTCATTTAAGTAGTTTTTGAGAAATTAAAGGATATCTGCTTGCTCAACTTTTTGGGGGACATTAAATGGGACATTAAATCCAAAAGGCATGACGCTGTGAGTGGCCTCGTCTATTGCGAAGGCCCTTTTATAGACTCTGTGCACAAACTGTAGGTGGCGCTCTTGTGACCACTTTCGAGAGCCAGAGTGGGAGGGACTAGTGTTCTTCTGAATGTGTGCAAATCCATTAGGTTTCACATGAGCGTTGGCAGAGATGCCAACCATTACTCTTTTGGAGTGATTATTAAGATTTTGAGGCATGTTACTACTCTTGAAAATTCCAACTGTCCTATACGCCAACATTGTGGTTACTCTGAAAAGTACTGTGGTTACTCTTAAACTCGACTCTTGTCCTATGTATTTACATTAGCATTACTCTTTGCAGGAAGAATCATTACTATTTTGTAGTCTGTAAAGTTGGCATCTTTGCGTTGGGCGTCGTTAGCAATGTCCCTTACCAGTGGTCTCCCAACTCTCCCTTTTTAACAGTTGAGAGATTACTAAGTAGTTTGTTAGATTTTAAAGATTTTTTTTTTCAAAATTGCATTTTTGCGTCCCCCCTCTTTTGCAGACGGCCCTGGAGAAAGCCTACTTGGACCACGTGGCCAACCTGCAGAACCTGCTGCAGTGGGTGTCGGAGGTGGAGCACGCCATGGGCTCCGCCCAGCCTGAGGCGGAGCAGGTCATGACGCTGAACGGGCAGCTGAACAACATGAAGGTAGGTGGATTCAAGGATAGAATTCTATCCAAAAAATCAACTGCTTGCGGTTCCTGCTGGTTTTTAACATTAGGTTTAAACTGGCTTGTTCATGGTCAAGTTGTTGAGATGTCTCCGTTAAGCAAGGGGTTGTGGGTTCGAGTCCCACCCTAGCAAGCTTGTAATATTTTTTGTTCTCACAAGTCCAGGGTTCCAAGCCACTCTGGAAATCAGAGAAAACCTTGAAAATGACTTTTCCATGTTTTTAGTCAGGAAAAGTTAAGTAAATGTGGGGAAAACAGCAAAAAAATAAAGGAAAACACAGAGAATTCGACAGTGACCCAGAGGGGTTCAGTTACTTTTTGCCATGTGTGTTTCTTGTGCCATGTCTCCAAGTTGTGTCCGTTGACTGACTTGCTATGGGTGTCTTTTTAGTGTTTGTGCAGCGTGAACATTACACACCTCGCCAGACAATAGCAATAATACGGTAGCTGTCCAGCAACCACCTCTTGACTTCCCAGCAACCTCGTTAAAGTGAAGATATTTCTCGTGGAATTTTGGAAATATCTCAAGGGAAATATCAGTTTCACAAGAAACAAAACAGCTTGGATGTCCTTGCTCCAAACCTACTTGACCAATACATCTTGGGACAACTTTGCAACAAAATGCCCACACACCTGAAACGTACAGGAGCCTGTGACATTTGCACTAGCGTGGTACCAACATAACAGCGTATGCTAATTGTGGTTATTGCTGTATGATAATTGTGGTTAAATTTGTTGTATTTGCCGTTAACTGAGAAATGTAGTGTCATTAAAAAGAAATGGCCGACAGGGTTGTAAATTGTACTTACATTTCGTAATTTTTCTTTGAAGGCTTTGCGAGATGACGTGGTCAGCCACGAGCGCGCCATCCGCCAGAACATCGACAACATCCTGCTGTTCCTCAAGAAGCAAGGCGACAAGCTGCCGCGCCAGCATGCCACCCGCCTGCAGGACTACGTCTCGGAGCTGCGCATGCGCTACGACCGGCTGAACGGCGAGGCCGACTCGCGCGTCAAGCAGCTGTCGGACGCCCTGGACTACCTGCGCAACTTTGACAAGGAGGTCTCTGCCTTCCAGCACTGGCTGGGCAAGACCCAGGACACCGTGGACGGGTTCGGGCGGGACGCCGGCCGGGACATCAACGTCCTGAAGAAGCAGTCGTCCCAGCTGCAGTCGCTGAACACCGAGATCCGCTCTCAGAAGGAGCAACTGAACAAGACCAACCTGGCCGGACAGGGATTCCTCAACAACGCTAAGGTGAGAAATTTGTGACTGTCAAGGCCTTATAAAAAACATCTTGTATTGAGTTACACAGATTGCCGCCCCTCCTCTCATAAACAAAAGGAACATGGATAGGGATATATTTGTTTGTATGTATGTATGTATTTACTTTCATGTGGTGCATAGGTATAGATGAATCTGAGTAAGTGATCACTGTACACTCACGAGGCCCCCTTCAATGGAGAAACCACAGGGCACACTCTTGTGCAAAGCACCTGCCCCGTGACAGATTATCTGGACAATAGCTACCACAGTGCTTTCGCCATTGAAGGGGGGCTTCGTGATAGAAGTGATAACATGCCTGGATTTGTCTATCCGGTTTGTTAGTGTGACGTCATCTCAACTTAACCATGCGTACTTCACATGATGTAGCATAGCAAGAATGGAACCGGAACTTAATGCAACTTGAGTGTTTAGCCAAAGGGCGCTTGTAATCAGTGGTGCGTGCGCTTGTACGACAAAGTCACTAACGAACAGGATCAAGGTCATTTGCATATTTCTCATAGAGAAACTTAGGCATAAATATGTGACGGGTTCCCATGAGATTAGCCTTTGTCATTCTGATGAATATAGGAATTATTTGGATAAAAAAAAGTTGACATGCAAGATGTAAGGGCTTCTAACGCAAAAAGCTGGTCTTGCAACTTCTTTAAAACTCTTTGAATTTTTTAGCCTCGGGTGAATTTACTGAATAATTGCCAACACCTGAGCATTCTTATTCAAACGTCTTCTCACTCCAGGCCTACAAGCAGATGTTGCACGAGTTCCGGACCAACGCCCTGACCCGTCAGTTCAACAAGACGTTCAGCGAGGCGCCGGACTCCAACGTCATCCAGGACAGGCTGACGCGCCTCAACGATGCCTCCGACAAACTCCAGGTAAAATTCGCATCATCCACAAATGGAGAATTGTTTCCAAAAATTGCTACAATTTATTCCTATTTTCATGATAGTGGTATTACTGAAGGCTTTGGTGTTGGACCCATTCCCTCAATATCAACAAGATTGCATTTTTTTGTGAAGTTAATATAACCTTGGAGAAAGATTTGGGAAGACTGGAGATCAGGAAAAACCTTGAAAATGAATTTCTGTTTTTCCAGTTAGGGAAAGCTCAGTGAATTTTGGAAAAAACACACCATAACTCGGGAAAGCTCAGGGAATTTTGACAGTGGCCCCAAAGGGACAGGTTTTTGCCAAATTGGCATATGTGCGTCTTGTGCCATGTTTTTAAGTTTGTCCATTTTTAAAACTTCAAATATTCTGGTGTATTTCCATTTCCCCGCAGACCAAGTATGACCAGACCAACGACCACTTGTTGGAGCTGATCGGCAAGCACCAGACCTTCAACGAAAGCCTGGGCAAGTTCCGGACCTGGCTGCAGTCGGCCGAGCAGACCCTGGGCAAACTGCTGCAGGAGCCCATCGCCGCCGAGCCGCTGGCCGTCCAGAAACAGATTGACAAACTCAGGGTAGGTTGGGAGATACAGCATATCGCCCGCTCTCTCTATCCTAACACGTCCCCCACCATTACAACTATCTCCCCACACCTATTACTACTACCCACATCTATGGTTAAAAAACTATTTAAAAGAATCAATAACTGTGCTTGGAGTGTTGTCTTTTTGTAAACCTTCAATTGTTTAAATTGCTGTTTATTTTTACTTTCTTGCAGACTTTCAACGATGAAGTGATTGAGCATTCCAGAGACATTGAGCAAGCCAAAGAGGCCGGTAAGGACCTTGCCGACGCCCAGGACGAAGTCAAGAATGACGTACAGCAAGCCCTTGGTAGGTTGATTTAAGGTTCTTCCCAGATTTTGTCAAAAGTGAGGGAGGTGGGATGGTCATGTAATCCCGTTTCAAACTGTGGTAATCCTCTTGCAAACTTTTCAAGACAGTCAGTCGGTGAGTCAGTGACTCAGGTTCAAAGAGGACTGTAAGCTGGCCCCATAATACCCTCATTTGGACACAGCATGTTTTCGTGACTCATGATCAGATGGTCAGGGGTGTGAATCCAGCTGCTGGCCATATGTTGTGTCCTTGGGCAAGCCACTTCACCCCAACTTGCCTCTCTCCACCCTGGAGTAACCTGCAATGAACTGGCATCCCATCCAGAGGGACTAGAAATGATCTCAGTTATTTCATACCTTGGAAACCGGATATAAACCCCGACCTAATGGGCCATATTGGCTCGCGGTGGACTTAACTTTGTTACTTTTTTCATTCACCAGGTGATGCGCAGGAGCGCTACAGCCGTCTGGAGCGACAGATCGCCGAGCGCAGCAACACCTTGCAGATGACCCGCATGCAGTGCCTGAGCCTGCAGGACAGCCTGCACAGCCTGCTGATCTGGCTGGAGGAGAAGGAGAACACGTTCAACAAGCTGGACACCACCAAGACCATGGTCAAGAGGAACGCTGTGATGGAGCAGCTCCAGCAGCACAAGGTAGCCACTCAAAATAGGTCCAAAGGCTTCCAAATAGGACTAATAGTTTCATACTCCACACAAACGCAAATGTGAATGCGAAGCAAATGTGACGTCAAGAAACTTTCCCTGCAAAATTTGCTGGTGTCGAAGTGTGTTAGACTTTTGTGACTTCACAGTGTGAGTACTTGCCAAGACATCGGAAATTTGCATTCATGCCCACTTTGGCGCTGAGTATGAACGGACCTCAAGAGAGCCTGGCAAATTTAGTAACAGCGCTGGTCCTTTTTTAAGCACTCCATTTTGGGCACATTAGGGAGTGTTCAAACAGTATCTTGGTCGAGGTACTTCTTATGGATCGCAAGTACATCACTAGTCCAGTTATAAGAAAGCCCAAGTCCACAGGGACAATCACAGGTAACGTAGCGATGCCCTTGTCACAGCTGTTTTGATTAGCTTGCGATGTAATATTTTTGAGTGGATGACTTGTGTACTCGTGAGGACTTGTGAGGACTTGTTCTGGTTTTGCAATGGACTCGACTACAACACTGGCTCAGATGCATCTGAAAACTGTTCTGGTTTTGTTGAGGCCATACTCTCAATACTGCCATATTTTCTTTTAACGTTGACTAAAACCTACTTTCTTTATATTTATCAAATCTCTTTTGTCTCCTCTCCCCGCCTCCAGCTCCTCCAAACCGACATCGACAGCCACAAGCCCAGCGTGGCCTCGGCCAACGAGTCCTCGGCCGAGCTCATCAAAGAGTGCGACCCAAAGATGGCCCGCAACATCCAGACCCGTCTGGACGACCTCAACTCCCGCTTCGAGAAGGTCATTGTCCGCGCCCGGGACCGCAAGGAGTCCCTCTCCTCCCTGCTGGACCGGCTGGTTCAGCTCCTGGAGGAGGTCGGCGATCTGGAGGACTGGATACTGCCCGTGATTGATACCTTGGAGTCCAGGGAGCTGGTGAGGCTGGACCTGCCAGACATGGGAGGCAGACTGCAGGTAAAAATAAAACACTGAAACCTGAGGCCCGACCTCAAATTAGAATTCCTTTCCTGACCTTTTCGGAAGAATCCCAATCAATATGTTTTAACCATAACGCCCTTGGGCGTGTGAAAAATCACATGAAAATTGGAGAATTTTACACGTTTGTAACTCAAGATCAAAGGGTCAGGGGTTTGACTTCAGCTGTTGGACGTATGTTGTGTCCTTGGGCAAGCCACTTTACTCCAACTTGCATCCCTCCTCCCCAAAGTATAAATGGGTATCAACATTGGTTTTGGAGTAACTTGCGATTGACTGGCATCCCTCCTGGGGGAAAAGAAATAATTATTCTCTGTTGTTTGGTGCCAAGGAAACTAGAGATAAGCACTGGCTAGAGATGAACACTACCCTAACTAATCCCAACCTTCCCCCGGTCCCTAGGACTACCAGCGTCAGGTGGACAACCGCCGGCCCCAGTTTGAGAAGATCCAGAAGATCGGCCAGGAGTTGCTGCGAGGCTCCAAGAACGCCGACACCAGCTACGTGGCCGAGATCCTGGACAACGTGGGCCTGAACTGGCGCTCCCTGGAGAATGCCTTCGGCCGAAGGTAAGCGTCTGTCTGTGCTGTCAAGAGTTTGGCAATAGAGGGCTCCCTCTATACTGATTCGCAGATCATATTCATTCGCAGAATTTCTCAGGGAGACATCAGGGGAAACTCGGGGAAAAATATTGTTTTCAAAAAGTGCTAGGAACTCGGTGTGTGGCTAGCTCTTGGCTGTTTGCAGCTCAGCGATAGTTTTCTCAAAGTAATTTTTTGTTGTGCTTTGCAGCACCTTGAAATTGAATCCGGAAAATGTTTCCCTGTTTTACGGAATGTGTACTTTAGAAAGTTCACAGCCGATTTTAAAAAGCACCCATAACATGCTGAGCACTATTTAAAAAACCCCCAAAACTGATTCAGTTGGTGCCATGCATCTGTTGTCACAATTTTGTTCCTCCCTGTGTCCGTACCTATCCCAGAATGCAACAGTGGGAGGAGCGCAACAAGGCCTACAAGGCCTTCGACGAGAAGGTGAAGAACGGCACCGTGTGGCTGGGCGGCATGGAGGACAAAGTGAACCAACTGCAGCCCATCGCACGGGACAAAGAGACCATCAACGTACAGATGCAGCAACTGCAGGTAGGGGACTATTAAAGGGAAGAAACACCATTTGCATACATCAAAAAACGAAATGATCGAATTATCACGAAAAACCTTACTGGATTGTTAGGGAATGACAGTCTAAAGCATCCTGTAAAATCGTGGCTCCTGGTGTGCTGACATTTTCAATGCTAGCATCTATTATCCACCCTCGAACCATGTTATATTTGTATCATGTGACCCTGTTGTTGGCCCCTTACAGCCGCTCCAGAAGGAGTACAACGCCTACCGGCCCAACATCGAGGATGTGCGCAAGCTGGGCCGCACTCTGGACACGGTGACCCGGGAGGCCATGTTGCCGCTAAACGTGGCGCCCAGACGCTCCAGCCTTGCCATCACACCCAAGGAGGGCAGGTACCAGGTGGAAGGCAGGTCGTCCCGGATGCAGCGCTACGTGCCGGAGGAGCCCGATCGACAACGCTTGAGCTTCTTTGAAGAAGGTCTGTGTCCCGTGAAGTCAGGATCAATGTTGACTCTTATTACTTTTATCACTTTTTATTTCTGGTAATGAAACCAAGGATTCCTCAAAAGCGCCCTAGGCACTGTAGCTCGCAGGCCTGAAGAAACCTGTAGAGGGAAGTCTATGAAGACATTACAGTTTTAGAGGTGGGAGGAAAACCCCAGAAGAATGTTCAGGGGAAACCCACGGAATCAGGTAGGGACTGAAAATCAAATCACATGTGGGGCCAGGGCAGGAATCGAACTTGGGCCATAGAGATGGAAGGCGAGATAAAGGGGTCCATTGCACCAACTCTCTGCTAAATTGCGCTGTGTGACCACTGGTAAGAGTTCTAGCATTTCAGGTACAATGCTTTCACGCATAGGTGGCATGTGCATGAGGCAAATATGCCTTACTAATTTTTTAGCAATATGTGCTCAAACCCATAGCATCCTTTGGTTCGTACCGGTAACTCGGCAGCGTTGCTGTTCACGCGTTTATAGTTTCTCACTCTGTCATCGTTAAGGGGGTAGTTCTGCTCGTAGTCCGTTCCATACTTTGGTTGGAATAGCTGAGGCGTTATCAGGCAAATTCTTTTCTTCAGTGATTAAACATAAGGAAAAAATGTAGTATCCAGACGCCACTTGTTTGGTTGTATACAAAGTCTATGGAGAGCTTTTCAAAGTATTTTCTAACAAAGTTGGAAATGTTTCTCAGTCCCAGTCTTTTCAACATATTTGCAATGACTGACCTTCATTGAGATAATATATGATGAAAAAAGTGGCATCGGGATGCTTAATTCTGTGGACCTAATGCGTTTTCAAGTTACTTGTACTACAGTTCTATTTAATTCAGCTGATAACATAGATTTTAAATGACAGTACAAACGAAGTAGTCTCACAAAAGTATTAAAAAATAAATAATAAAGTTAGATTATAAAGGGCAAAGGTGTTGAATTGTAGTTCACTTCGAATAATGTGTTTGCAAACTTTTCCCAAGTTAAAGCTTTCTTTCGTTTCCTGTGTTTCTCACAGAGCAATCGGAGACCCAGCGCACAGTCAACCGCGTCATCGACCGCTACAACCACCTGGGCAACAAGCTGAGCTTCCGTCAGGAGGAGCTGGATGCCTACCTGAACCTGGCCAAGCTGTACGCGGACCGGGTCCGGGTCATGAACGACCAGTACGACTGGGTGACCAGCGTGGAGCAGCAGCTGGACAGCCAGGGGCCACTCAGCAACGACATCGGCACGCTGGAGGAACAGTTCAACAAGATGAAGGTCAGTGTCCTGTAGGAATTTTTAGCTGCGGGTAGCAGCTCAACAAGTTATTAACAACTTAGTTATTAAGCTAGTAACAAACGTTGACACTGTCTATTGCCCCTACATATTTTGACGGATTTCAACCCAACTTTGTCAAAAGTATCATTAGCCCAGCCCCAACATGCCACATGACCAAACTGGGGTCAAAGGTCATCATGGGGTCACTGGGGTCAAAAACCTGCTTATTTTACTCAAAACACTATTCCTTCCAGAAATTACATGGCACAATCACGTGACTCGTGCATGAACACGAATTCGTTGGCCTGCTCGAGCTTGCTTTGTAACATTTTGACTAAGATGCTCTAAAATTGGGTACCAGCTAAGTTCCCCTTTTACATAAGTTGCTCATGAATAGCAGAATATAATCAGCGGCCCCCCCCCCCCCAAAAAAAAATGGCCTTCCATGCTTGTGACTTCCCCCCCCCAAAAATGCTTTACTAGTCAAAATGCTGTTTCGGGTGTTGCTGCATTATGGATACCTTGGTTTGCCCTTGCAATCAAGTTTAGGAAATAAGCAAGCGCGGAACACTTGGAATAGTAGCAGTGCTAACGCCGATGATTAGGCGAGATCTGGCCTGTTGTGTAGACAAGACTATAAATCTATCCCATTGTGTAGACCACAGTGGTTGGTTTGTAATTGCGGCGAATTTGTGAACGGGTGCGCGCAAGCATTGCCAGGACGCACATGCGCGCATGGTTGCTATTAGTAGTCAGTTCTGTGTGTGACTTTGCGTAGCCGTAATTTTCTGAATGAGAACGTGTCCCGGATGCAGATTTCGGGTGCAATTCAAAACATGACTTGGCAACTTTTGAATTCAGATTGAGATCCTAAAATATTGTTTTCTTGGAATATACAGCATTCACTGAGCCAAAACTTATTCAGGTTAGTTGTTAAGCACCAGTCTTTAGATTTTTTGCACTTTTGTTGCTTCAAACAAAAAAAGCTCAAATTACAAATGATCTACCTGCATTTTGAACAGCAGAATCAATTTTTGTAGTGTTGTCTATTTCACTATTCATTTTCCTAAAACTCCCCAGGTTCTCCAGCGTGAGATGAACGACAGTCGCCCCCAGGTGGAGGAGGTCATGATGTCCACGGAGGGCTTCATGCGGGAGCACAAGGAGCGCCTGGGCCCCGAGCAGCAGGACGTCCTGCAGCGCGGCGTCTACGACCTGCGCTCCCACTTTGACAAGGCCAACCACAAGGCCGGAGAGTGGACCAGACAAATGCAAGACAAGGTTTGTAAACCACCATTGAATTTTCCCAATTTCTCAAACAATTTTGATCTATTCTGATGCTGATTTCACCTGTTTCAGATTTCGCCTTGCCACCCGGAGTCACGCTAACCAAATACAGTAGGACTTCACATTTGTTTTTTCTTCCTAACAACTTTTTATTTTGTATATTTTGTTTTAACACAATACCCTACTTTTCTGCGATGTTGGCATCTGCAATCCTCCGGGCCCTTTTTTTTCATTTTGCACACAAATGAACCCGCCCTGCAAGAGCAGAGTTGTTGTAGCGTCACAAATGATTAAAACTTTGTAAAGAAATAGTTCAGTAACTATTATGTATTGTGGGAATTTTTGGGTTCGAAGACTCTTTTAAAAAGTGAAGAACTTTGCTAAGAAAAGAGCAATTGAAAAAAACAAACAAACAATTTTTCAGGGTGAAACTTGAAAATAGCATAGGGAATGCAGCTTTAACTATAACGAACACGATGGTGCCGACAAACTAATTTTGGTATACAGGGCGTGATTTGTAACGAATTTCACCCACCTATGCTCTGCATAATTGTACATAAGATTCGGGACGCAAAGAGGATGAGTTATGTTATAGCAGAATTTTCGGTATAACAGTGTTTATTGTGGCCACACTCTACTGTACATGTAATACCAACGATTTTGTGTAAGAACAAAAACAGTTTGATACGCTACCATGATGTCACTCAAACAGAATTGAAATCTGACTTGGACCTTTTCCCTTTCTTATTGAATAGCTGAACCTCCTTCGTGAGGTCCAGGAGAAGATCAACACACTGAGCAAGCTGGTGGAATGGATCAGCGACACGGAGCACCAGATGGGCAGCCAACAGCCGATGAATGAGGAGCTACGCCCGCTGTCTGAGCAGCATCGTCAACAGAAGGTAGGGTTGATGAATGCGTGTTGGCTTTTAATAGTCACCCACTTGGTCTGTGTTGTAATGCGAGTAACCATAATATATTAAGTAACCAGCCTTTTTCTTTTCGGACTCTATACCTGAATTCGGTATACACTTACTTATTTTTTACATTTCGTCGTGTGCCCGGCAGAAGGTCATATGCGCGTATGCCCTTATGCGCAAATGCGTAGTCACCAAAATGTTCCCAGCAAAAGGGCATATCCAGAAAACTGCCTCTATTTTAATGAAATTTAAACATTTTTGTCATAAATTAATACAAGTATTGTTCCAAAACTTATGACTCACACCTGTGACAAATTTCAAATTCATAAGATTTATATTATGCGTGGGAGAGTATTGGATTCATAATACGCACGGGGAACAGTAAAACCTTTTTAATGCAATTTTCTTGAAAATGACTTTTGGGTCAGAACGCTCATATCCCCTTGTACTTTAAGCATCCAAAATACAGTGAAAAAAAACTCATTTGATTATTACAGTGTCATTCTTTGGGAGCAAGTAATTTAAAAGCAAAGACGATTTTCGGAATGTCTTTTTTGTGTAATGGAGTAACCACATTTCCAGAGAGTGCCATGCGAAAATGAGGGAACACACAGCTTTTTGTATATTAGCTATGTTTTTTTGGAATATTGGGCATGTTTATGCGGCCCCCCCCCCCCAAAAAAGGAAACGTGACGTCCAACTGGTATGAAGATTTCAGCACTCAGTATGTAAAAGACGGCATTAAAAGTGTAATGAGTGTTTAATAATCGGGGAATTGCCCTGTTTTTTTTTCCACCCAGGTTGTGTATGATGACGTGCGTGTGCACCACGAGCCGGTCATGCTGGCTGTGCACAATGCCCAGTTCCTGCTGGAGACCCAGCCAGACAAACTCAGCGACAGCAACCACAGCAAACTCAAGGACTACTCCGGTGATCTCAAGGTGAGCGCTGGGGTCACAATCCTGGGGGGAAGGGGAAAGGGGGTGGGGTATGCCCCTTCCGTAATATTTTTTTGTAAGTTTAAAACTTGTGATGGGCTTGTGATTAACTTGTGATTGACTTCTGATGGAGTTGTGATGGGCTTGTGATTGACTTGCGATCGACTTGAGATGGAGTTGTGATGGGCTTGTGATTGACTTGCAATTGACTTGTGATTGACTTGCGATTGACTTTTGATTGACTTGTGATTGCCTTGCGATTGACTGGCAATGGGATGGACTTGAACTCTGTTGTGCTCATGTCAAGATTTGATTTTTCAAGTTGGGATAATCAATGTGCCATATGCCAGAAAAAAAATTGCGAAGGGAACAGCTAAGGGGACATAGCTCGTAGCACAGAAAATTGCAAAGCACAATTGAAATTGCTTAGCCAAAAATGATTACCAGCCAAAAACGTCATGCAGTGCATATTGCTTCTGACTGGTATCCTGCTGATTTTTGTTTAGTGCATGGATTTGCTAAGAACTTGTAATATCTCTTTTTTTTTGCTCGCAGGGGCGTTACGACCAAGTCAACGCCAGCTCTGAGACGCGCAACCACCACGTCACCTCAGGCTACAACGAGCTGCAGAAGTTCGACCGGGAGTTCTCCTCCTTCGAGACCTGGCTGCGCTCGGCCGAGCGCACGCTGGACGCCTACCTGATGGACGTGGCCCGGGACCGGGACGCGCTGCGCAAGCAGGTGGCCAAGATGCAGCCCTTCAATGAGGAGGTGGTCTCGCACTCGGCCGACCTGCGCTTCATGAACATCTCGGGCCAGAAGTTCCTGGACGAGAACCAGGTATTTCCTCATTTGTCTTATGAATAATTTGAAATGAACTTCAGCTCTGGAGTAAAAAGATAGTTTGTTTTTGTATTGTGCAAGAACGTGATTTCCAGAACACTGACTGACAAATTGGGTTACATTTCAAAGAAAAGAAAAAGAAAAAAGATGGAGAAAACACATGATTAAAGGACTTGTTGTTTGTTCCCTCCCCCGCCCCCTCTTTCAGGATTATCGCCAGAAGCTCAACCAGTTCCGGGATGCCGTCATGAGCAACCAGTTCCTGCGCAACTTCCGCCCGGAGCCCGAGTCACAGATCATCCGCAGCAAGCTGTCCGACGCCAACGAGCGCTACGAGCGCCTCAAGCTGAAATGCAACGACCACACTCAGCGCATCCTCTACCTGCTCGGTACATTTTTTTCTCTTTGGTTTTAGTTTCGAACCCCGTCCTCATTGAGTTGTCCCGAAATTTTACCCGCTTTGCATGACCGATTCACTGAGACATGCCCAAGGAATTTGGTCACAGTATCCAAAAATGTTTTGGGGAGTGTGACTCTTGATCAGAGGGTCAGGGGTTTGAATTCAGCTCCTGGTCATATGTTGTGTCCTTGGGCAAGCCACTTCACCCCCACTTGCCTCTCTCCAACCAGGAGTGTAAATGGGTACCGGCATTAGCTGGGGAGTAACCGGCGATGGACTAGCATCCCGTCCAGGGGGAATAGAAATATTCTCAGTTGTTTCATGCTGCTGAAACGGGAGATAGACGCCGGCCTAATGGGCCACATTGGCTTGTGACAGACTTTACTTTTTTTTTACTGTCCAGAAATGTTTTTGTGATCAATTGACAATTGTGCAGTGATGCGTGACTGAAATTAAATGGAAAGTCCTAGGGGTATCTGCACAACCAAAAATTGTCAAAATTGACCTCTTGGGTTTGTAGTTATTTCAAAAATAGTCAGACGGACAGTTTTTGGGGATATGCTGTGTAGGAACAAAGATGCATTGTTTATTGTCGAGTCCATCACGAGTCCGGTCACAAGTCCGGACGCAGGTTTTGGCCTGTTTTGCCAAAATAAATATAAACAAGCCATGTTATGAATGTCCCTGACCTATCCTCTGTGTGCAGGTTTGCACGAGAAGTACCGCACCGCCGTGGACTCCGCGCTGGTCTGGATCGACAACACGACTTGGGAGATTGACGAGATCACAAAGGAGCCACTGGGCGAGAGCCAAGAAGTGGTCCAGCAACAGATAGACCGCATCAAGGTGAGTGGAAGTGAAAATTGACATCTTGGTATAGTTCCCTGAAGCCCAACCGATGGATGACAATAGATTTTATCATGCACGTTTTGGTACCTGTCTTATTTTTGTTTTATCGTTTGTTGAAAACAGGTGTTTGTTTAGACATGTTAAACTGACCCAGTATGCATTATGACCAAGACAGGTTCTCTTGTATTTTAAATCACAAGTAACTGATTTTAAGGTGCAGTTTTTTGTCATTCTTTTCCATTTTTTTGGTCATTTGTTCCTCTTGTTTACCACACAGGGAGTCCAAGATGACGTATCCCGCCACCTCAAGGACGTGGAGAAGGTGAAGGCTGCTGGTAACGAGCTGTCTGAGGAACAGCCAGACCTGAAACCGAGCATCGACAAGACCGTCAGTAAGTGCTCAAACTGCGGATGGTTCGTTCGCCTTTCGCCTAAAAAGTTGGCATATTATGGTCGAATTATTACTTTCACGAAGTTGCTTTGCAGAAAATATTCTTCAGTAAATAATATGCATTGGGAAAATGAAATAGAGAACCATTCAAAACCAGTCCAGTGGTTACCATCTTCGACTCATGTGCCGTGGTACATGGGTTCAAATCCTAACGGGGAGCATGGCGCTTGTCTTCTTAGGCAAGACACTTTACCACAATTGCCTCTTCCCACCCAGGAGTATAAATGGGTACCTGTGAGGGTAGAGACCAGATTGCGCTGAGCTTGAGCTGCTGTAGATAAAAGGGGTGATTATTTTGAAGCATTTTGAGACCTTTGGTAAAATGTGCTATATAAGCACCACTCAGCTTATTTTTGTGCTGAAGCTTGCTCCATGAATTGGTCTAAGACCCTCTTTGAGATTTGCGAAGAACGAAGAATGAAATACCAACATTTCTGTGGAAATAATAACACTGGCTTTCCTTTTTGTTTTCCAGATGAGGTTGTGACTAAATACAACAATCTGGACGTCTGCATGGCCACGCGCAGCAACGACCTGCATAGGGCCATGCGGGACATGCACGGCCTGGAGGAAGGCCTGGACATGTCCCAGAGCTGGCTGGACGAGCTGGAGCGGAAGCTGATGCGCATGGAAGGCACCAAGGTCACCGTCAAGCGGGAGCCCATCCTGGAGGAGGTGCAGAACCTGAAGGTGAGGTTTGGTGGGTCGGAGGTTAGGGGTTGAAGGTTGGGATCGTGGCACATTGGATGTTATTAAGCAGAGCCAAGAGATTCAGAGCCTGATGGTCAGCTTGTGGGTCAGAGATTAGGTGTGAATGGTTGAGATGATGGGATTCTGGATGACATTAATCGGGATTCGAAAGGTTTCAGAACCTGAAGGTGAGTTTGATGGGTCCGAGGGTAGGGGTTAAATGTTGGGATTATGGCACATAGGATGTCATTAAGCAGAGCCAAAGACTTGGTAACTGATGGTTAGCTTGTGGGTCTGAAAGTAGGTGTTAATGGTGGAGATGATGGGATTCTGGATGACAATAATCAGGATTCGAAAGGTTTCAAAACCTGAAGGTAAGTTTTTTTGGTCAGAGGGTTGGGGTAAATGTTGGGTTGGTGGCACCTTGAATGTCATTAATCGGGAGCCAAGAGGCTCGGATCCTGAAGGTAAGCTGGTGGGTAAGAGTGGGATGATGGGACTATTTGGATGTCATCATGTAGGAGCTAGGAAATTCAGAATGTAGAGGTGAGCTCATGAGTCGAATGGGAGCAATCGCCACATCCTACCTGTGTGCAAGCAGGTTAGAGGACAGGGGCGGGGAAGGTGGGGGATCTATTGGGTACCTCGTTCGTCAAGATCGAATTACAGTTCATTTAATTTTGCAATCTTCTCTAAGCATAAATTGCAGGAGATACTGAACATTCTACGGTGCCTTTGGAGTCAAGGGTAGAAAGGCTTACCATCAGATGACTATTAATGTATATAAGGAGGTACAGGAATTAGACTGATTTTTTGTGTGTCTGTGCCCTTTCTCTTGCTCAGATCCTGGAGCAGGACCTGAAGCACCACCGTCCGACCATCGAGACCCTGACGGAGAGGGTGGCCAAGGTCAGCCAGACCTCCAACCCCATCGTGGCCCGCAACCTGCAGGCTCAGATGGAAGGCATCAACCAGCGCTACGGCAAGCTCTGCGACGGCGTCGGTGCCTTCGACCAGGACCTGCGGGGGATGCTGGACAAGCTGGGCAAGCTGCTGGACGACGTGGACCAGCTGGAGGACTGGATGTTCCCGGTCCTGGACACGCTGGAGTCCCGGGACCTCAAGAAGCAGGAAATCCCCGAGATTGAGCGGGCCATCCAGGTATGATAAGGATTCCAGGCAGGATAAAGCTTTTCAGGCATACTGAGAAACGTGTGTTCAGAGAAGGATGTTGCCTGTACTCATTTGTGACACTAGGACCTAATATCATGGACTGCCACTGCTGAGCTTACAATGTTCTGCTATAGATTATGAGTGATATGCACCGCAAAAAAAACCCAAAACCCAAGTAGAAAAATTGCTTAGATTTACATCAACACTTACAGTTAACACAACTTGTCTATCAACTGTTAAGCAGCGCCATGAAAAATGGTCCCTGGTTTGCAGTCCAGTTTTTGCATGTTTACATTGTTTTGCCGTTTGCATCCCGATTTCTGTTGCAGAAAATCACACGGGAGGTGGACACCCACACGCCAGAGTACAAGCGCATCGGCAAGGTGGCTGAGGAGCTGACCAAGCACCACCGCACCCGCGACCCGACCTTCGTGGTGGACCTGATGAAGAGCCTGGACAGGAACTGGCAGACCATGGAGGAGGCTCTCACTAGGCTGTAAGTGGCCAGGCCACCAAGTTTTTGCAACTCTAAACAAGTTTTTGCCGATATACAAGTTCATGATTAATTTCCCTGCAAGTACTATCCAGAATTTAACCCTTTGCCCCTAATTGCTTACGTTCTAGATGCATTTGTTTTTGCATTTTGATGCCCTATGAAGTCCATCATCATCCATGTTTCTGTTGCATATAGAGAAGCAAATTGTGGTAAAGCCTCCTGCTCATGGACACATTTTTTACAATTTTAAAATTGACTTCCTGCCTATAATATCCTGCAGTTAACTATTCGTCCTTCGTTGCTTACATAGTAGAATTGATCAAACAATGCATTTGTTTTCACATTTTGACGCCCAGTGAAATCCATTGTTAACCCCGTCTGTGTTTAATCTGAGCAGAGAGAAGCAACTTGTGGTAAAGCATCCTCCTCACAGACACAAACTTTCTTAATTCCTAGAGTGGCCAATTTTTGTCATGTCGCCTCTGTTAGTATCCATTGTCGTCTCCATCGATATCTCTTCTGAATAGAGAGAAGCAAGTTGTGGTAAAGCATCCTGCTAATGGACAGTGTCCACACCTTCCCAATTTCTAGACTGACTTATATTTTTTTTACATGTTGTCGTGAGAATTATCCTTAATTTCTCTCTTGTTTCAGGAATGACTACCTACAGGAGAGGAAACAGCTGCACAACAAGTACCGCAACTCGGTCAAGGTGGTCAGCATGTGGCTGGAGAGCACAGAGGTCAAGTTTGACCAGCTGCCCAACATTGCCCGGGATCTGGACACCCTCAAGAACCAACTGGAACAGATGAAGGTACGGAAGTTCCTTAACCCCTGAAAAAAGGTCTCATTTTGTCAAAGCTTTTCACTAATGGAGCTTGGTTGAGATCTGGTGTCCCCCTTCCCTGTCTCAAAGCCATGTAGGATCATGTGCAATTTCCCGGACAAAACCTACCAATTTAATGACAGAAACCTTTCTTACAGTAAAGGTAGAACTGGTATCAAATACCCTGTTGTCTGAAATGGTATTGTTCGGAAGAAAAGAAAACTTGAAGGAGGTTGCACTTTTTCATGTGATAGCAGCAGAATCCGGTTACGAGAATCGAAAAGTTGTGCGCATGTTTCCTCTGTTTTCTAGACAGGGATAGTAGTCTCTGTGGTAAAACTTCAACAGGCTAGTTGTGTAGTAGGGATGGTGTACTAAATAACTTTTTGTTTTCTTGTTAGCCCCTGAAACGGGAAGTCACCGGCTTCAAACCCAAGATCAACGAGACCTACGAGCTGGGCAAATCACTGGACCAGCTGATCCAAGCCGCCGAGACCGTGGTGACCAATCGCCGCCGCTCCACCAAGGTGGCCGGCGGCGATGCGGCGCAGATGGAACGGCGCGTGGTGGAACTCCAGCAGAACTTCCAGGTGTCCGAAGGTGAGTCGCTTTGGTTACTTGAGTGTTTTGCATTAGTTCCAAGATTTGAAGGAATCCTAAAATGCCTTGGCTTTGGCCCTCTGATTGATCGATTTCATTTGCAGAAGATTATCCCAGAGGCCTGTTTCAAGAAGTTCTTGCTCTATAATATTAAGTACAAAATTACATAAAAAGGACTACAAAAAAAGTCCAGTCATAATAACGTAAGTGGCCAAATCGGCTGTAGCAACCGCAAGTCTGTATAACTGCGCAATTCGGCTTTCGAGCCGGGATGGATGTTATTCATGTTAACTTTATAAAGAATAAACCAGTTATGAATGAATGAACGAATAAACCTGAAGTTGCTGCTTGTTTAATTTTACTGCGTGTTTACCTGTGCTCAACATCTATATGAAATTTGCTCCTGCATTATTTAGATTGATCTTTCCCCCCCCCCCCCCCCCCCCCCCCCCCCCCGCCTACTAGACACGGAGGTGATGCGGGAAGTGAAAGGCCTGCGCACCGCCTACGAGACCCTGGACAAGAATGTGATCCTGCGGGAGGAGGGCATCCAGGAGATGTACGACATCATCCGCCAGTACAACGATCGCAACCAGGACCTGCAGGTCCTGCTGGACTGGAGCCGGCCCATCAAGGCCAAGCTGCAGGAACGCATCCCAGACATCCGGGACGTGTCCTCCCTGCAGGCTATCATCACGGACCACAAGGTAATGCGACTCCCGTCACTCCTGTGGTTTTGTTAATCCTTGGGTGCGTTTCAGTCACGCCAACATGTTTGCGGTGTTAGCTAGGCCCCTGCAAACATGCCAACCCCAAATGGAGTAATAATATGACAATCCTACAAGTGCTGCTGTTTGGATAGCAGCTATTTAAATCCATGAAGAATTAATTGTGACTTAAGAAGTGAAATGTTGCCAGCAATATTTGAATCAAAGCCCGGTTCATAGTTCATGCGAATGCGAATAAAATTTGAAGTCATGAAACATGTGCTGCGAAATTTGCCCGAGTTGAAATATGTTCAACTTTCACAAATTCGCAGAGCGAATACTCCCCATTACGTCACAAATTTGTGTTCACTTTCGCTTTCGCACTAAATACGAACCGGGCTTTAATTGGGATGCAAAAAAATAGAAACTTAAAAAAAAAAAATTTGGAAAAAAATTGCAACTGACTTGAGAAGACTGTTTACCTTCATTGCTAATGTTCTCCAATGTGTGTAATTTCTAGTCCATCTGGGCCATAGAAATGTTTCATGCAACACTTGCAAGAAAAATTAGAAGCCTGGTAAATGTAACAACCTTGCAGAGGTAAAAATCCCAAAGCCAAATTCGCAGAGTCTGTGATTTCCAAACGCAGCAGGATTCAACTTTGGCAAACTGCTTAACAGTACTAGCCCCCATTGTCTCAGAATTGGCCGTTTATGCACTGGTGTTGATGCCTCATTGCAGCAAGGTCCCACAGGCTTTTTACACCTGTCACACTTGTTGCAGCTGGCAAGGGTTTGGGTTAATTGATTAATGCATCGCTCATTCTCAACAGGCCCTGCACTCTGAGCTGGTCTCCCGCCGGCCGGTCATCCTGGAGGCCATTCAGAACGCCGAGCACCTACTCCACGACCGTCGCGACAAGCTGACCCCGCAGCAGGTCCAAGAGATGCAACGTCGCATCGACGAGCTGAGGGAGTACTACGAGAACCTGGTCGGACTGTCGCTGGAGAGGCTGAACGCCCTGCGGGACATGCTGGCCCTGCTGGACTCGGAACAGAGAGACAAGGTAGGCGAAGGGATTTTCAACTGAGCCTCCCTGGTTTAATGGGTTGTTTGTTTTTCATGGAAGTTCATAGTAATAATGTAGGATTTATATTGCAATTTGTCTGGAGAATCCAACCCAAGATTTGTGGGTAACCGTTCAGGGTGTGAGTCCAGCCTGAGGTGAGTTTGTCTTACATACGCAGTGTGGACTTCCGAACAAAAGACGTCCACATAATGTAGGTAGCACCGACGTTGTGTGGACTTACCCCACGTCCACACAGTGTTTCCCCATTTCTGGAAAACAGGTTTAGAGGCATTTTTGGGTTAGGTTTATCTGTAGCAGAATGAAGAGAAACACTAAAGGGAATCATAGAAAAAAAATTGGGTTGAAAGAGTTTTCACAGTTTGAGAAAAATGAGTTTTTTCACTGGTTTTTCTTAACTACACGAAAGCAATGGAAAGTCCACACTAGTCATGTGAAACAAGTGTGGGTGTGTGTGTGTGTGTGTCCTTGGGCAAGTCACTTTATCATTACTTGCTCTCTCTCTCAACCCAGGAGTAACGGTAGCTGGGCAAAGATGGTTTACTGGGAGGGCAAAGATGGTTTACTGTGATTGTTTTTAGCTGCTTTGCTACAAAATAACAGCATCAAGCTGTAATACTCCCCGTGGAGCTGAGATGATCTGTGGAATTTGACTTGGCCCAACGAGCTGGGGTAGTAATGATGTAGCAGCCTTAACATCAATATTAAAGGAAATGTGCACTTCATAGATGTGCATTAATTATAAATAATAACAATACGTAGCACTCTTGTCTACCGGTAGTTGTGAATGTACAATTGAATGTTTTCATTTTGACAATGTTAACTTCCCCCTTCTGTTCCAGGCTGCCCTGGAGCGTGAGACCAAGCAGCGAGTGGACACCCTGGTGGACCTCCTGGACTGGGTCACCAAGGCAGAGCAGTCCCTGGGCAATGAGCAGCCCCTCCATGAGCAGCACCCGCCGCTCACACACCAAGCCAAGGAACACAAGGTAGGAAAGAGTTGTATGTCTAAGATACCCCAAGTTTTTCCCCTCTCTTCCGGATTAACTGGTCAGAAAGAAAATCAGCCTGTTATGATGTATCCACAGCTAAGTACAGCATAGATACCTGTTATTTCACTTGTAATGTTGTTTTTTTTTATCCGCAGACACTCAACGATGACATCTTGGCTCACCAGCAGCCAGTGCTTCTGGCAGTGCACAACACGGAGACCTTCCTGGAGAACCGCGGCGGCCAGCTAGGGCCCGAGGTCCGCAACAAGCTCCAAGAAGGCAAGACGGCCCTCAAGACCCGCTACGACACCGTGACCAGGGATTCAGAGTCCCGCGTGCGCCAGCTGAACAACGGCGAGGACATCTTGGAGCGGCTGGAGCCGGACGCCGCCAGCTTAGAGGAGTGGCTCCAGGGAGCCGAGCGCTCCATGGAAAAGTTCCACCGGGAGATTGGCTCAGACACGGAAACGCTCCGCCGGCAGGTGCGCCAGCTCAAGGACTTCAACGAGGACGTCTTCAGCCACAAGGGCGACCTGAAGATGATCAACATGGCGGGACAGAAGTTCGTCAACGGCGCGGACCTCTACCGCAAGACCATCGGCGACTTCCGCACCAACGTCCTCCCGCGACAGTTCAACCAGAGCTTCCGCGAGGACCCCGAGAGGAACCTGATCCGGGACAACCTGAACAACCTGAACGCCCGCTACGACCGGCTGCAGAATGCCAGCAGCACACACTTCACGGTCCTGAGCGACCTCCTGGACAAGCTGGCCCGCTACAAGGACTCTGTGGATGTGACCCTGTCCTGGCTTCAGGAGGCCTACGAGACGCTGAACAGACTGATGAGAGAACCAGTGGGAGTGGAGCCAGAGTTTGTCCGCAAACAGATTGATCGACTCAAGGTGAGGAAATTTTTTTGTTGTTGCCTGTTTATAATATTTAGAGATTGGCAGCTATCATAAAAAAATTTCAGTTGAAGATATGTTTATACTGAACATGTCTTTGTCCAGTTCGCACTGGAAGCCGTGTATACACACAAAAGTTTTGCGATATTCGGAACGGATGACAGATAAACACGCAGGGAGCGAGGCCGGAAATATCTGTCTGCGACCCGTTCGCAGCGAGCAAGGCCAGATATATGAGTGTGCTGCCCGAGGGTGATGGCTTATTTCTCTCTCTTCCTCCCTCAGATTTTCTACGATGATGTCACAGCGCACGCCAAGGACGTGGAGCGCTGCCGTGAGACTGGCCAAGATCTGTGCGAGGGTCATCCCGAACTCAAACCCGACGTGGAGAAAACAGTCGGTCAGTAGTTATCATTGTTGGAATCAGTATTTATCTGGGGTGCCTGGAGAATAAGAATTATTATTTGTTTCCCTGTTTATTCCATATTGTGTCGTTGATATTCACTGCAAACATTCTGGGACCAAAAAAAACCAACCAATTTGTGAGGCGTTCTGGCAAAATGAGACGAAACTGGGCACAGGCCTTTGTGGAGAAAAAGGCAAAAAAGTTAATAGGGGTGATTTTTTTTCTGATTTTTAGATTTATTGATATTTGTAATCTTTGATATGTCAGCTGCATACATTTTTAAAAACTTGTATTAAAATCGTGGAATAAAAGTGTTTTTAAGAAAAACAACTGGCATCTTTATTTTCATGACTGAATATTTGAATATTAACCAAATATTTTCATAGCCTTTGCCAATTTGAATATTTGAAGGAAAAAAGAAAAAAACAACGTACATACACACGTTATCGTAAAGTTGCAGCTTTTGTGGACTTTTACTTTTTTGTCAACGGCGGTTCATTGTTCACATCTTTTTAGCAGGTTAAAGCCCTTTTGAAAATTTAAAAATGTTTATTTTAAAATACTCCAGTGCCTCATATTGATTGCTGCATGCAAATTTTAACCAGAAATTTCTTCGTGCAGATTTTTACCGGCACAGCATGCAGTTGCAGCTGGCAGTTTCAAATATCCAAATATTTGCTCCAAATCAGTTTCGGGTAATCGAAACTAAATTAAGTAAACCCCATAGCTTCACTAACATACTCCTGTCTCTCGTTTGTATTTTTCCAGGAGCCATCGTCGACAAATACAACGGGCTGAACTCCAGCTACAGTGACCGCATGAACCTCCTGCGCAGCACGCTGACCAAGACCCAGGACGTCCAGGAGAGCATGGACAGCATCCTGAACTGGCTCAACACGGCCGACCGCACCGAGACCCAGCTGGAGCAGGGCTCGGTCCTGCAGGCCAAGCGGGAACCGATTCAGGAGAGCTGCAACCAGCAGAAGGTATGTTCGTATTTTTGTTCGACCTGAAAGGCCATCCTGCTGTACTCTGGCTGACTGAGTCTTTGACTGACTGGCTTGACTGAGTCACTAATGTCCTAAACTGTGACCTTCAGGTACAGCTTGACTAGGCACACCTAGTCCTGTTCTTATCTCAGGATTCCTACAATCATGGAAACAAATCCTGGAAGATCCTTGAATTTAGAGCTATAAGGCCAAAAAATAAAAGTCTCCGGTTTCTGGTATTCGCGCGTGTCGTCGCCATGCGCCTGTCGGCAATATTGAAAAGTTGTTTTTCCAATATAAGATGATGTCTCAAAACTGCCAAACTCACTGGTTTGACTGGAATTCTGCTGCTGCACAATTTTAATTTATTTTTAGATGGGGACACGATCGAGTGTAAGCTCCCATACATTTTACACTATATTTAGTTGGGCACCATTTGCAGAAGGTGTTGCAATTTTGTAATTGTGCGTCTGGAAGCCAGACTGAGGGAGCGATGTCCTGTATCTGGAACCTGTAAACACTTTTTAATGAGCGCAGACTAATGACCAGCCTGGCAGTCGCTGGATGGTCCAAGTTATAACGTTACTACCATTTTCCCTGATTTTTGTCTTGACTATCCAAATTTCCCGAAGAATGTTCGTGTCGGTCGAGATCGTAAGTGGGTGCAGAATTCTCAAGCCTTATGGCCTTACTGAGGTCACCTCAAGTTCCACTCTGAAGCAAAGTTTTTGGAGAGTTTTAACTGGGGATCGAAGTGTCATCTGCAACATCAGCCGACATTTGCAGAAAAAAAAAGTAGGAAAAAAACAAACAAAAAAACGTGTCGCCGCACCACTTTTGGGGCAAGCTCCATTCCAGAACCCGGAGACTTTTTTGGGGAGCCTAATGGAAAGCCATGGAATTTTGTTATGCGACAAGTCTTGGAAAGTTGATATTACAAGAACAAAGTCCTGGAAATGTCCGGGAATCCTGCACAGCCCGTACGTGATGATGTGAAATATTCAGCTATGGCAGTCATCGAGTTAGCATCCCAGTTTACAGTTCATGTACTTCCTCTTTACGCATGTTCTTGCATGCTTTTAACTTGTTGCATGTCCAGTGCACCATTGTGATGCCTTTAAGGTGCTCAGTTGTCTTGCATCAAACTGGAAGGCAGAAAGGTACTGGTATCCTTTGCCTCAGTGTGATGACTGGCCAGCATATTGTGAATAGGCTCCTAAGATGCCAAAACAGTGTAGGAATTGGTCATGGAAAGACCTTTTACATTATTGTATTAGCTGTATACACATTGTGTATCTTGAAAACAAAAGAGGAAACTATCGCCATTGGAATTTTGAGGATCCGAAACATGATGTAACAATTGTCTATTATCTATTGCTGTGCAGAGTTTCATTTTATTTTTTACTTATTTAATTTATTTTATTTCAATTAAAAGAAACAAAAGTGTTTGAAACGATCGAATTACATTATTATATTAAAAAATGAAACATTGATTGATTTGAAATTTATTTTCTCCCGTCACAGAGCTTTGCCACGGAGCTGCAGAGCTATCGGCCCAGCATTGAGTCCGTCAACATGAACGCTGCCCCGCTGCTGCGCGAGAGCACCCCGGAGATGGCGCGCACCATCCAAACCAAACTAGACAAGATCAACTCTGGCTACAGTGACATCAGTGACCGCACAAAGGTATGTAAAACAAAGTCCAGTCCGTGGATTAAGGCTGTACCAAATATCCAAATTTTTGATTGGGTTGATCTGGGTCACTCCTCATACTTTGTGGTTTAGCGCAACTCTGAAACCCAGTCTGAAACAGGTTTCAGTCAAACACCTGTAAATTAACGAACCAAGTCATTTTGTAATCAAAAAAGTATTGCCTTCAGGTCCCCAACCCTCTGTCAATTCACGTGTCCAATTTCCCTCTTTTTTTCTTTTTTTTAAATATTCCAGAAACTTGGTGACAACTGGAACAACGCCAGGAACCAGGTGGAGAACGCAGAGGATTCCGTCGACACTCTTGATGACTTCATCCTGCCAGTGGTCGAGCAGCTGCAGTCTTCAGAACTCATGAAGATGGATCCGCCCCTGCTCAGCAAGAAGCTCAAGGTAAGAGTCAATCACAAGATCATCACAAATCTATTCACAAGTCCAGTCACAAGTCCGTTTACGAGTCCAGCCTCAAATAACAGGCGATAAACAATAACAACAGAATGCCTGACTTTGTCACAGTTGGGGACTTGAGATGGACTTGTGCTGTCTTGTGTGAGGTTTTGTGAGGACCTGTGAGGTTTTGTGAGGACCTGTGAGGTTTTGTGAGGACTTACAAGCTTTATGAGTAGTTGTGAGGTTTTATGAGGACTTGTGAGGACTTGTGATGGACTTGTAAGGACTTGCAGTGGCTCCTTGCGAGAGCAAGACGGGGTGTTTTTGACCAGTTCTGAGAGCTCCAATGGAGGGAAACACAACATGCGTGTACTGGTTCATGCTTGTATAGCGTGAAGGTCCACGACCAATTCTATTCTAGTCAGACGTCGTCGGCAGTGCGTTCAAATGCCACTCTCAGTGGTATCCCCCAACTCTCCATTTCGTATGGTTGCGTGGCTCCAGTTTTGAGAGCCCCAAAAGTCCTCACAAGTCCATCACAAGTCCTCACAAGTCCTCACAAAACCTCACAAGTCCTTACAAAACCTCACAAGTACTCACAAAGTATTGTTGAGGGAGTACTTGTGCATGGAGCCAATGGACTTGTGATGGACTTGTGACTGACTTGTGACCGACTTGAGACTGACTTGAGACTGACTTGAGACGATTTGTAAGAACATTTCCACATCTCTAACAAATTATTCTGGGTCAACTCATTCCATGTTTAATGTTGACTGGAGGTAGTACACAGTGATTAAATTGGACAAAAAAAGACCCCTGCCCCCCAAAAAACCCATTGGAAGATAAACGAAAACATGAATTGTTTGTTGATTATAACCATAGGACATCAGCCAGCAGATTGACCGGCAGCGACCTAACTACCAGAAGACCCGTCAACAGATGGAGGAGGTCATCAGGAACCCTGCCATCAAGGACTCCTCCGCCATGTCCTCCATGCTGAACAACGTGGACGGCAACTGGAACACAATGGAGGACATCCTCAACACAAGGTATCCCTGCTTGTCTTTTCACCCTTGATGAACATGTATTATGTAAAAGTCCAGCAAAGATCTCTTTTTAATGATTTTGAGCATCTCCCAACTTTCCCTTTCTTACCATTGAGGGGGTACTTGGTCATGGATTCCATGTTTCCACACATTGCTATAAGTGCTCAGGCGTAAGCTACCCAGCAAATTAACCACTTGTCGACCAATGGTGTTCTTTCAAACTTAATTGCTGCTATGTTGACATGGAATGATTTTTCCCCTGAATCTCCTATCAGGATGCAGCAACTGGAGGAGTTGGAGGACGCCAACAGGCACTACAACACCTGCAGTGACGACATCGACCGGATCGTGGGCACCATGGAGAGGAAGTTTGAGCAGCTGCCGTCGGTCACACGAGACAGCAAGATTATCTCTAGTCAGATGAACAGTGTCAAGGTAAGGAACTAAAAGAGTGCTCAAGGCACTACATCATTATTACCCCCGCTCATTGGGCCAATGAAACATTCCAAGTACCATCTCAGCTCCCCGGGGAGTATACAGCTCGATGCTGCCATTTCGGCACAAAGCAGCTAAAATCAACCACAGTATTTAAACCATCTCTGCCCTCACAGGTACCCATTTACTCCTGGGTGGAGAGAACCAATGAGTGGCAAAGTGCCTTTCCCAAGAAAGCAGGAGATCAGGCTCTCACTGTGGCTGGTCCAAGAATCTGGAACTCCATCCCACAATCAGTTCGATGCTCCACCTCAATACATATGTTTAAATCCTCACTAAAAACCTACCTGTTCACTTGATTCATGTTAATGTTCTTTTTTGTTTTTTTCCCCCTACTTTATGTACTATCAGAGGTTTCCTTGGTTGCACTTTGTAACCTTTGGAAAAGGCGCGTTATAAATGTTATTATTGTTATTTATTAAAGGGCAAGTTGGATTTTTGATTTTGCAATGGCTGCTGGACCGAAAAAAAAAAATCCTGGCTACCTTCCAGCCCGAAGGGATTTTAAGAAAATTTGTTGGCATCACTCTTGAATGAGAAACTCATTACGTATCAATATAGGTTTCAATATCAGGTTTTGCCCTTCACTGAAGTAACTTCAAAAGTACTGTATGCTCTGTGCTGTCTGAGCGCTTGCATGAACAACTACTCAAGCTTACTCGGATGGGACTCGAACCCACACCCTCCTGCTTGCTAGTGCAGTCGTCTTCCAACTCGACCACCACTCTTGCTGGGGTCGGCTGGCTGGTTCGAGTCTGCTACGGCAGCGAGTGATATTCCATTGTTACATCAATCATCTCTTGATTTTTTCCTTTTCCGCAGCCATTGAAGAAAGAATCAGCCCAGCTCAAGCCGCGCATGGAGGAGATGTCGAACATCTGCAAGACCCTGGACAACCTACAGCGGGAGGTCATCACCCCGGTCCAGGCCAAGCCCGTCCAGCGCTCCATGCAGCTGGGCAGCATGGCCCCCGGTGAGCCCCAGGTCAAGAAGGTCAAGAGGACGTTTGAGGAGCTGTCCCGCAGCACTTTCCTTCCCCAAGGTAAGATTATCCAAGCTTTTTCCGCGTTCGCATTGGACTTAAGTTCGTAATTATGGTGGATCCCAGGTCAAGAGGACGTTTGAGGAGCTGTCCCGTTGTGCCTTCAGTCCTTGTAAGATTATCCAAGCTTTTGAAATACTAGCGATAAATAATAAAAATAAAATAAACAATGTGGTAACAAAATGGTTAAAAAATTGGACACTTATAACCAACACATGGACCACAAAATTGGGATCTTGTGCGTGTGACCAACAGACAAGGGCTTAAACAGTCAACTTTTTCTACCTGACCAGAATCGGAGCCCACCCAGCGCCTCAACTCTTCCAGCCGGCGCTATGACGACCTGAGCAAGAACATCAACTACCGTCTGGAGGACCTGGAGCTCATGCAGGACTTCATCGGCCACAACGACGACGGCAACGACCTGCTGTCCTGGGCCATGACCACGGACGCCAAGCTGGACCGACAGCGACCCACCAGCAACGACATCGACACACTGCAGAAGGAGATCGACAACTTTAGTGTGAGTGGATTGTTTGTCATCACAAGTCCATCAGGAGTTGCATGTCAACTGTGGCAAAGCTTAACTTCGTCATTGCCCATCCCTTTATATTAGTAACTAGACTTGTGATTGATTCAGGTAACTTGCCTTTTCTAGATGATTTGTTAACAAGAGGAGATTTTATCACCTTTGTCTCCAACAGCTCCTGGCCCAAGACGTTGACAACCACAACAACCCCATCAACGACATGATCCGTCGCCTCGACAACTTCTACAACCAGAACCTGGACCGTCTGTCGCCCGAGCAGCGCGACGCCCTGCAGCGCCTCAGCGACGACCTGCGCAACCGCTACGACGAGCTGGTGCGCAAGAGCCGGCTGGAGATGACGGACGCCGAGAACCGGCTGAACCAGCTGCGATCGGAACAGGACGAACTGGTCAGTCTTAGTTGAATGATGACTGTCGTTTAGAAAAATCAATAGACTCTCTGCATCCAGAGACAAAACTTTTCTGAATTTGATTGGAAAACCGACTTTCTGACTTTTCCAACAAAACGTGATTTTTTTAACGATTTTTCCACAATGTGTGATGTTATTTAAATTATAATTTCAAAGCAGAGTCGAAAAAGTTGATGAAAATGGCACATACAAATTATTGCGAACGTAGTTTTAAACTTTTTCACCGGTCATAACTAGAGTGTTTATACTGTAGAAACACTTAGGCCAACACTGACTGAAGCCTTTTCCGGCTTGATAAATGGTTAAACATTGACCTGTGAAATGGAAAATTACTACGTTGAATTTTTTTATAAATTTTTGCTCATTAAAATTGTGCAAATACATCTGGCCACATGCACTGATAATAGTTGGCACTTGCTGTAAATCACTCTTTTTCAAATCACCAAGTGCACGGTACAAAATTCATTTCTTGTTACTTAATTGGAAAAAAAGGGAAACCAGTTACCTTCACAGGAACCAGTTACCCTCCAAGGAAGCCTGTTACCTTGGAAACCAATTATCCTGCTTGGGAACCTATCACCCTTCCAAGATTTACTGTCGAGACTAAGATTAAAAAAAAAGTAGACTCTGAGAAACGAGGATGTACATCTTCTGAACTTTCATCCTTTTTTTTCTGGTTTTTGTTTTGCAGAACACCCTGAATTCCCGCAGTCAGAAGCTAATGGGCGATATGACGCAGCTCTCCAACTGGATCGACAATGCGGAGAAGGCCCTGGGTTCTGAGCAGCCGCTGAACGAGGAAGTCAGGCCCCTCAACCAGCAGGTCAACCAACACAAGGTAAGAGATTGAAGCGATTTCTGAAACCTTGGCTTCATTTATGGTTTTGACTACAGGAGATTCCTGGCCAAAGTTTAAAGCAGTTTGAAAAGTTGTAAGTAACATATTGGCACCGTACATGTGTGTGTGTGTACTTTTCCTTTATTCCTCAAATGTCGGGCAAAAATGTCAACAGTCCTCTTAACATCCCTGGAAGTGGTGTAAGCACAAAACGGTAATCCTACGCACAGAATTTAGCAAAGCCGTCAAATTGGGCATTGAATTCCGTCTGGTGGTTCTTCATGTTCAATTCAGCTCAGTTTGCAATTTTTGCCATGAATAAACCATTTTTTGAATTGAATTGAAATTCTCAAAATGTCCAGGTCCTCCATGAGGACATCGTCAAGCACCAGGAGCCCATCCTGAAGTCAGAGCAAGACACCAAGCGCTTCCTGGACCAGTACGGCCCCCGCCTGCGGGACGCTGACCGTAGCAAGCTCCAGGACATGGCCGACAACCTGCACTCCCGCTACGACGTGGTCAACAACCAGTCCCACCAGCGGCTGAACAAGCAAGGGTACTGCGCTGACGACCTGAACAAGTACGACACGGAAGGTGGGTCCTTCGGCAGCTGGCTGGACGGCGCCGAGCGCAAACTGCAGCAGGCCCAGAAGAGCGTACCCCAGGACCTGGAGGCCCTGCAGCGGCAGATTGCCGACCAGAAAGCCTTCACCGAGGAGGTCAGCGACCAAAAGGGAGACCTGAAGTTCATCAGCATGACAGGCCAGAAATTCCTCAATGATGCAAAGGTTTGTAGTAGTTCTGTAGAACTTCAAGTAGCTGGAATCATTCAAAATGATGCATGTGCGGGAGGAGACGTATGTGGTTCAAATACAATACAAGGCTTACCCAGTCAAACAGGACCCGAAAGTCTCAATTTGGGTCATTATTTATACTCCATCAAAAATGTAACCAAGACAAAATGTGGCATATTTTTGTTGAAATATTTCAAGAATGGTACCTAAGAAAAACGAAAACCATTTGCTTGGAGGAAAACCTGTCTTCAAATTTTACAAACTCCTTTTCGTCATATGAAATAACAATTCATGTAGCACCTATGACTTCACAAAGTTTTGAAAATTTCTGAAAAAAAAGTGAGATTAATTTACTGTTTAAATTAATGTTTGAAATCAGGACTTGTAAATACAGTTACACCATTTCTGTAAACCCGCCCCCCTTCTGCAGGGCTACAAGTCCGACCTGTCTGAGTTCCGGGCCACCACTCTGCCCCGCGACTTCATCCGCTCCTTCCAGGAGAACCCCGACACCAACATCATCACAGACCGGCTGGGCAACCTGAACGACCGCTACGCCAACCTCAAGACGGACAGCATCCGCTTCACCAACGAGCTGGCCGACATCGCCGACCGCTTGCAGCGCTACCAGAAGTCAGTCAACACAGCCGACCGGTGGCTTGGGGACTCGCGCTCCACGCTGGACGGTTTGTTGAGCAAGCCTGTCCCAGCCGAGGCGTCGGAAATACAGAAGCAAATCGACGACCTCAAGGTACTCAATCGAATTTATAGCAAGTTGATTGTATGTTGGAGCTTTTATTACTTTCTAATGTTTTCACAAAATCTTTAAAGATTTAGGAAGACACTTCACAAAATGAGTTAGGGATTTAGGATCAATTTTTAGCAAAATAAACCTAAAAATTATAGTAGTCTTTAAGGTTCTGTTTTTCAAGAGAATTACCAGAAACTTGTATTTTTGTCTTGCAAGTCTCTCTATGCCCTCTTTTCTTTATAATTGTTATCCTACTTCTCCAAAATTTGACCTGTTGTTTAAATTTCAAATTAATAGATAAGATCCACTTTTGAAGTTAATATCAGTTCAAAAATTTCAGACCTTGTTCAATTTCCTTCTAATTTTGTCCCTTGAACCAATTTGCCCAAAATACCTACCGAAGGAAGCAGGATGCTTTGGGTTCACAAATATCATTAAAAATTCTTCCCCACTAGGTCTTCTTTGACGGTGTGGTGCACTTCTCGGACGAGATCGACGCCGTCAAGACCAACGGCAACGACCTGTGTGCGGTGCAGCCCCAGCTGGCGCCCAGCGTGGGCCGGACCACGGACGACGTCAACCAGCGCTACAACGCCCTCCACGGCCAGATCGGGGATCGGCTGAACAGCTTGCAGGACGCCCTGGGCAAGTCCCGCAGCGTGCAGGACAGCCTGGACAGCCTGCTCAAGTGGCTGGACCAGGCCGAGAAGGAAGCCCACATCATGGACAAAGGGACCGTCGTCAAAGTTGAACGGGAGCCACTGCAGGAATCCTCGCAGAACTGCAAGGTAAACGGGTAGTTCGGGCAACAACCCACAAAACCTCTCACTTCGGATTTTCGGTTGCGCAGGTCGTCGCTGAGGCGCTGCAGGGCATCGCGCTGCTCGGGCGACAGACGGTCCAGGTTCTGGTTGTAGTGGGACGTTGGCCGATTGGCACGTGATGTACAAATAACGCATTGCGTTCAGTATTGCATGAAGTCTGCTGGAGGAGTAGGTCAATCTCCTGGCAGTTACTGTCGTTGTTTACCGCTCTTACTTGTAAATGTATTTATAAATCAACTTCCTGACTCCGTGGGTTGCACACTCATTTTAAAAATGTCTTGAGATCTACAAAAACTTGCTGTTAACCAATTCGGCTTGTAAAGCATTGTGTGTGTTAAACTACACACGCAACAATTCTATAAATTAAAAAGTAATTATAGGCTTAAAAGTCTTCCGATGGTATTTTGAATCAATTCCATTCCCCATCGCAGGTCTTCCAGACGGACATCAACAACCATGCCCCCGTGGTGCAGAACCTGAATGACCAAGTCACCAAGCTGATGCGCACCAGCGAGCCCAAGGTGGCCGAGGTCCTGAAGAACCGCATGGACGAGGTCAACCAGCGCTACGCCGGCGTGGACCACACAGCCAAGCGGCACGGCGGCCAGCTGACAGACCTGACGGACAAGCTGAACGAGTTCGAGAAGGAGGTGGACCTGCTGGAGAACTGGGAGCTGCCGTTGCTGGAGACGCTAGAGTCGCGCCGCTTCATGAAGGACGAGCTGCCCAGCGTCCACAGCAAGCTGACGGTGAGCTTCTAAATCCGTGTTCCCATTTAACCTGTAACACTTATGGCGACCGTTGAGTAACACTTATGGCGACCGTTGTCAACTTATTTAAAATTAAGTCAAGTGTGGACAGCCCCCCCATGTGTTGATCGTCGATTGTAAGCTTTACTCTCTGCAGTGATAAGTTTACAGGGCCAACAGGGTTGCGATAGAATACTTGTGCTGTGTTCTGCGATATTTGTCTGCACCCACATCTGGTGTTGGGTTAAAGGCCAATCGTAGGGCGCTCTAGAAGAAATCCTGTGAGAGCACGGTATGGTGACGTTTAACGTTACAAATCCAAGTGTGGACACACAGAAAACTAACCACAATGGATTGTTAGCAGTCACTTGCAGCAACATTATACAAAAAGTTAAGTCCAGTGTGAACGCAGCATTAGCGTATGTAGAAATCCCATTCCAGCGAAGCCGCATTTTCTCAGTGGGGACAAATTTGCTAAGAGTCGTTTTTTTTTTATTTGAAAAAAATTATGTTCATTTCACCCAACCTTGCCGTAACCAGACATGCCAGAAGATGCTAAAAGAGTTTGTTCTTTTCTGCGTTTTTATTGAGCTGCAGTTTTCTAGGTAATGTTGTGAAAATGTGAAAATTGAAAAAAAAACAAAAAAAAGACCGCCCAAAGAGATCTGAATTCATCTTTGCCACATTTATTTCCGTCTCTCTTAGGATGCCACCAGGCAAGTAGAGAACCACCGGCCCCAGCTGGCCAAGGTCCACAAGCTGGCCGAGGAGCTGCTCAGCCACCCTCGCGGCAACGACACCACCTACGTCCAGAAAGTCCTGGACAGTGTGGACAGCAACTGGGAGACTACAGAGGACGTCCTGGAGAAGAGGTACCGACATTCACAGTTCAAGATTTGACAATTTTTGTTGAGATGTAAAAATGGCATTTAAGTACTTCAGGTTTTAAAGATGGAAATTTAGTTTACTTGATAAGATTGTGAATGCCATGCACAACTAGTAGATGGCACTTTGAGACCATTTTCAAGAGCCCTATTGGGAGGGACAGGACATGTGCCCATACCAGTTTGTGCGCATATTGCGCGAAGTAGGCATGACTTCTGGATATGCACAAATATGTAGTGTCTTTGTGTGAGCACTGGGCGCGATAGGTAACGCTTTCGAATGTCCCTTCGAGCCTGTTAGCCGTTATACCACCCTAAACCACTGTAGCACACTAAGGAATAAATACAGTGTATTACAGTGTAGTACAAGTGCTAAAGGGTTAGTGATGAGTGAATGTAGTCATTCTATCAGGGCTAACTGTCTCTTTCTGCACTCGCTATTTCATCAAGGAATTCCCAGTTCGAGAACCGCCAGGCGGCCACCAAGAAATACTTGGCTGCCCACAAAGACACCAGCTACTGGCTTGACAACACGGAGCGTCGCGTCAACCAGCTCCAGGCCGTCTCCAAGGATCCCGGAACCATCGACATCCAGTTGAAGGAGGTCCGGCCCATCCGGGAGGAAGTCGTGGCCTACGAGCCCCAGGTGGACACCGTCTGCAGCCTGGGTACCACCCTGGACCGGCTGGTTAAAGAGACGGAGTCACCGCTGTCCGTGCCGCCGCACCAGCGGTCGACTTCCGTGGGACAGGCCCGGCGACCCGGGGAGCGGCTGCGACCCAAGATGATCGAGGAGTCTCTGGATCAGAGCTTCCTGGAAGGTGAGAAAACTGTGGCACTGAAGCCCAATGGTGTAGCGGAGGTACCTGTGGTGGACCACAAGTACATCACAAGCAAACAAAATAAATCACACAAAATAACATCAACGAAGCCCAAAACCCAGTAGTTACAAAGTGAAAGAAAAGAGTAAAACCTCTAAATTTGTGGCAGTTTCTGTACAAAAGTGCATTTGCAAATCTTGCCACTTTTTTCTCCATTGCAGAGCAATCCCCCATCTTGGACGAGACCCAGGAGGTGCGTCACCGCTACGACGACCTCCTGCGCCGCCTGACCGGCCGGCAGGACCTCCTGGAGCTGCTGAGCGAGTACAACCAAGTCAACACCCGGCTGATTGACACCCAAGAGTGGGTCATCCAGATGGACTCAAAGCTGCACCAGAAGAAGCCCGGCGGGAAGGACCTGGGCTCGCTGACCCAGGACATGGACGATATCAAGGTATGCATCTCAAATCTCATTAACTTCAGTCAAGCATGATGAATATCCCCAACAAGCTTTTCACATCTCGTGATAGATATACAATAACAAGAATTTGCACAGCAGTAAAATAACTTAAGGAAAGAAGACTACAATCCTGGCCAAAATGGTTGAGACACCTGACAATAAGCATACCCTCTCCTGGTTCCTCACTCCCCTGCTCCCACAGTCAATGTTGATATCTTCAACTGGAGCACAGACCGTGCAACAAGAGACAACATTGACTTGGGGCTGGGGGAGGGAGGCCCAGCGAGGTTTGGCCGGAATTGAAGGCTTGCCTAGTCCAGCTGGACCCGAAAGTTTGACAGTTGGTCAGCTGGTGAGTCACAGCTGGATGGCTTCAGTTGGTCCGTCGTAGACAGTCTCAGCTTGACAGGACAAAAGTTCCACCAAGTGACTCAGACTGTCAGTTACTCAGACACAAGACCTCAGGTTGGCCCATTTTTGTCTAGCAAAATTGAAAGAATGAGTTGAAACTTTGAACAGAATGTAAGTAATGGTTGTGTCTACCTTTTTCACTCCCCAGACTATTCAGACCAACATGCGCGCCCAGCGGGAGCCCATCCAGGAGGTCATCAGCGAGGCCGAGGCCTACCTGCGGCTGAACAAGGACAAGCTGTCCCCCGAGCAGATTGAGACCTTACAGAAGCGCATCAACGAGCTTCGGCGCTACCTGGACCAGATCTGGGTCATCACAGAGCAGATCATTAAGGAGACAGAGACCGAGATTCACAGCATCAACCTCCAACAGGAGGAACAGGTACAAAAAAATAAGCCTAAGTCGGTGTCCGTAAGAAAAACGTGTACAAATCCTGTGGAGAGCGTCTGAAAAAAATAAGAAAAAAGAAGAGGTTCACAGAGTATCATTTTGAACATCTTTTTCTTTTTCTTTTCTCCAACTCCCTTTGGCTAGTCCAACCTTGGCCTAGAGTTCCTGACAGTGATGGAAGCCCTCAAGGATCTCCTGGAGTGGGTGCGGTTGAAAGAGGAGCAGCTGGGCTCTCAGCAGCCCATGACTGAACAGACCAACACCCTCAGGAACCAACTCAACACGCAACAGGTAAAAAAAAAAAATCACTTCGATAATGAGACATTGAGTGCTGTAAAATGTGAGCAAGTTTATGCTAGGACCATTAGTAGTAAACTAGTGGTTGATTCATTGCGTAACTTCTGCCTGCGCACTAATAGCTAACGCCTCTAGGCAAGCGATGGCCGAACGTCATCCCAAAACTCTTGGTCCTGGCCCCTGTTGTGCTTTATTGTGCAATGGCTACCGGTAAAAAATAGTCGACAGGAGTAGCCCAACATCCTTTGGAGCGAAGTTAGTCGAACTGTGTTAACGATAGTTCACATCCAAACTTGATCTGTGATGCCTTGTCATCCTCGTTCTCCCAGTTACAAGTAGTGGTTTTATATCGTGTACTTGGTGATTTTTTATTTCTAACATGTTTTAAGTGAATTGTTACATCTAATGCACCTCAAAAATATTTAGTGTAATACTGCATGTTGGATGGGTAAGATTATAATATGACAAGTTTGGAGAAAAAAAACAATCAGTTGTTTTCCAATCTCACGCCATGATTTGATCTGCACCCGTAACACCACATACAAAAACCAACACCAATTTAAAGCATGGCTAGGCATCAGACTATTCCGCACCCAAGTAAAATTTGCAAGGTTTTTGAACTTGGAAAATGATCCAGCACCAGGGTGATACAGCAGCTAGTTGCGAAACCAAAACACTTCTGGAAAAGCCTTTGTTTTTGTTCTGAATAAATTGTTCTTTGTTTTGTTCTACCAAAAATCCCATAAAGTTTGTACAAATTTTGTTTCTATTTCTTCCAATCATCTCTTCTCAGGAAATCAATGAGGACATTCAGAGCAAGAACGAGCCCGTTCAGCAGGTTTGCCAGGACGCGAAAGCCCTGCTGAAGGTTAAAGGTGACAAGATGGCTGCCGACAACAAGCGAGACCTGGAGGACGCCGTGGAGCAGCTCCAGTCACGCTACGCGGTCATCAACGGCAACTCGGCCGACCGCACCAACAAGCTGACCTTTGGCCACCAGGACCTGGACAAAATTGAGGAGGGATGCGGTATGTATCTTGCTTGCATTTCAAGTTTTAATTTCATTAATCCTCCGTCTTTCCTTTCCGAATGCTGTCTAGGCCCAGTGGTGGCATGGGTGGCGCAGTGCGTAAAGCGCTCCCCCCTCACCGCTGTGGCCCGGGTTGGATTCCCGGCTCGGCTCATGTGTGAGTAGAGTTGTTTGTTGAATCTCCTGTGCCACAAGGGTTTTTCTCCGGGTTCTCCAGTTTTTCTCCCGCTGCAAAAATCAGTACTTTCAATCTGGCTGTGCTCCGTCGTCTGATATGGCATGTGATGGCTGCCTATGGTGCCTTTAGATGTCTATTTAACTTACGGAAACACAAAGCCAAATTGGATGCTGCTGCACTTGACCATCATTGTATCTAAAGATAATATCTAACATTTTTTTTTTTCAAAAAAAAAATAGACATGGAGGAAACAAAATTAGCAAATAAATATTTTCCCCTACCGCTAGGTGATTTTGCAACATGGCTTCAGAATGCAGAACACGATCTGGCCACCATCCTCAAAAATGTCAGCAACGACTACGACACGCTGTCCAGGCAGACAGACGAGCACCAGAACTTCACTGACGACGTCGTGACACACTCAGCCGACTTGAAGTACATGAACAAGGCAACACAGAAACTCTTGTCTTCGGCCAAGGTAAGTCATTATCGTTTAAATGATCATTTGAAGTGCCATGGCATCGTGGTCTGGTGCATCGTTGGTAGTTCTGCAGGTCGTAGGTTCGATTCCAGCCTGGGGTTGTGGTGCGTGTGCCCTTGGGCAAGGCCCTTTGTCAATCATTGCTTCTCCCCATCCAGGAGTAAATGGGTATCTGTGAGGGCAGAAATGGCAGCACCGAGCTGTATACTTCCTTTCAGCTTTTGGAGGGCATCATCCAAGTACAATAAACCGCTTTTCTTAATTTCATTTTGTTTTTTCCCCATACCCAGACCTACAAGGAGTTCCTGGCAGCTTTCCGCCAGCGCGTGATGAGCCGTCAGTTCCAGCGCAGCTTCCAGGAGAACCCGGACCAGGACCTGCTGCACAAGATGCTGGAGGACTTCAACGCCCGCTACGAGCGGCTCAAGGCCGACTGCTTCAACCACGGCCGGCACCTGCAGCGACTCCTGAACAAGCACAAGCGCTTCTTTGACAAGTCAGAGGACACGGACGCCTGGCTGCGGGACGCCGAGGACCGCATGCAAGGCTTGCTCCAGAAGCCCATCGGTGCCGAGACAGACACCATCAAGCGACAGATTGATGAGTTGGACAACTTCAAGAAGGACGTCAAGCAGCGGCGGACCGATGTGGACAAGGTCAGAGACTTTGGCGAAGACTTGATTGCCATCCAGCCTAGCGTCCGTGTGCCTGTACAGAGGACAGTCGGTGAGTATGAGGTCTAAATCAGGAATCATTCAAGTTATACTCATTTTATTCGGGCATTCCAGAATAGTACCAAACCGAATGGTATATTAGCAGTGACTCAAATCAACAAAAAGGAGATTTTATTGTCCAATTGCCTAGACTCTTGGGTTGTTCTGAAAGACAGCAAATGTTGATCTTTTGGAAAATTGGCTCCTAACTGTTTCCTGGCTTTTTAAATATTTTCAGTTCATAAATGAAATTCCACGGATTCATTTTATTACTTTTTTTACAGAGGATATTGTTGACAAGTACGATTCCCTGGACGGTCAGCTCAACAACCGATCGCGCCTCTTGCAGGAGGCGCTGGCCCAGTCCCAGTCCATGCACGACAATCTGAACGATCTGATGAGCTGGCTGGACGGGACCGAGAAGGACGTCCACAAGATGGACAAAGGCACGGTGGTGGTGGTCAAGAAGGACCCCATGCAGCAGCAGATGCAACAGGGAGAGGTGGGTTGATGTGGATATAACAGAATTAACTTTCCTTGCAGAATGGATTAAGCAGGATTAACTTGCCTTGTGGAATGGATTAGGGAGTACTATTAACTTGTCTAGGGGAATGGATTACGAAGGATTAACTTGCCTATTGGAATATATTAAGTATGATTAACTTGCCTTGTGGAATGGATTAAGAAGTATGATTAACTTGTCTTGTGAAATGGATTACGAAGTATGACTTACTTGTCTTGCGGAATGGATTACGTAGGATTAACTTGCCTATTGGAATATATTAAGTATGATTAACTTGCTTTGTGGAATGGATTAAGTAGGATTAACTTGCCTTGTGGAATGGATTAGGGAGTACGATTAACTTGTCTAGCGGAATGAATTACCTAGGATTAACTTGCCTATTGGAATATATTAAGTATGATTCACTTGCTTTGTGGAATGGATTAAGTAGCATTAATTTGCCTTGCGGAATGGATTACGTATGATTAACTTGCCCTGTGAAATGGATTATGCAGGATTAACTTGCCTTGTGGAATATATTAAGTAGGATTAACTCGTTTTAAAGTAGGATTAATTTGCCTTGTGGAATGGATTAATTAGGATTAACTTGTCTTGTGAAATGCCCTCTCCCAATGTAGATCTGGATTAAGTAGGATTTACTTGCCTTGTGGAATGGTCCCTTGCATAGTAGATAAGGATTAAGTAAGAATAAATCTCGAATCACATTTTTGAATATTGTTTTCTTATTCAGGTAATCAACGAAGAAATCACAGCCAAGCACAACATGATCGAGGAGTGCGTCAACAGGGCCAACAGTTTTGTGCAGCAGTGCGATCCCGTGGAGGCCCAAGTCATCAAGTCCAAACTGGACAACCTTCACTCCCGCTACAATCAGGTAGGTGCAGAACAGTAGTCAAGTCACTTTGCTTGTGACCTGACTTGCGACCTGACTTATGACCTGACATGCGACCTGACTTGCCGCCTGACTTGCGACCTGACTTGCGACCTGACTTGCGGCCTGACTTGCGACCTGACTTGCGGCCTGACTTGCAGCCTGACTTGTGGCCTGACTTGCGACCTGACTTGCGACCTGACTTGCGATCTGACTTGCGACCTGACTTGCGACCTGACTTGCGACCCGTCTTGCGACCCCAGTTGTGACCCGACTTTTGACCTGACTTGCGACCTGACTTGTGACCCGACTGGAGACCAGACTTGAGATCAGACGTACCATAACCCTGACTTGCCACCGGACTTGCGACTTGACTTCTGACCCGACTTTGGACCTCACTCACGACCTAACTTGAGACCTGACTTGTGGCCTTTCTTGTGACCCTAATTGCGGCCTGACTTCTGACCTCAGCATGACCTGACTTGTGGCCGGCCTTGTGACACAACCTACGACCCAACTTACGACCTAATTTGTGATCTGACTTTTGACCTGACTTGTGACCCGACTTGTGACCCAACTTGTGACCCGACTTCTGACCCGACTTCTGACCTCACTCAAGTCCTGACTTGTGACTTTACTTATGACCTGACTTATAAATTGCTCTTGTGATGTACTTCACAACAACACTGATTTAAGGTTCATCTCTTTTCAGGTGAAAGACACAACCCAGGAGCACGGTCGGCAGATGGGCAGCCTCAAGGAACGGCTGAGCGACTTTGACAAGCTGGTGGATGAGCTGGAGAACTGGTTGCTGCCTGTCCTGGAGCACGTTGAGGGCAAGAAGTTCATGGAGCAGGACCTTCCAGTTGTCGGAGACCAGCTCAAGGTCAGTATGGGTGCACTGTGTCGCATTTGGCAGGGTTTAGGGTTAAGCAAATTTTGATATAAGAGGAAACATGTCTTTCCTGCTTGAATTCTTCAGAAATTTGAGTGTATAAGTGGGTCATGAATTGGGGCAAAGCTTAAAAGAATTGTCAGAATAAGAAATTAAGAGCATAATTTTGTTCTTTTTCTTCCGTTTTTTTTTCCCCCGCAGACCTACAAGATGCAGATGGACGACCGCCGACCACTGTACAAGAAAATCCACGAGGTGGCCGAGGAGTTAATGAAACATCCCAAGGCCACCGACGTCTCAGAGATCAAGACCATGATGACCAACATTGAGCTTAACTGGGACTGCCTGGATGCTGCTCTGGGCAAGAGGTTTGTTTGTTTGTTTTTGTTGTTTGTGTTTGTTTATGTGTTTGTTTTTGTTAGGGGGTTTGGTTTCAGACTAGCACTGACAAAAATGGGACACTGGAAACATGTTGCTAAAAAGCTCACTTTGTAGAGTGCTGATTAGGTTCTCCAGAGGATTCAAATTGCTCTTAAGTCAGTTCTTTGTTAGAACTTAGTGACCAATCCCGGCACGCTATCAATTCCATCATGAAGGCCCCCTTCAATGGCGAAAGCATTGTGCTAGCTATTGTTCAGATAATCCGTCATGGGGCAGTTGCTTTGTTCAATAGCGTGCACAATGGTTCCTCCATTGATGGGGGCCTCAGGAGTGTACAGTGATCGCGTGTCCGGATTCTTCTACAGAGGCCGGAACTGAGGTGGGACTGGGCTAGCTAACGCAGAGGTTGTTTGCACGCACTCCGCGCTCCTTTGCCCAATAGGGTTACCAAAACATGTGCATGCCTTAACTTTAAGAATGCATAAGACATCTGCGCGACCATGCGCGATCAGTAATTGCCCACGGAGTAGTCTATTGAAATGTTTTGTTCTGTCTCCCAATTCAGAACCAAACACTACGAGGAGCGGACCGCCGCCCAGAAGACGTTCTTCAACTACATGAAGGACGTCAACAACTGGATCGGCAGCCAGGAGCGGAGGATAGGCCAGATGGAAGCAGTGGCTAGAGACACCAAGCAGTTGCAGTCACAGATCACTGAAGTCAAGGTAAGCATCGCCCATGATATATCTGACTGCGACCCAAAGTCTTGGCTGATAAAGTTGAGGGATGCAGTCTAGGAGCTAATCTTGAGGAGTTTAGAAGCTTATTTTGGGGTGTAAGATCCTTGCTTCTGCCAACCAGTCCGGCGATAGCACATGCATCAACCGTACGGGATAGCTACTTTTCCGAGCTAGTTGAGGGATGCAATCTAGGAGCTAAACTTGAGGAGTTTAGAAGCTTATATTGGGGTGTAAGATCCTTGCTACTGCCAACCAGTCGGGCGATAGCTACTTTCCTCCCCTGTTGCATTGGAGAATCGACCAATAAAAGAAGTGCTTTGGCTCGTAAATATGCATGAGTTGTAATATTTTTTTACAAAATTTGCCTTACCATTTCCGCCTGCAGCCCTTCCAGCAGGAAGTCAAGGACTACAAGCCCAAGGTGACGGAAAACGCCCGTCTGGGAGCCATCTACGACAAGATGATCTACGAGACCGAGATCAACATCGCCACCCGGCCCCACTACCGCTCCACGGAGCTGGACCTGACCAAGCCCATCGACAGGAGAGTCTTTGAGGAACCCAAGTTCATCGAGGATCGTAAGTTAATAAAAATGCTATATCTCGGTCTCTTGTGTCCTTGTCAAGATGCTTGACCATAACTGCTTATTGAGGATCGTAAGCTATTTAACATTTTATATCTTGGTCTCTTGTGACCTGGGGCATTATACTTTACCATAACTGCTTTTGGATGATTGTTAGTTTTCAAATCATTTATCTTGGTGTCTTGTGTCCTTTGGCAGGATATGTTACCATAAGTTTTTATCAAGGATTATAAGTTACTTAAAATGCTATACCCGAGTCGATGAATCTATACCTGATTCGATGAATCTATACCTGATTCTATGAATCTATACCTGATTTTATGAATCTATACCTGATTCTATGAATCTATACCTGATTCTATGAATCTATACCCGATTCTATGAATCTATACCCGATTCTATGAATCTATACCTGATTCTTTGAATCAGGGAAGTATTGTTGGGCTTATGTCCTTGGGTAGGATACTTTACAATAATGCCATGTCTCATTCATGGAATGAAATGATGGGTGTTACAGTCAGAGTAGTCCATAGCTTTAGTAAAACGGCATGAAACCCTCCAAAGATGAATTTTTTACATCCGTCATAATTTCCAAAATGCTTGTTGAACAATTCTTTCCAGGTGACACGGAAGCAGACCACATGGTGGCCGACACCAACCAGCGCTACGAGCACCTGGTCTGGCTGCTGTCGGAGCGTCTGGAAGACCTGGAGCTCATGCTGCAGTTCATGGAGCGCTGCGGCGGGGTCTTCGGCCTCCTGGAGTGGGCCAACGACACGGAGACCAAGCTGAACCGTCTCAAGCCCACCAGCCGGGAGATCGAACCCCTCGAGGAAGAGATCCAGGAATTCAAGGTCATCGTGGACGACATCGCTTCCAAGAAGGTAACGAGAATCAGATTCGTTTGCTGTCAGGGCAAGTTAACGGACCCTTCCTACCTGTCAACTAGGGTAGCCACTGGCTAGCGGCTGCAGCTTCTTTCCCATAGACTCGTATGTCATTACCAGCCACAGCTATGTGATTCGGACATGACCTGACTTGTGAATTAGACTTGTTTAAGTCTCCAACTCACCCATTGTCACTTGTGAATTCGACTGGTTACCTATCTCACTCACTCCCTTGAAATTAGAATTGCTGAAGTCTCTTACTAACTGACTGTCAATCGTGATTTAGGTTTTCCGAATTGAAATAACACATTTGTCAATGAGAAGTGGCCAGAGCCGCCTCCATGGGCACGTGTGTAATTTCCAACCGTAGCCAAGAAATTAGGACACGGCCTCAGACTGGTTATCTATCTCACACACTGACTGTCACTTGTGAATTAGACTTGCTTAAGTCTCTCACGGACTGACTGTCGCTTGTGAATTAGGCTGTGTCTAAAACGGGCTTCCAGAGCTACGGCTACGTCTGTTGTCAGCGCGTCCCCGTGTATTTTCAATGGGCGCAGACCTAGACCAACAATCCTTGCCAAATCTCGCTGGGCCCTCAACCCCCCGGCCCCCATTCAATGTTTTTTCATTGCGCAGTGTGTGCTCCATCAGCTGGAGAGAACAACATTGACCGGGGGTTGGGGGTGTGGGTGACCGTGGCAGGCTCAGGAAGTGTCCCAACCATTTTGGCTGGGATTGTAGCTCTAGACAGCTGATTCGGATGCAGCCTAAGACTGTTTATCTATCTCACTCAATGAGATCTCTACGAACCTTTTAGCTATTCTGAATCAACTGATTGTGTGTCCTGGGACCAGCTTTACAAGGCTTGCCGTGTCTTTCTATTTATTCTAGGGACCAGTTTCGGACGTAACCGTCCACGCCGAGCAGTTCCTGCGCACCACCAAGGACAAGCTGACCCCCGAACTCCAGGACGAGCTGACCAACATCGTCCGGGAGCTGCGCACCACCTACGAGCGTCTGCAGGGCCACTCCCTGGACTGGCTGCGGCAGGCTGAAGACCTGCTGGCCAAACTCAAGAAGGAGAGGGACGAGAACGTAAGCTTTTTGGGGGTGATCGGAGTTGGGTTTGGCATCTAAATGAACACGGCAGTGGTGTAGTTAAGTTCGTCACAAAGGTGTCAAAAGTCATCACTAGTCCATCACAAGTCATCTTCTCCTAAGTTGAGTCACAAGCTGTTCCAATGAATTGCAACAAAGGCGTCACGTTGTTATTGTTTGTCCCCTGCTCCTAGTGGTTGGGCTTGTGATTTTCTTGGGTTCAGACTTGTGTTGGACTTTACTACAACGCTGGAACACAGGAGTGTTCTCTTTATGTGTATGAAAAAAAGAAATTACAAAAAAATAAAAAATATAGAGGCCCATTTTATTTGATCTAGTCACATATTTAGGAATGTGCCTCTTTTGTTTCTGAGTTCCAAAAATGTTTGAGATTTCAAAGACTGACTTGCATGGATTTTTAAAAGAAATTCAGTAAATTGGTGTTCCCTATTTAAGGTTTTCAGTTTTAACAGCTTCAAGCAAATTCAGTGATAAAATAGTGAAGCACTAAAAGTCAGGAAAGGTATGTGTCGACAACTTTGAGAATTGTGATTAAATGTGCAAATTGTCTCTTTCTTCAAATTGTGTGTATTTTGTAAAAAAAAAAGGATTAAATAAAACAAAAATCAAGCTTAGAAATGTTGTTTCTTCAGATGACTCTTGAAGAGCGCATCCGTGAGCTTCTCAGAGCTCTGCAGGCCCTGCTGGACTGGGTGGCCGAAGCTGAGAGACGTCTAGGCTCCGAACAACCCCAGGACGAAACTGTCAAACCATTGACCAGACAGCAGACCGAGCACACGGTATGTTGAATCCGATATCTGTCTGTTCTAACCCACTTGGCCGGGTACCAGTCTACAATTCGGGCGATTCACAGTGCAGTGCGCCACCAAGAGTTTGCCACGGAGAGTTAATTTTTCCCAGTGCATTGTGGGAGATGGTCGACAAATTTGCAGTGCGGGACATTTGAAATTGTTAGTTTTTCCGGTCGCTAGTTTCGTAATTGTATGATTTGAGTATAGTTTGCTCTTTTCTTTTCTTGTGATCAATATGGTGTGTTTTGTAAGGCGGCAGAACGCTATGCTCCTATGTATAACAAATTAGCTAAAGTTGTCTACTGACACTCATTTAAATGGGCCAATGTTTTGTCGACCATAAACTTGAAAAATGGACTCTCCATGGCAAACTCTTGGTGGCGCACTGCATTGTGAATCACCCGAATTCCTCAAACATGTGGACCATTCAACATACGGAGGCCCCCTTTTAATGGCGAAAGCATTGTGTACGCTATTGTACAGAGCAACTGCTCCTTGATGGATTATCTGAACAATAGCTAGCAACAATGCTTTCACCATTGAAGGGGGCCACAGTTAGTGTACAGTGATAATCGTGCCCAGAATGGTTTATGCCGGCTTACTATTCTTCATACATATTCATTATCTCGCTTTGCAGTGTTGGGAAACTTATCTTTTCACACAAAGCATACTCTGTAGTTATTTTTATCGTTTTTTTTTTTCCTAAAATATATTGCAAAAATAAAATCGAAAATGACAACCTAAGATAATAATTTCATCTCATTGTTTATATGGATTCAAATTACTGAATCAATTTTAAAGACCGATTTTATTTTGAAGCTCCTCCCAAACAAGGTTACATTGACATTCTGTAGTGACTGCTTGACATTCTCAAATTGTGAATGAAATGTTGGAATTAATTGTTTTTGTCATGTAGCCACTGAGGACAGCATACCAGGAACTCATAGTAAGATCTCTGTGCCATGTTGCAATGTTCAATCATCTTTGTGTTCATTGCATGAGAAATGTGTATGACTCCAGTTTTGTAAAATAAAACAAAAACAGTTACATGTCGCTGTTGAGCGGAAGTTTACTTGTGACCTGCCATAGCATAATGAGGAATAACCCCCACCTTTGACTTTTCACGGTATGTACATCATGTTAAAGTGCATATCATTGGCTTTCCAATGATACCTTATTTATTTTTGTAGCTTAATTTATTCCAAAGTTATGACGCAGGAACTTCAACAGTGTCCTGCCAAGTTTCTCTAACGTCATTTCGAGAAAAAAAAGACACGCATTGCGTCGCCAACGGCAGTGAAAACGTTTTGAAGTTTTTTTCACTTTTGTGGGTATTTTTTCCCCAACAAAAATGCATAGTGTGCATCTTGGATATCTTGGCTACTCAAAAATATAAAACAATCAATATCGATTTTGACTTAATTTTTTCTAGTATGTCCGACTTCAGGCGTCTATTACTCAAAACAAGGTTTTGGGGGACATTCCTCATTTTGCCTCAGTAGGTCACATTTCTTTTAATCACAATAAGCGTGTTCAGTTTTATATTGCTTAAAAGTTTTTTTATGTCTGTTTCTTTTTGGTGTCGCCCCCTTCAAATTAAAAAAAAAAGAAGAATAAAAAGAATATTTCAATCGAAATTGCTAATTTTGAAATTTTTTTTTAGCATGAGATAAGCTATCAGCTTTCCAAATGAGATACTTTACCAATATTCAGCCTACGGTATTTGACAGATATATATTGCTTGACTTTATTTCCATCCCAGTGTAAAAGTACAAATACAATAATTGAATAAATTTCACACTAAATTGGGAACATCTGACATAAAATGAAGATTTTTTGGGGAAGACAGAATGAAGGGCCAAGTGTAGGGTTTTTTTTTTTAAAGAAATTAAAAAAAAAAAAAAAAAAACACCCATCTGTAATTTGTTGGCAGGGGAAATCATTTTTTTTTTCATTTTTTTTTTTTTTTTTTAGCTGCATATGGACATACCAAATTTGTGTAAATGTCTATTATCATTTTTTTGTGCTGAATAATTATTGTGCATTGGTGCAGTTGTGTCAAGTATGTCAGTGAAATTGGATGTATGCATGGCCGAAGCACCAACGTTCGTTTATAATTGGTCGCATGAGTTGTAACAAGTAGGAACCAAGGCTAAAAATAGCCACATTTAATTTGGTAAAATGTTTAGTGAAACTTTCATGCACCATTTATGCTTGTAATGTCTGGCCTAAACTTTACAAAGGCTTCCGACTGCCCCAGTGTGTATGCGTTGCACGTTAATAGGCACGGAACGTTGATCTTGGCCTAGTGGTGTATTTAAAAACATCAAGCACAATCAATTGTTTTACACACTCCACAACAACCATCACTTTATCAGATGTGAGATTTGTTCAGTATTTTCCAAAATTTCAAGATTTTGAAAATCTGCTTTCGAAAATCTGGAATTGCTGAGATTTTACCATGAAGTTGTCATTAGCTATAAACGACAAGAGAACAAAGAGTGGATATTTCAAAGGGTGCCCTAAAGCCCGGTTCATACTCGGCGTGAAAGCGAAAGCGAACGCGCATCTGTGACGTCATGGCAAGTATTCGCGCTGCGAATTCGCAAAAGTTGAACACATTTCAACTGGGGCGAATTTCGCAGCGAATGTTTCATGACGTCAAATTCGCTTCGCATTCGCATGCCCATGAAGTATGAACTGGGCTTTAGGCAAATATAAACATGTACCCTATGTTACTATTAGGCCCTCGGCGGTCCCGAACCCTCTGTTTTATTTTTTTACTTTTTCTTTCCTCCAATCTCACTCCTGCTCGATCTCAATTTCTTCTCCCGCTTCTTCAGGCTCTGAATCAGGACATCCAGGAGCACCAGCAGCCCATCCTGGAGGTGGTCCAGGACGTGGAGAGCTTCCTGAAGCAGTACGGCAGCCGCGTGGACCAATCCAACCAGACCCGACTGCGCACCTTGCAGACGGAGCTCAAGTCCCGCTACGGCGTTGTCAACTACCAGTCCACCAACCGACAGACCAAGGTACGAAAACCAGTTTCCTCAGAAAAGTTGCCCTGTTGCAAGGGCCTTTTCTAGGTCTAGGACAGAAACCAGTACATATGACACAGGACCAGAACTGGCACTTACCTGGTTTTCGACATTTTTGTTTGTTTATTATCATTAACCAGGGCCCAATTTCACAGAGCTGCTTAACAGCTGACTTTGCGCTTACCGAGCCTCCATCTATTTCATAGGGACTGTTAAGCAGTAAGCACAGCAAAAGCACGCTTAACCCCGGAAGAAAACTTTGCTTAAATCAGTGACGTAACAATAGGAATCTCCATGCACGCGCAACCGTTAGCATGAAATAGTGCTTAAGCAGCAGCATGATTTTCTGCTATAGTAAGCACAGCTTTTCTGCTTACTGTTAAGCAGTGCTATGAAATTGGGCCCTTGTTTGCAAATTCAAACAATACCTTTCTGAGAGGGAAAAAAATAATGAATTAGTTGCCAATGTGACTTAGCTTCCAATAAAGAAATTTAACTTGGCATTACAGCTGAGGAATACTCCCTTTTATAACAATTAGGCCCTAAGACTACAGTTGCTGACGAATTCTAATATTATTTTCTCGTTAAATATGTTTTTTTTTTATGGTATTTATACAGTTCCACACATTCCTGATTCCTATAACAACACTACCCTAGCTGTTTGCCCAAAAGGTGTTTCTGTTGTGAATCACATTTTTGCCTACGTTGAGCTGATGCGAGCAGAAATTTTCTATCCTTAGCAAATCTCTTAGCTTAGCAATGTCACAAAATCTGCCCCTGGTTTCGACCGCCATTTTCGCACAAGTTTCACATCCTGATTGTGTTTCTTGTTTTTTGCAGCTGACCACAGCGGTCGACGAGCTGGTCAAGTTCAGCGAGGACCAGGCCGAGTTTGACCCCTGGTTGGCCAAGGCGGAGCAGACCCAGCAGGCCGCGCTCAAGAACGTCGGCCGCGACCTGGCCACGCTCAAACAGCAGAGCGGCCAGCAGCGAGCCTTCAACGAGGACGTGCTGGGTGAAGCCGCCGACCTGCGCTTCATGAACGTGACCGGCCAGAAATTCCTGGATGCTGCAAAGGTAAGCATGAAGACAGTTTTTTCCACGAGAAGTTTTGGGAGGAGAGGCTGTCCTGCTAACAGTTTACGCTACTCTGCTGAAGTTTTGTTGCCAACTGTAATTTTTACTGCCTTGCTATTTTTGTTATGTCATCTACATCACATTTTAGCCAACGGCACTAATATAAAAAAAAACTAAAGACCAACAGTTGTAGGCACAACAGGTCAGATATCTCCATTAATTGCATAGAAAGTGTCACGTTTTGTAAAAGCACCCTCTGACCCTAACCGAGCCAGACGCAACACACTGCATCAGGTGTAAAAGTCTGTGGGAATTTGCTGTATTGGGTCATCAACACCAGTGCGTAATTGGCCGATTATGAAACAATGAGAGCTAGTCCCATTGAACAATGCCACAGTCAGATCCTGCTGCAGTTGGCAACCGCAGACTCTGAGGCTTTGTAGCCTTAAGAATTTTGATCTGATGGATCTTGCTACACCGAGCAGGCTTGTCATTTTGAAAAGTATTTGCATGTTGCTGCATTCAGCAGAGAAAAATGTTTACGCCATGGAGAACACTGGAAGAGATTCCTCACTTCTTCGGATTATGCGCAAGTTAGATGAAGGACATCAGTTTTTACTTGCATGATATACTTTTTCAATTGTTCACCTTTTTCCAACCTTAGGTGTACCGCCAAGACCTCTCGGAATTCCGGGCCACCGTGCTGCCACGCGAGTTCACCCGCTCCTTCATGGAGAACCCGGAGTCCCAGACCATCAACAGCAAGCTGCGAGACTCCAGCGACCGCTACAATGACCTCAAGCGCACCTCAGCCCGTCACACGGAGTTCCTCCAGGACCTGGTGACGCGCCACCAGGCCTACCGCAAGGCCAGCGACACCATGCTGGACTGGCTGCCCGGAGCGGAGAAGACAGTCGCCACTCTGGTGAAGGAACCCATCGGGGCTGATCCCATCAGCGTCCAGAAACAGATCGACAAAGTAGAGGTAATTAAGATAAAGTAATGTCAGTTCTGAGCCAGTATGGCCCATCAGGCTGGTATTTATTTACTGTTTCTGTGGCATGAAATGACTGAGAATATTTCTATTTCCTCCTGAATGGGGTGCCAGTCTAATTACCCCCAGCTAATTCTGGTACCCAGTTATATTCCTTGGTGGAAAGAAGCAAGTTGAGGTAAAGTGGGTTACCCAAGGACACAACTTACAGGCAGCAGCAGGTTTCAAACCCCTGACCATCTGATCATAAGTCAAAAACCAGAACTGCCAGGCTGCACTCCCCCTTCGAAGTAGGAAGGCAAAAATTAACAAACAAAAAACTTTGACAGTGTCTGAGAAAAAACACAACGGGGGTTTATTTCAAAGAATTGTCTATTTCTCACAAGTAAATGACAAGATTTTTAGCTGTAGGTCAAGTGTGAAGAAGGCACTCCCTACCTTTTACTCTGGACCTTTACTTGTGATTGACTTGTGAAATTTTGACTTATAATGGACTCGACTATGACTCCGTTTTCTTACCATGGTGACCAATTGTGTTACAGGCCCTTCGCGATGACGTCATGTTCCATCACAAAGACGTGGAGAACGTGAAGGAGTCTGGCAGTGAAGTGATCGAAGTACAGGAGGAGCTGCGTCCAGAAATCACCAAAAACACGGGTAAGCTAGTCGCAGTCTCTCGTAACATTTTGTTTTGCCTCTCATTTCAATTCTCGTTATTGATCTTGTAACTTCTGCTCCTGTGGTTAACAGTAGTTCTTGCTCCTATTTGCTCCATAATGTGCTGCAAACAGTGCCTCTCCACAGAGTTGCAATGGCTCGAGTCAATGACTTGACTCGATTCGACTCGAGTCCCAACGAGTAACTGACTCGACTCGACTGGAGTCACTTTTCTTGCTATGTGGTTTTGACGTTGTCAGCATACAGATTATTCCAGACCCAAAGCCAAACGAGAGATAAAACTGAAGTTTCCCTTCTGTCTTGTGTTTCTTCTTCCATTCAGTAACAAATATCAGTGATTCAAATTGACTGGAGCATAAATTTGACACGACTTGACTCGACACGACCATACACCGTGATTCGACTCGACCACACACTGTGACTCGACTTGACTCAATCTTCTTGACTTAATGACTCAACTCAACTTGAGTCACAAAATTCAGTGGCTTGTTACAACTCTGCCTCTCCATTGCAACCTCTCGTATGAATCAATCACATCAGCCTAACAAAATAAGTTTCTTGTCTTTAGATGACATCGTGCGGCGCTACGAGGCCCTGCAGGCGCAGATCGCTGAGAGGCTGAACGCCCTGCAGCGGGCCCTGGCCCAGTGCGTGGACGTCAAGGAGCAGCTTGACATGCTGCTGCGCTGGCTGGATGAAGCCGAGCGCAACACCCACAAAATGGAGAAAGGAACGCTGATCGCTGTCAAGAGGGAACCACTGCTGCAGAACACGCAGGAACAAAAGGTACATTCCGTTCAGTAGGCCATATGAGGATACTAAACTGACACCATTTTCTGGTACAAACACAAGAATAATCCCGTTCACTAAAGCATATTAGTACCTTAAAGATTGTATGAATGTAATCTTTTTAATTGTGGCAACTTGCAAACGTATGCAAATTACCTGTGATTCATGTGTGTATGTGTACATACTTCATGTGGTTCATACTTCATGCGAATGCGATGCGAATTTTGACGTCATGAAGCATTCGCTGTGAAATTCGCCTGAGTTGAAATGTGTTCAACTTTTGGGAAAGGACATCACAAACGCTCATTCGCGTTCCCTTTTGTGCTAAGTGTGAACCGGCCTTAAGACCTATTGAATTTATTTCAATAATGGTTGAAAACAAGAAAATAGAAAATAGTTCTGTTCATTCAAAACTCAAATCAGTAACGGTATATTCCAAACTAGTTTTGTGGTTGAATATTTTGTGAAAATGAATGTTTGGTGCATTGATGGCACCTGGAACTCTTTGCAGTCAATCTGCATGTTTGTAAAACCTTTTTTTTATTGTCTGTCCAAAATTTTTCCTGCAGGTCAATTTCTCGGACATCGACAACCACCGGCCGGCCGTGGAGACGGTCAACGTGAGCGCCCAGCGCCTGATCCAGTCCAGCGAGCCCACGGAGGCCCGCCAGCTCCAGGCCAAACTGGACGACATCAACCAGCGCTACGGGACCATCGACGGCGTCACGCTGCGTCACGGCGAGTACCTGGACGGGCTCGGCTACAAGCTGTCGGAGTTTGAGAGCGAGGTGGAGCAGCTGGAGGACTGGCTGCTGCCCTCGCTGGACATGCTGGAGTCCAACGAGCTGACCCAGCAGGACCTGCCGGAGTTTGGCAGCCGACTCCAGGTCAGTTCCAAGTCGAAATCAAAGTCAATCAACTTAGAATGCAAAATTTCACCCGACACAAGTTTCACCAGCTACGGATTGTTTAATTGCTTACCTAAAAAGTCTCTTATAATAAAATATACGAGGGTCTTTCTGTGGTTGTACCTCCTAACCGTCCCTTTTGGTGCACTACAGGCCTCTCCATCCATTCACATCCACGTACAGTCTTTGTTCCCAAAGCAAATTCTAAGAGGTATTCATCCAGTTTCGTCCCACGCACTGCCCTGCTTTGGAATTCCTTACCTGTATCTTGTTTCCCAGTTGATTTTGATCGGTCCCAGTTCAGGCAAAACATCAATACTTGTCTTTCTACTTGAAGTATTTTTTTCTTTTTCTTAGATTTCCTTTTTTATCCCATCTTTTGTTGAGATGAGCTTTAATTTTTCAATGTGGTATTGACCATTCTGTCATCTTCAGGACTTGCGTCGGCAGGTGGAGAACCACCGACCAGCACTCAAAAAGGTCAAACAGATGGGCGACGAACTGATCAAGGACCCTAAGGCGAAGGACACCTCTCACGTCACCGCCATCCTGACCAACGTGGACTTCAACTGGAAGGCGTTGGAGGATATGCTAGCCAAGAGGTAGGGTTACGCACTCCGTGTTTGTTCATTTTCGATTTCATTTCTCTGTCTCCAGGAACTACTGCTTTGCAATTCAATAACTTTTTGATCACCGTTTTTCTCCCCTCCAGGAACAAGCAGTTCGAGGAGCTGACCGCTGTCAACAAGCGGTACGGCACCACACGCAAGGACGTGACCTACTGGCTGGACACCACGGAGCGCCGTCTGGACCAGGTGCAGCCCGAAGCCCTGGATCTCAACACCATCCAGGTCCAACTCAAAGAACTCAAGGTCAGTCAAGGTTCCAGGCTCAAATAACATGAGTCAAGTTTGTGGAGCTGCAAAGTGTGGAAATAGAAATATTTCTATAGAAGCATAGAAATATTTACACGCAAAACTTTGTGACTTGTTGTTAAGTGGTTTTTTTTCAAGCTTACATGTAGCACAAACTTTTCTTCTGTAAATGTGATCCCAATTCTGTGCTTACAGTGTTAGCACAGAAATTCTTAACTAACCATGAATCCATTAGAATCCTAACAGGATGTACGCATTTACACAATCCAAAATTTCGTCATTACTTTTGACACAGAAAGCATGGAAAAAAGGGAAAACTTTCATAACACTAGTGATGAACTACAACTTAAACCAAGTGCAAAATCATTTAAAAAAGGGGTAATTCCTGTCTAAAATGTGATCACTCACCACATGGAAGTTTTGATGTAATTGGAGAAGAATTTGTTGGCAAGTGTGATTGGCTACTACAGGTAGTCAATTCCTCCTAAAAGTAGTCAGGACTTCAAAATCCTTTTAATGACCCAAGCCCATCATACAATTTCAATGCAATTTTCTGAAACTTTAAAATCAAATTTCAATGTTCTCATCTTCCACCCTTTCAATCCGCCCCCCTCTGGAACAGCCCCTCCAGAAGGAGATCATCGACTACAGGCCCAAGATTGACGAGAACACTAAGACCGGCAACACCCTGGACACCTTGACCAAGGAGGTGGCCCAGCCCGTCCAGGCCTCGCCCCACTACCGCTCCACGGAGCTGTCTGAAGTCACCAAGGACAAGACGCCAAGAAAACCAGAGGAACCAGTCCAGTTCTTGGGTGCGTAATAGTAAACAAATGTTGACTGCTTTGAATTGTTAAGTATAACAAGCCTCCTGAGGTGATCCATGGAATATTATGGGTTTTTTCCCTCTGTGAAGCAACAGGAAAACAGAACGCTCTTTGCTATGTTCTCAGTAGTTAATGTGCATTTATAAAGTGCACGTATCCACCATTATTGGTGTACAAGCCACTACATCATTATTATGATGTACACTGAAACATTCTAAATACACTGAACCATTCTAAATACCATCTCAGCTCCCTGGGGAGTATACAGATCGATGCTGCCATTTCAGCGCAAAGCAGCTAGAATCAATCACAATAGCCATCTCTGCCCCCCACTCACAGGTACTCCTGGGAAGGGAGGAGCAATGTGTGACAGAGTGCCTTGCCCAAGGGCACACGCACCATGACCCCAGGCTGGACTTGAACCCACAACCTACAGAATTACCCGCAGACCACAAGTTCAGTTCTCCAGACCACGAGGCCATGACAGACACGTTAATAGCTCATTTCTTCACTTGGTTGCTCACTTCGGTTCCTGAAATTGTCCGAATAATTCTAATCGTTACTTGGATTTTTTTGTAAATCTCCAGGCGAGACTCCGATCCAACGCGAGGTCGGCGAGGTCAACCATCGCTACGACGCCCTCCTGCGGCGCGCCCAGATCACACTGGACGACCTGATGCTGTCGGAGCAGTGGGTGGAGCAGAACAGCGCCCTCAAGACCTCGCGGGACTGGGTGACCAGCTCGGAGGCCAAGATGGATAAGACACGGCCCACCAGCAACGAGATTCAGCCGCTGATCAAAGAAATCGAAGTCTTCAAGGTGAGGAAGACAAAGTCTATAGAACAGTCTATTTTTAAGACTTTTTAAGTTTGAGAGTATTCCACCATGTTTCTGTATTACACATATCTGTTTATATGTCTTTGATCAAACTCTTTCAGATAGCAGTATCTCTTTTGTTCCCTTTTTTATTACAGATATCTGACAATATCAGAAAAACAATTAGAATTGCTGTCTTAAACAGAACCTATTTTAACTGATCAGGGGCTTTCCGTAAGAAAATTGAAAAACTGCATTTATTCGTGTCTCAGATTTTTTTCACACGAAAGTGTTATTTTGCATGTATTTCAAATATAAAGTTTTTATTTCTATAAACAAAAATGACTTTCTGAAAATTGGATTTCAGTTAAAAAAAACAAACAAAAAAAATGAGGAAGTATGAATTTTCTATTTCTTTGTTCATTACATTTTTGTAATTGAATGTTAATTTCTTATTTGAATTCACCAAAAATTGCTGTACCACACAGAAGTGTTTGATGAAGAAATTCACAAAAACAAAAAAATTACGTTGAAAGGTTTCATTTACATGTTTTACTGAAAAATCATTGTCTTTGCTCGTACTTCAGGGTGTGCACAGTGACGTCCGCAGCCGGCAGCCGCAAATCGCCGACGTGGTGACCAGCTCGGAGCAATTCCTGCGCAAGAATCGTGAGCGGCTGTCCCCCAAGCAACGGGAAGAGATGGAACGCCGCATCGAAGACCTGAGGACCAACTATGACACTGACTACAACAGGGTAGAGGACTGGCAGAAGGAGGCCATCGACAGGCTGAACCAACTCCAAAAGGAGTACGAGTACAGGGTGAGTCATGAGTTTGTTTTAAATTGAGTACAGACTTCAGTCTGAGTTAATAGTAATTACAGATCGTGAGTAAATCGAGTAGTTGCGTTGTTGTGATTGATGGATAATCACTTGCTAAACCAACTCCAATTGTAGTACGAGTATATGGTGAGTCATGAGTAACTAAGTTGCAACTTCAGTTTGAGTTGTAATTCCGTGTTGAGTCATGAGTAACGGAGTTCAGACTTCTGTCTGAGTTGTTTGTTATAATGGGTTAAGTCATGAGTAATCTGAATAGTGAGTTTAGATTGAGTTGTTTGTAATTTGGTTGAGTTTTTAGTGATCGGTAGGGTCGTGAGTAACTGAGTAGAGCCTTTAGTCTGAGTTGTGAGTCATGAGTAATTGAGTAGCCATTCGGTCCAAGTTAGTTGTTGGTTATCATGAGTAAGCTCAGTAGTAAGTTTAGATTAAGTTGTTAGTATTTCTATTGGATGTAACTGAGTAGGGATTTCGGTCCGAGTTGTGAGTCATGAGAAACTGAAGAGCCACTTCAGTCTAAGTTGTTTGTTATTATAGGTTGAGTAACTGAGTACTGAATTTTGAATAACTACAATCGAATATCAGTGAGTGGTCAGTGAGTAGTGTTTTTGACTCACTACTCATCAAGTGATTTTTTACAATTATAAATGAGTATGTGTAACTGAGTAACGGTTTAGAAATCGTTCTGACTGAGATTGTTTGATTTTTTTCAGATGCGTCTGGAGGGTCAGATTAGGGAGAAGAGCCTGCGCCTGCAGGAGCTGCTCGACTGGCTGAGCAAAGCCGAGCAGGCCCTGGGTGCAGAACAGCCACTCAATGAGCAGTCACAGCCACTCACCAAACAGTACAACCAGCACAAGGTATGGCAGCCATCTTGGTCATGTACCCTGAAACCTGCAGTATAATTGCTATAGGATTTCTCCTTTTTCCTCAGAGGCACCAGACTAACTTTCTGACAATAAAGTTGAGACCCTTGTGGTGGCCACAGCTGCTGAACACAGCGTACCAATCGCAAAAACAGAAGCCATGGCCTTTACTGATTTACTAATTTCGTCTATTTTCTATAGCTAAGATATTGATTGTAGTGTGTCAGTGTCACAACCTAAATCTGTAGCCATAAGACAGCAAATTTAATTGTGGCCTAAGAAGCATTTTATTTATGCAGAACCCGTAGTGCATGTTTGTAAAGCATTAAAATTGTTAAACAAAAAAAGAAAACTGGCAAATTTATGAAAGAAAAATTCTCAATTCAAATTTGGCTCAGCAAACTTAAGTATTGACTTAAGTATTATGTCAATTACTTTTTTTTTTACTGATTTTTTTCCCCAGCCATTGCATGATGACATCCAAGCTCACCAGCAGCCCATCCTGCAGTGCATCGAGGACATCGAGCAGCTCTTCGTGATCTTCGGCGACGCTGTCCCGGCCGCCGACCAGACTCGCCTGCGTGACGGCCAGGGCCAGCTCAACTCCCGCTACCAGAACGTCCACACCGCCTCCCACACCCGCCTCCAGAAGCTGAACGCGGGCATCGAGGATGTCAACAAACTGGAGGCCGACTTTGGCGAATTCGCCGACTGGCTGCGCGCTGCAGAGCAGCACATGGACACGGCCGAGAGGAACGTAGGCCAGGACCTACCGACGCTGAAGACACAGTCAGCGGACCACACGCAGTTCAGCGACGACATGAACGACCAGAAGGGAGACTTGAAGTTCTTGAACAAGGCTGGTCAGACGTTCTTGGACATTGCCAAGGTAAAGGGCAGTGCACATTTCCACAAACAATTTCCATAAGGTTTTGCAAGAAAATAAACACAAATTCCTGGAGTTTACTTCGGAAAACTATAAGGGTTTTCAAAAGATATTTTCCCTTGAGTTGTTTGCTTCTAATTTCTGTGACGATAGTGAGATGACTACGAATATTACTTGAAATCTCCAGGTGTACCGACAGGAGCTCGCCACATTCCGTGACACCACCCTCCCCCGCCAGGTCTCCCGAAGCTTCCAGGAGAACCCGGAGACCAACGTCATCCGCAACCAACTGACGGACCAGAACGGGCGGTTTGAGAAGCTGAAGCTGCGCTCGCTCAAGCACGGCCGGACCCTGCAGGAGCTGTTGGAGAAACACAGGGCCTATGCCGACAAGGTTGAGTCTACGTCGACGTGGCTGGGCCAGGCGGAGAAGACGCTGGGTACGCTACAGTCGGAGCCCGTGGGAGTGACGGCCGACGTCATCATTAGACAGATTGAGAAAGTCAAGGTAAGGCCAAGTTACAAAAAAAAGGTTTCTCGTCCCCGCCCGTTTCCTTTTTCCCACCCGCTTCCTTTTTTCTGTATTTTTTTTTTAATCGCCAAATTTCACATTGGAATTTCACATTGGAATTTCACATTGGAATTTCACATCATAGAACCTGTATTTCAAAATACCTCAAATTTTTTTCCCAGACCTTCCATGAGGACGTGGTTGCACATGCCAGCGACGTAGAGAATGTGAAGGACCGGGGCGAGGACGTCATCAACGTCCAGCCTGAAGTCAGACCAGTCGTCCAGAGAACCACGGGTAAGTTCAACAATCCAGGGCCATGTCTGAAATCTAAGCTTCGACTCTTGGCTTTGGTTCCGAGTTCTCAAATTTACGTTCCTGATTTTTGAAGAAGTGTGTTAATTATCTGCTTCGAGGATGTCGGATCCCGTAGTGACCAGTTGCAAATTTGGCTCTTTGCATTTTGCTGGGAAATAAAAAAATCTGGTGGTTGGGAAATATATGAAGCCAAAGCTATAGGGAAAGCCACAATTTGAGAAACACCCATTGAGTTCAACTGTATTTATAAAAAAAAATAATTTACAACGATTCAGAGTTAATCACAAGTAAACTGTGCAAGTCAGCTTTAATTTCTACGTAAATCAAAGCAAGTTTTGACAGTTTTACAGGATAGGTTTTAAAAATGCTGCAAAATGGCACGGCCCATCAGACATAATTTGTCTGAGAACTTTCACCCTCTGAATAACTGGCATCTCCATGCTTTAAAATGTTTATTTTTTGCTGTCAACTTTACTTCTAGACCTGAAAAATTATGTAATCCAAGCTTCCCAAAAAAAGGCCTAAAAGGTAGTCTCCAAAGTCAGAAAAAGTAAGAATGCAAAACAAAGGTTTAGTAAGCACGTACCCAACCACACTTGTGGGGTAGACCTTCGTTTCCCATTTTTTGTTCTCCTTTATTTGTATTGAAATCTCAAACTCTGTAGCGTTTTCCTTTATAGGGGCAGATAGATTTCCTAAGACGGACTTGTGGGGTCTTGTGTCCGTATTGTTACTCTGTGTGCTTGCTACCCCACAAGGAATCATATGTGTGCACATTCAATTCTAAATAACAACATTCACCATTAAATTAATTTTTTAAAAATGCCGTAACAGGTTGCATTTCCAATGGGCCTGTGATGTCTGATAGTAAGTTTGTATACCCTCATCATCTTCCTCCTTTCTCCTTGGTTTTGGCATAGGCGTGGTCGTGGACCGCTACAAGGCCCTGGAGGCTGGCGTCAACGACCTCCTGGAGAAGCTCCAGCAGGCTCTGAGCCAGACGCAGAGCGTGGAGGAGAACCTGGACATGCTGCTGCGCTGGCTGGACGACGCCGAGCGCAAAGAGCACGCGCTGGAGAAGGGAACCGTCATTGAGGCACGCCGGGAGCCGGTCCTGGAACAGATTGAAAACACCAAGGTACTGGTTCTGCTGTTTGTGATAAGCCATTGCTATGAACCCTTGGATTATAAAAGTTTTATACCAAAAATATCCATAACACGATCTTTTATTTCAAGTGTTTGACAAATATATATAATGTATTTCTGGTGAAATCAGATGGCACCAGGCCTGAATTATTTGTAGATTCTGAAAGAGAAGTATAATCTTTATGAACTTTAGTACAAGTCCTTTTTGCCCAATGTCTGTACCTTCCTTCATGCATAGTTCAGGCAAATTGTGATTTTTTGTCTGAACATTAACAATCAAACTAGTCATCAGAGAAAACTGCTGGAGTCACTTTTTTTGCATTTTGATTGATTAAGCATTTTTTTTTTCGTGGACAACCAGATGCTGGAAGACGACATCACCAACCACAAGCCGGCCATCGACAACGTCAACGTGGCCGCCCAGCAACTCATGAAGACCAAAGACCCCAAGGACGCCCGCGTGATCCAGACCAAACTGGACAACATCAACCAGCGCTACGGCACGGTGGACTCCGCGACCCGCAAGCACAACGAGGGGCTAGGACAGCTCTCGGACAAGCTGGCTGAGTTTGAGAGGGAGGTGGACGACCTGGAGGACTGGATGCTGCCGGACCAGGAGACCCTGGAGTCACGGGAGGTCATGGCGCAGGACAACACGGAGGCAGTGCTCAGGGTAGGTACTTGTCTTAGTTCAAGCAACCGAGCCCTGACAAGTGCAGACAGCATTTTTTTTTTTCGTAGATGGGTGAAGCCTTTTTCATGAATAACTCAGTAGTTTTAATAGAATCACTGCAAGACATTTGGGTTGTGGGACTCTTTTTTTCCCCTTCAATCTAGATTATCCCAAAAATAAATTTGGAGAAGAATAGTTGCTGAAGAATGGGTATTGGTGGATTTGAACCAGGATTGTTTGATCCGTATTTCACCTCATAATCCACTAGGCTATTGTGACAGCTTGATGACAGCTGTTCTTTTAAATGGTGTTGACGTCATTGTTCTTTTCTCATGAATAAACATAAAACTGATGAGCAAAAAGGATTCTTGCCGCCCTCCCCCTCCCGAATTCAAATTCCATCCGATAAGCAAAGTCCTTCTAAAGTCATCACCTTTCATTGAAATTCATTGTTTTTGTTTTACAGGATATCTCACGCAAGTACGAGGGTCGCCAGCCGCAGCACAAGAAAATCCATCAGCTCGGCGAGGCCCTCCTGAGCAACCCCAAAGCCAACGACACCTCCTACATCGCCGCGGTCCTGAAGAACGTCGACCTGAACTGGAACGACTTTGACGAGGTTCTGAACAAGAGGTTGGTTGACACCTTGCGCGTGGCTCAAAATGGCGCCCCCTAGAGGCGACAAGCGGGATACATAAAGCAATTCGGGGATTAATACGAAAATATGCAGGCAGTAACTCGAGGTTCACCTCGTGGTTCAACGAGGTTTCCAGGGTTTTGCGGGTTACCTCAAGGTTCAACCTCGAGGTTACCGCTTGTTTAATTGTGCAGTCATCCCTTACTTTTGCACTGCTTTAAACAAAGCAGATAATTTACCTCTTAACCCCATGCGCACGGGAAGCGGTCATGGCCGCGGCCGCTAATCCTCATTGGAATGCAGTTGCCAGCTGTGGTATGCCGCGGCACACGGCTAGTGGGTAGTTCCACAGCTGCTGCTTTTGTGCAGTCCCGCTACCACACAAAGGCTGTGCAGTCATGCGGGCCACTTGCTCTATGTGTGGAGGAATGTCCCCATTACACCCCGTCCTTAAGGGGTTAAACCTGGCAAGGACTGATTATAAGAGTTTCAAGACGCCGAACAAAAATCACATACTTGCAAGTTCACCGACTGTTAAGCAGCAAGTGGTGACTGTTGCGCAGATTCCTTCAGAACCACCATTCCAAATATGGGGATCCTTTAGGTTTCATTTGAGTTTATACACCCCAGAATTTTCTTCTTCCACATTGTAAATGAACAGCTTAATTATTGTTGATACATGTCATAGGTTTTTGCGCTCAAATGCCCATCGTTAAAAACAACTTTAAAAAAAACATATGGAATGAATGACACAGAAACACATCCTTAGTTTCATGTAATTCTTTTCTCTCGTACAAAAAAAGTCATCAAGTTTTCATGTTTTTGAACTTGAGTATCAAACACTGAAACTTCTCATAGCTTTTCCATGTCCTCAAATAGCAGATTGTAAAAAAATTAATTCAGAGCAAACAAAAATGGTCTCTAAGCAAAAAATATCTCTCCACTTTCCATTCCAGAAACAAACAGCTGGAACAGAAGCAGGAGGCTGCCAAGAAGTACGGCAACAGTCACCGCGACACGACCGGCTGGCTGACCGACACCGAACGCCGACTCAACCAGCTCCACCCAGTGGGCCGAGACCTGAAATCTGTGCAGGCGCAACTGAAAGAAGTCACGGTACTAGAGCAGGCTCATTCTTATAAACTTAGGGTCCATAGCTGTCCTTGTTGCCTTGGTACTTTGTAATTTCCCATTCCAGTGGCACTAGGCAATGATGTCTAGCGGCGATGTCTGGTCACCCTTCTGGGATTCAGAGATTCTGAAATTAAGAATGACTTCAAACAAATTTTTATTTCTTGGGTAGGTAGTTTGCTATTCACTCTTGGAGGACGATTGCATTAAGAAGTGCATCAGAATTATATAATCAAAGATGTTACAATTTCCAATTTTGTTCCTCTCTAATCAAAGCCTTTCCAGAAGGACGTAGCTGACTACAAACCCAACATGGACAACCTGAACAAGCTGGGTCACACCTTCGACGCGGTGGTGCGGGAGGTGGAGCAGCCCGCCTACAAGCAGCCCCACAGCCGCTCCACCCAGGTAGGAGACAAGAAGAAAGGAGACATCGGCCGTGGCATCTCACCGGCCAGGGGAGCCAAGGACGCAAGACCCAGGCCGGTGGATATGGACAGAAGCGGACTGCTCGAAGGTCAGTGGAAGTCCTTGTATACTTATTTCTCACATACTTATTTGTCTGTCGTAAAGTTTTAAAAAAAAATTGAATTTTTATGGAAGAAATAGTTACTCTACATCAATTTCAACGATCTGGAAATTCATTATTCAAAACTTTGATCTTTAGATTGCCATTTATTTAGGAAATACAAGCCTAAATTAAAAAAAAAAAAATTGGCAAGTATCAAATTTTGCATAGAGTTGCTGCCACCTGTTAAACCCAATGAAATTTAACCCCTGCTCCACAGAGACAGAAACCCAGCGCCAGTTGGACAGCGCCAACAAGCGCTACGATGACCTGAAGGTCCAGATCGACTTCCGTCTGGACGACCTGCGTCTGGCCGAGCAGTACATCGAGCGAGATTCGGCCGTTGTGGATGACCTAACCTGGGCCACCGCCACAGAGGCCAACCTGGAGAGATCAAGACCGTCCGCCATGGACATCGAGCCCCTGGAGAGCGAAATCAACGATTTGCAGGTGAGCGTAGGCTTCAGAATATCGCTTATTAAAACCCTTAAGCACTTCGATGTTTTACCACCGACTGTTTGCCATTACATTGGTGAATGTTGGCAACAAAGGTGATTGGTCTTCTGAGTCATTCACTGTTCTTTTCCAAAATGGCAGAGACACACAATGAACGTAATGATTCTGACCGAGCTGCAATTTGCCGTGATGTACTTCTCCAGTTAGTTCATATATTACTGGCAATATTCTTCTTCCAGTCCCAATAAATTTGTTGAGGTTATAATCTAAACCCTACCCACACCTCTTCTCCGTCCCCAACCCCAGAACCTCTGCTCCCAGATCACTGCCAAGAAGTCGCCCGTCAACGAGTCCTACCTGAAGAGCACCCAGTTCCAGCAGGACCACCGAGACAAGCTGGGCTACGAGCAGCAAGAAGACCTGAATGGGAAGACGGCCAACCTGAGGGAGACCTACGACCGGCTGGATGTCCAGTCCCAGGACTGGCTCAAGACGGCCCAGGACGACCTGGCCAGACTCAAGAAGGAACGGGACGAAAGGGTAAAGCTCTCAGATGAAAATCTTGAACAAAACTTGAAAATTTGTTTTAGTTTCCGAGTAGCAAACCTTGAACGAAGATATTGACAGACTTTGGAACCACCAACAAGGGCTGGATAGCTCAGTTGGTGGAGCACCGGTATGGAGTTCTAGAGATCGCAGGTTCAAACTCTGCTTCAGTCAGGTTCTTTGTTCAATTTTATGACAATTACTTTAAAAAATCATTTCTGCATCAAACTTCATTTTACCCTCTGATACCAGACTAGAACTTTAAGCATTAGCTTAAGAAGGAGAAAAACAAATTAAAAAAGTAGGTGAGAGGAGGTTCTTAGTTGAGTTATTGGGAGAGGGAGGTTGGGGTTGGATAAGTTAGGCCTCTATTTACAGTCTGCTAGATTTGTAGTTGAGTCACTAAGCTTCGAGTCGGAGTTAGAGTCACAAGTCCCCAGAGTAAGTAGCTCAAGTCCCACAGATCTCACCCTAGTCAGAAGTCAGTAGGCCTATTGCAGATACATTTTCCCGCAATTTATCGGAGATGTTTCTTGAGAATGACTCGTAAATCTCATTTTTATCTTTGTGTGTCATCTTGTAGCTTGCTCTTGAAGAGAGACTCCGCCGACAGCTGGCAGCTCTGATGAACCTCCTGGACTGGGTGGCAGAGGCCGAGAGGCGCCTGGGCTCCGAGCAGCCCATGAGCGATGAGGTCAAACCCCTGAACGGACAGACCAAAGAACACCAGGTCAGTATGACAAGGGGTAACTGATCTATTTGCAATCTCTAGGTTTTTCCCTTCATTATCCATCTCCATCTCTTCATGCCAAATAAGCGAAGCTACAGTTTTTTTTACCAGTACTGTGTATGTCTTTTAAAAAAAGTTACCTTCGATATTTGGAATCAGACACTCTTTGCATCAAATTCTTTTTCTTTTTTTTCAACTGACAATGCCTAGATTGTTGTTTCAGTACCTTAGAGGTTGCTGTTCAAGTTTCAAACCATTTCAATTTCTATAATCAACCATTCCTCCCAGGTGCTCCATGACGACATCCTGGCCCACCAGCAGCCCGTCGCACAGGAGATCCACGGCGCCAAGCAGCTCCTGGACGAGTTTGCCTCCCGCCTGCGACCCGAGGACTGCTCCAAGCTGGAGGACATCAGCCGGGAGCTCAAGGACCGCTATGACAACGTCTACGTGGAGTCGCAGACCCGCCAGAACAAGCTGCAGGGAGTAGTGCCTGACTTGGAGAAGTTCGCCTACGAGCGGGACGACACGGACAACTGGATCAAGGAAGGAACGCAGCAGCTGCAGCAGGCCAAGCGCAGCATCGGCACGGACCTGCCGACGCTCAAGCAGCAGCTGGCACAGCAGGACCAGTTCAACGAGAGGATGGTGGCTGAGGGAGCTGACGTCAGATACCTGAACATGAGCGGCAATAGGATCCTGGATGTTGGGAAGGTAAGATACCTAGCATGTAATAATAATAGGAAGAAGAAGCATGTGGTGCTTCTATAGTGCTTTATACCAGCACTTTAGCACTCAAAGCGCTTAACAATTATTACCCCGTTCATCAGTTTCATCATTCTACTGTGAGATTATTCAGAAGATTTTTAAAAATAATTTCAGAAGTCAGTGAATAGTTTCAGATGGGGCAGAAATTATGACAGTCATGATAAATACACAAGGGTCATTCCATAAATCTGGGGTCCAAAAGTGTGAAATTGTTGATGTCCATGTTAAACCTGACCTGTGTGATTTGCAAGTATCATTAAAATTGACATCAAACTACTTTGTATTTGTTTGGCAGGTACAGTACTTTGCTTTGCATAATCACTCTTGAAGATAGCAGGCATAAAAGAATGTGTCCTGAATTTACAAAATTTTATATCAGATGTAATAGGAAAACGAAAAAAAAAATGCACCCAAACTTTTTGGAATGGCCTATAAGGAAAATTAAAAAATCCAAGTTTTCCAAAAAGAAATTGTCAACTCTTCACAACTCTTCTCTCCGTCTGCAGACCTACCGCAAGGACCTGGAGAACTTCCGCACCACCACCCTCCCTCCCAAATTCACCAAGAGCTTCCAGGAGAACCCGGAGCCCTCCTGGCTGCGGGACAACCTGATGGACGTCAACTTCCGCTACAACGAGATCAAGGCCGACGCGGCCGAGTTCACCATGACCATGCGGGACCTGGTCGACAAGCACCAGAAGTTTGAGGACGCCTGCGCCCCGCTGCCGCCCTGGATGGAGAAGACCGAGAAGGCCCTTGCCAAGGTCATCCGGGAGGCAATCAGCGCCGAGCCTGCCGGCATCAAGAAGCAGATCGAGGAACTCAAGGTAAAATTTTTATTAAATTTTGTTTTAATAGTAATTGTGAGGTGTTCTGGCAAAATGAAATCGAACTGGGCACAGGCCGTAGTGTAGAAAAATATTTTTAAAAAAGTGAATGGGGTGACTTAAAAAAAAAAAAATTTCAGAGTTATTGATATTTATGATCTTTGACCTGTCTACTACACATTTAAAAAAAAAGAAGGTGTTCTTAAGGAAAAACAATTGTCATCTTTTGTTTTCACAACTACAAAACAGTTTAAACTCTAAAGGCCTTTTTCTCAGTATTTTACTTTTTGGACATGTCGATAAATGCAAACTTTAGAAAGCTATAACATGTCAAATGGTATTTAATTGACAGGAAAAAGGCTATTTATTAAAGAACTTTTACATCAGGTGTTGTTCCATTCTCTTTTTTATAAGGTTTCTCAGTCATATATAAAGCTCTATGATTAAACAGGGAAAGTGACAACTTTTTTTTTTTAACCCTTAAAGCTCTTCCTTTATTTGGCCTTGGATTTCACATTCTGTGCAAAGTTCCGGGAAACTTTTTTTGCTCAGGAATACGTTTTGTTCATGAATATGGAAATTCTTATAAGTAACGAAACCAAGAAGGCCCTGAAACCATACAATTATAATTCAAAGACTGAAAATGAAGGTAATTAGGACACAGCGGTACACTTCAAAGATTTCCGTTACAAAAAGAAAATTGCACAGAGAAAGATGTAATGCTTGAAAGGAAGAAATAATTAATGTCGTTAATACCCCCATTCCTCACTCAGCCTGCAGAGATGATACTCATGTCTGATCAGCTAAGAGTAAGACCTGTGTCTTGTGAGGAACTGCTTTCAAACGCTGTCTCGGGATATGTTGCTGGTGCATTGTCAATTTTTTTTCTTCTTTTTTTTAAATTGAGTCACTCGGTCGCTCAGAGGAAAGTAGGCTGGCCTCTCTGGTCCAGGAAAACAATGGACCTTTAGCTTGCTATATTGGGCCGCGTTTGTTTATGGTGTACATCGAGATCTGATACACCGTACCCTCTGGAGACGTGTGTACAATAGGGAACAAAAGATTGTATACATCTCCACAGGGCAATTTCTATCGATGAATACATCTCCACAAGGTTTTCACGAAATAGATACATGGATTTTACTCAAAAACTAGGAATTTCCAAGCTATGTTGATCCGTCGCAAATGAAAGAGTTTTAGAAAAGGGATAGTCAGTCCAAATTTCAGACAAGGAAATTAATTCTGGTTAAAATAAGAGCATTTTTAAACTACACTTTCAAACTCGAAAACTTTAGTACACGAGAACAAAGGAATGTCTCCACATCCATACAAATTCCAGCATGGGCAAACACCACGTGTAACATCATCGATGAATTGAGGACAGGAACCAAATCGAGGACTCCTTGGTTAGAAAACGTGTACAAAACCAATGAGAGCTGTTGCGAAAAAGTATAAACAAAGGAAAAGGGAAGAGGAACAGTAGTAAATCCTCGATTAAAACCATAAACAAACGTGCTAGTAGATACTGATTGCGGTGCACTTTCCTACAACTTAATTTTTCAAATTTGTCCATAAAATTCTTTCTACCCTCTTTGGGGGAAAATTGTGCCAGCAACGTATCTTGGAATACTGTTTGGAGTTAAGTTCCTTCAATGCATGAATCAACTCATGTACAAGTCAAAGTTCGGTGTGCGTCATTGATCATGAGTACATTTTTCTTGAGTTGTATTTGAATCAATAACAATTTTATTGCATTTGTGTATTTTTTTTTTTTTAATTTCTCGTCTATTTTTCATCAAGTTGTGGTATTGGTGTTGTATTGTATTTGTAATTTGTATTCCTTGCGCATAGCATGTAATGTATTTAATGATTTTTGTTTGCACAGTAGGCAAAATAATAATCATGTTAATGTTTTTCAGGGTTTCAAACACACAAAAACCTGATATGGATAAAAATGTATCAGCCAAAAAAGCGACAGAGACAAATATTTCCATTTATTTGACAGAAAATGGAAAAAAATAACATTTTTTTTTTTACATTTTTATTTTGGTTTCACTCCATTGCCGAAATATTTGCAAAATCTTTGTGAACAATTGAGAAAGCATTGGAAATGTGATATGACATACTAGCCTCTTAAATAAACTATGTTTTATGTCATACAGCATGTCCCTAAACCTTAGAATGGTTGGTTGCATTTATCCTCTGGTAGTACATGTCAATTAACCAAACAAAACAATCATATGTTTGTAGACTGTGAGAATGGACGTCATCCAGCACTACAGCGATGTGGAGAAAGTCCGAGACACCGCAGATGACCTAGGCCAGGCGCACGTTGCCGTCAAACGCGACACTGACTACAAAACCGGTAAGTCTAAGATGTTTGGACCAAATTGTCTACCCAGTGCTAGGCTTTTGTTTTCTGACTAAGGAGGCGGGTAATTGATTGATTGATTGACTTTATTTGTTGTCACACATCTATATGGATATACAGTGAAATGCTCCTTGATTTTGCGTGTTTAAAAACATTAAAAATACATACAAATATACACACAAAAAACATCACCTGTACGCAGTTACAATTACAATATGTAAATTATATATGTTATAAGCGATTTGCCCTGCCTATTTCCATCATAGTTTTGATGTCTTTGCTTTAGGGTTGTGTTGTTTTGGAATGATTTAGTATTTGATTATTTGAATTGCAGCTGAATATTTGATAGAATTTACATGTGCCAGCTTAAATTGCATGCATGGGTAAGACTTGTTTAGAAGACTAACAAGAAGCTCACAAATTTGATTTTGAAGTACATGAACTGCTGTTTTACCCATGACAGAATTTTTAGAGTTGCTGCTTGATTCCGCAGAAAGTCTGACAAAAATATTTTTCAAATGGCTGGCAGATTCGAATCATTGACTGCTTTTTTACCATACAGGAATCATGCACAAACAGCAGTCATAAAAGCTGTAATGATCCTCGTCTAAGATGTTTAATTTATTTAAAACATTGCACGGCTACACCAAGTTTTGTGAAATTGTTTGTAAGTTTATTGTGCAAATATGCAACAAATTTGTTAAGTAAATGTTACGCCTAGCATTAGTTACGCACTGTTTCGTGAAATCAGCTGGAGATGCTCTACAAAACAACCAATGTTATCTCTCACTGAAACAGAGGAGATCGTCAAGCGATACCATGCCCTACAGGCCACCATTGACGACCGTCTGGAGGTCCTGCGTGACGCCCTGAATGCAGCCCTGGACCTACAAGACCAGCTGGACCTCCTGCTGAAATGGCTTGACCAGGCCGAGAACGACGTCCACAAACTGGACAAGGGAACTCTGCTGGTCATCCAGAAGGAACCGCTACTGGACAACACAGAGGCACAAAAGGTAGGAAAGAGTTTAGTCTAAGAAACTGGCTTCTCACAGCTAACTTCTGATACAGGTTCTTGTATAGTCTATAATGTAGTCGATTCCTGACTAGTGCAGTAAAGCTGCTGCAGTGTTAAGGCCCTTTTTGTCCTCATGTATTCAGTTGTGGTCATCTTTCTTTGACGTCGCCCATTCCTCAGGTTGTCTTCAAGGACATCGAGGACCATAAGCCCACCATCGACACAGTCAACCGGCTGGCAGCGACCCACATGCAGACCAAGGACCCCCAGGAGGCCAAGCTGATCCAGTCCAAGCTGGACAGCATCAACCAGCGCTTCGGCGACGTGCACGAGGCAGCGTCGACCCACGGGCAGGTCCTGCACTCACTGACCGATCGACTGGGTGACTTCGAACGCCAGGTGGACGAGATGGAGGAGCAGGTGCTGCCCCAGCTCAAGACCCTGCAGTCCAAGGAACTGATGAGGAAGGACCTGCCCATCATCAGCAGTAACCTCAAGGTAAAATACAGTAAAACATTGAGGTAAAAATATGGTCACCTCAAGGTAAAAGAGAGTAACTTCTGGTAAAAGAGAGCAACTACAAGGTATAAGACAGTAACCTCGAGGTAAAAGACATTAACCTTGAGGTTAGCGACATTAACCTCAAGATCAAAGACAGTAACCTCGAGGTAAAAGACAGTTACCTTCAGGTAAAATACTGGCATCCAGTCATTGAAAAACCAAACACGTAATTTTTTTAATGTAGCAACAAGTTAATTTACGTCAATAATTTTGGATACACGTCTGGTTTATATCCCCAACATGGCATCTTTACAGTGCCCTCAAATGTTCAAGCATAAGGCCTTTTGAATTTTTTTTTTTACAGAGCATCAAGCAACAGCTTGACAGTCAGCGACCAGTCAACAAGCGCATCCACCAGCTGGGTGAGCAGCTTATCAGCGACCCAAAAGCCAACGACACCTCCCACGTCAAGGCCATCCTGGCCAACGTGGACGTCAACTGGTCCGCCTTGGATGACATCGTGTCCAAGAGGTTAGCTTATCCTTCCCCACTGAAAATTTTTAGCAAACTTTTGCCTTTTTTGAATTTGGTGAAATTGGTAAGGATTTTTTTCTGATTTAGAATTTTGTCAGGATGTTTTTCCCGGATTTCCTGTTTTTTTCTCAAAGCGTCCCTTTTGGAAGATATTTTTTACCTAAAAAAGGTTTATATAGAACAAAAGCAATAGGCTTTTAAAGGTTGCCTTTCAGGAACCCCTTTCATGCTAGCAAATACAAACCTGTTTTGCCCCTGCAGCCTCCAAACCCTCTGCTGACTTTTTTATAGTGGATTTTCAATTTTCTCCGCAATCGCACCCCTGTCTCTCTCAACTGTAGAGTTCAAATGTTTTGCCTTAGTTGGCAACTGATTGCACAGGGCCAAGGACCTACCTCCATGTACAACAAAAAAAACATTCATTTTAATTAAGATTCCCGTTTTCTGCTATTTTATCAGATCCAAGCAGCTGGACGACCTGCAGGCCGCCAGCAACAAGTACAACGACATCCACAAGGACACCAACTTCTGGCTGGAAGGCATGGAGCGACGTCTGCAGCAAGCCACGTCGACGGCCAGAGACTCGGGCGCCATCAAGGCCAAGATCAAGGAACTCAAGGTGAGTGTCTCCGTAAGACTCGGTCACCTAAAATAAAGTCAAAAGGGCCTTTTACACTGTCCGGAACCGGGTCCAACACGGAGATTTCAGGAACCCCTTTCACACCGGCAAGAATCCAACACGGCTTCTACTTGGGTCAAAACCCAGGTAGAATCCAAACCCTGGTAGGCACCAGGGTTGCGAAGCTCTACCAAGGTAGACACAGGCAGTAACGCAAGTGAAATCGTAAAGAAATGTTCAGGTTTTGCGATTTTTTTTTATTATTCTTGTTCATAGTTACAAATTGATGGAAAATGTTTCCATCCATATCTGACTAAAAATGACAAAATGATTTTGATGTATGAACAATATTAACACTTTTTGAGATGAGGTTTTACAGGTTACCATGTCCATTCAACTTGTTTTTAGTTCAACATATTTTTTTAGGAGACATCCTTTCATTTGAACATTCAAAAATACATTTTTGATTTGTTTATTATTATTTATAATTGGAACTTTTAACTTGCTTAAGTTAAACTGACACAACTTTTGGTGATGATTGTCACGCCTTGCACTGTTTGTAGCCCAAAAGATTTGCCAGGGACGTTCACCATGCGTTAGACTGGACACAGGTTTGTTCCATGTAACAGTCGGTCAAAAATAACCACGAATATTACTTCAAGTAAGAAAAATCACTAACCAGTATTAAGTTGACTTATACCAGATATTCTCTTCTGTTTTGTCCACTTCAATTTTTTTGGTAATAATGGTGTAATTTATCTCATCAAAATCATTAAAAAGTTAAACACAATATTTATCCGTTCAGATCCATTCACAAATGGTTTAAAGTTTGATTGACACAAGTCTTTCAAATTTAGATAGTCACTGTTACTGTAATTGTTTTATGGCCAATATACTTACCAACTTTTTTTTTCTCAAATAAATGTCATCGAAGAGATTCAGATTTTAAAACCATCAAATTCTGTAAACCACATCAACACCCGATAAGCACTTGCATAACACTAACACTCAGTTGTAAAATATTAAAAAGTATTTAAAGTTAAATACACTGCTAACTCCCACAGAACACTGTTCCAACACTAACCCAACGGTAAATGTATTCTCACCGACCCTCCGTATTTTCTAGCGGGCTCCGGAATCGGCAGAGGAGTCGGAATATGCCGACGAGGAGCAAAAACTACCCAAATCAGTCAGCAAGGTATAGAGGGTTATCAGTAAAAGGTCGAAGGTTAACCTGGCCTTCACCATGGGTCACTTCACACTAAATATTCATGCATCCTCATTTGCATAATGAATAAACATGATGCCATTGGGGGCCTTGTGTCACGGAGCTGCTAGAAGTATTAAAAGGGGTTTTCAAATACCACCCCTACTGTCTCGCTCAGCAAAATTATGAGTTACCAGCAAAAAATTCCACAGAGATTTTTTTTTATAATTGCTGGTTCCCAGCAGGCTTTTCTGCTAAGCACATATATCTCCTAAGCACTTATTTCTAATAATTCACAGCTCCGTGAGATTTGGCCAACGGTTTCTCCTCTTCCCAATTGTCCATCAACTCATCTACTAACTCATTACAGGCCTGCCATTTTATTCCCCCCCCCCCCAGAAGTGTCGCAGTCGAGTCCATCACAAGTCCTCAAAAATCCCCACAAATCCCCACAAGTCACATTAAAATGAGCTATGGCAAAAGACATTCCTCTGTTATTGTTCATCCATGTGGTAAGGACCGGACTTGTGAATGGTCTTCTGATTTTCTAGTGACCGGATTTGTGGTGAACTCGACTGCTACATCCCTCCAGCCCTTCCCATCCAGGGAAAATCTGAGAAAATGTCAAATTTGCCAACACCGATTTTGCCATTGACATTTGTTGGGACTAAATTGTGTACATATCATAGGTGTACCTGGTCTGGTTCCTATTCACTTCACTGGGAAGCCACATGGATGATCATTTACCTGGTATAGGACTAAACTTTTTTGGGTCAAAAGAGTATAAGGCCCAAAAAAAGGTCTCCGGTTTCTGGTATGGAGCTTGCCCCAAAAGTGGTGCGGCGACGCGTTTTTTTTTTCAAATGTCGGCTGATGACTGCAAATGGTTCCGACTAAACTTAGTGCAAATATATGGGAGTCCAGAGGGACCACATAAAGCTTATACTCGATCGTAACCCGATCTAAAAACATGTTAAAACCACGTTAAAATTGATTCCAGTCAAACCAGTGAGTTTGGCGGTTTTGAGACATCATTTTTCATTGAAAAAAAAACGTTTTCATTTTGCCGACGCTAGGCTACGGCGACGCGCGCGCATACCAGAAACCGGAGAATTTTTTTTTTGGCCTTAAGAGCAGCATCCTTTTTTGTGTGTGTGTTCTGAGGGTCAAATTTGGTATGTCAGATTGTAATTCCCAACTCGAATTTCCAGTACCCATTTTGAAACAAGGATTGAGGTTGTGGGACAATACGTAAGCACATTGAGATATGGTTGTGTTAATATCTATGTGATGTTTTGTACATTAATCTTTTTTGGAAAACAGGCAAGCATTTGTTTCTTCACCGATATTATAGGCTCTTAACATATTCCTCCGTATTTCATGTGATACTCACACTCTCCCAATGAACTCTTTCTCTCATCTGTTTTAAACCATAAGACGCCCATCCCACGTCAGGTAATTTTCCCACTCCACTCACGACTCCCTCGTTAACATTGCAGTTACACAAAGATTTGTATTTGGGTTCCGACTGCAGTGATACTTTCTGGTGATACAGGTCATTTTTTCTGGCCTGATTGCTCGTTGGAATCGGTTACAGACAACTAACATACTGAAAGGGTACATGTATATGTGACTTGTCACCGCAAAATGAGCATAAAGTCAGACTTTTGAAAAACTCAGATACATTGTATGTGCATTTCTGGATTCTGTGGAACAAGAACTTTCTAATGGTATAATATGTGGGGGCACTGAGTTCAGTAACAGATGTGTAGAATTCCAACTAAATGAAGTTGCAAAAGTATTTTGTGAGAAAATGGCATATAAAAAAATGAATTAACTAATAAAACAGGATGAAAATAAGTTAAGGATTTGATAGAACAAAAATAATTGGGGAAAGGTTGAACAGAACTCACAGATTGAGGTTTACCTGAAAACCAAACAAAAATTGACCACCCCTTTAAATGTTAGCTTTGACCTACTGTACTGCAAATTGCAGTTTCCGACTTTAAGCTTATTTTTTTGGTGATGGGTCACATATGATTTTAAGGCCCATTTCCCTTCAATCTCCCTTCATTACAGATACTTAAACAATTCCCTTTCATTGTTTACAGTAGTTAACATAGTTATCAATCATTCCTGTGACATCAACATTTTGGTACTAAAGTCCTCATTGTGATATAACACTTCACATCACATTATATGTATTATAAATATAAACATGTTCGGTAGAAAGTTTGCAATAACTGAGGATATTACATTTCGAAGTCTGGTTTTGTTATTTTATATGTAGGTTTTTATCAGTCTCGCATATCACATGGTGCATAATACATTAACAAACCCATTTTGTACTTACATGTATAAACTAGTGTGTATTTGCATTTCCAGAGATAACATAACATGACATAACCAATTTGTGTTTGTGTGTGTATGAGTTTGTTTTCATTAATCATTGGATAACACCAATTATGCAGCACCTGAATAAATCTCTGTCATCTGATTGGTAGGTTGTTGATCACATGACATTGAATTATTTGTCCCAACCAACGGCCTAGCCGCACCGCAAAAATAGAAGTTCTATTCCGCGGTGAATAGAAGTTCTATTCCACGGTGAATAGAAGTTCCATTCCAAGGTGAATAGAAGTTCCGGTCACACTATTGGTGGCTCTGACCAATCAGATGACGAAGATTTTTTTCAGGTGTTGTATAAAACAGATAATGAATGTTTCACATTCGTAAAGTGGAAAGAAGAATTTCATTCGGTGGCAGATGGGATGTTCCATTCGCCTCGTGGAATTGAGCATTCCATCTGTCACCTCATGAAATTATTCTTACCATTGTACTCATAAACATTCATTATTTGTATATTAACCAATGACATTTGTAAAGTGTAACATTTTGATGTGGGATATTAACTACCCTTGCATGATTAACAAAATAGAAGATGGAAGTTTTGGAGAATTTCTTTACATAAATGGATGTACTCTTAAGCAGTCATTATCTCAGCAACAATGGAAGGGGGAGGGCAGAATTCCATTTAGTAAATATTGGCATGGTTGAAAGTGAAAGGCACATATCACTAGCAATTATCCGGAGACGTACCTTCCAATTTAATGACAAAAACCTTGCTGAAAGTGAAGATTGAACTGGTACCAAATACCCTGTGAAGTTATTCCGCCTAAAATGATGCCATTCAAAAGCAAACAATTATTGAAGGTGGTTTAAGAAAATGTGCCTGCAGGCACCGATTTTTATGTGCATTGGCAATAGAACCCAGATGCGAGACGCCAAAAAAATGCTTACATTTTCTCAAAATGTATGGTTTGCACTGAGCTGAAATTTCAACAATTTGGTTGTTTTGAGCAATTTTATTGCCTCAAACAAAAATGAAATGCACGAAAGCAAATGGTTCCATGGAGCTTATTTTTTTGGTAATGTTTTGACCTGAATTTTTGTTATGTGTAAATTGTGACTTACAATAGACTGAACTGGGAATGTAACATTTAAAACAGAACCAAAACACAAATAAAACAAGAAATAACCATTTTTCTGCCACTCAATTTAAAAAAAAAGTACTACAACAAAATCTTGGCCCTGTTCTGTTTCTTTTCAATAACGTTACCGCACTGACTTCACCCATCAGCCATTGCTTCAAGAAGTTGACGACTACGAACCCAACATCATTAACACCAACACCATCGGCAAGGACCTGGACCACCTGATCAAGGAGGTCTCATCCCCGGTATCCAGCAATCCTCACTACTTCTCCACCCGGCAGGGGCAAGGGGAACCGGCTGTGCCCGGCATCCCGGACGAACCTGATGAAGAATTCAGAGGTATGGGGGAAAAAGGAGTAACGAGGGATGTAAACTTGAGACCTTGCAGTGGGGAGTGTCCTCTAGCGGTTAGGGTTTGTGACACATGATCAGAGGGACAGGAGTTCGAATCCAGCTGCTGCTAGATATATGTTATGTCCTTGGGCAAGCCACTCCACTCTGCCAGGTGCCTCTCTCCACCCAGGAGTATAAATGGGTACCGGCATTAGCTGGGCAGTAACGTGCGATGGACTGGCATCCCATCCAGGGTAATAAAAGTATTTTCAGTTCTTTCATGTCACTGAAACCAGAGATAAATGTTGGCCTGATGGGCCATATTGGCGCGTTTCAGACTTTATTTTTACTGCATGTTAAATTACTTTCAGTTCGGGCCTGTCTCAATTCATATCTGGGACGAGTTCTTGATAAGGTGCGGGTAGAAACAAAAATCATTCACTTTGTCCGGAAGAAGCTCTGCACTGTTCCAGACATGTCGGGAAATTTTTCATCAGCAACTGCTTGACTCACCTGCTTAATTTCATTGCAGGAAGATTGCAGAGAAGTTGTTCAGAATCCTACACTTATACACGTTACAATGTCCACAACTTGTCCGAAACTCGTCCCGGATATAAATTGAGACTTGCGCTCCATTTAACAATAGAGGACCAAACTTGATTGCTTTTTTTTTAATCCACCAACAATCTGTCTCTGAATCCAAGGTGAGACCCCGATCCAGCAGGAGCTCGACGAAGTCAACCGACGCTACGAGGCCCTCCGTAAGCGCCTACAAATCTCCCTGGACGATCTGGAGATCGCTGACCGCTGCGTGGACGAGACCATGAACGTCCAAGACAACTTGGACTGGATCAACGCCGTGCAGACCAAGCTGGAGCAGACCAGACCAACGGCCACCGAGATCCAACCTTTGGCCGAGGAGGTCATGCTCTTCCAGGTAAGGGCTGGTGACCCAATATTCGCAAAGCAAATGTTAAATTTGACAGAGTTGAACAGAGAAATTGACTGGAGAGGGGTTTGCACCTGAGACCTTCGGATTGCTGTGCCGGTGCTCTACCAACTGAGCTATCCAGCACTATGTTGGTGGTTCCCCTATTTGTCAATGTCCTTGTTCAAGGAGTGCTAGTCAGAAGCCATAAATCCTTACATGCCATGTAGCCAGGGATCACACCCAAAGTCATGATGCCAGCAACATTAGCAATTCTGCAAACCCAGGAAATAGCAAACGGAGATGGCGAAAAGTGCTTTTGTTATTAATATTATTTTTGTTTGTGACTATTTCTTGCTTCCAACCCCACTTTACAGGAAGTAGCCGCCGACGTTGAGAGCAAGCGGCCCGACATCAGCGACACCCTGAGCAAGGCCGGCCACTTTGACCGGGAGTACGGCGAGCGGCTCAACCCGGATCAGCGCGAGGTCCTGAACGAGAAAGTGGGCCAGGTGCGGGTCGACTACGAGCATGCTGCCCAGAACGCCAAGGACTGGCTGAATGAGGATATGGCCAGGCTGGAGAAACTGAGACGAGAAGAAGAAGAGAGGGTTAGTACCAACCGTGGGCTCCTTGCGCAAACAAGAGAGGGCGCTTTTTGACCGCGTGCGCGTACTGGTTCACACACGTATGACGCGCGGTGTGCACAACTAATTTTATTCTGAGTGTGCACAAAGCCATGGAATCTTCGCGTGAGCATCAGGCGTCGTCGGCAATACGCTCAAAATGACTCTCCCAGTGGTCTCCCCAACTCTCCCTTTCTTACCATTGAGGGGGTACTTGCGCACGGAGCCCATATAGCCACATTAGATCATTTCCAACTACCCAGAAAAGTACTAACTGATTTAATGACAGAAACCTTGGTGTCAAATGCCCTGTGAAATTATTCCATCTTAAATTGGGTCGTTCAGAAGCAAACTAACAATTGAAGGTGTTTCAAAATAGGCTGAAGCGTAAATAGGCTACAGCGTTATAAAGCCAGTATCTAATCTTTGTATTAGCTAGAATCTATTCTACAAAATGACGGATTTATCAAAATGTTTTAAAATTTGCCTGTGTGTTGCAGAAACGCATCGAGGCGTTGATGAAGGAGAAGCTCTTGGTCTTGCTGGAGTTGATGGATTGGATCACTCAGGCCGAGGAAGCCTTAGGGTCCGAGCAGCCTGAAGCAGAGCAGTCCAAGCCCCTTGCATCTCAGCTGGACAACCACAAGGTAATAAACATATAAAAAGGTTTGTCAAAAAATAGGTGTTCCGTGAATAAGGCCAGCCCTCAAATTAGAATCCCTCCCCAGACCGTTTGGGGTTGAGCCCACCTAGTATGTCGAAGGGATTGGGACTTTGTATGTAACTGATCGGGCCCAGATTAACTCCACCAGGCTTCTGCATCATGCTCTGGCTCATCACAAAGGAACCAATTTGTGACGCTCTAATCCTCCAGTAGGCAACAATGCCTGTGCACTTCAAAGAGTTTGCCGCTGGTAATCCCGCATACCATTGCCTTTGTGTACTAATAAGATGTTTACTAATACTATAATCCTCCAACAATGGCCAGACTTCAATCTATGTTGCCTATTGTTTAAACCCTGAGTCACCAGTTCGAACTGATCGGGACGTCATGCTTCAGTAACCGGGTGGCTTCTGGGTTCATACCGATCGGGTTGAAAGGGATTGGCTTACCGGGCCCGGTACCCGAACGGTCTGTTTGCTGGTTCATCTGATAGCTGGCCTAAGCCAAAATGGTATTCCAACTCTACGTGTGCATAAGGAGATTCAACGATTTTTGCTTCGGGATAAACGCACACGAATCGATGATGACGTGGTAACTGAATCTGCATTCTGCAATTTTGCATGCAATCAAAAAGACGATGGTACGCTTCATTCGCACAAAAGTTGGGGCATATTAAACACCTAAAAACACTTCGCTCTCCGAACTTTTGAAATTTTGAGCTTACTTCGAAACATAACAATTTCTTTAATTTTACTTGTATTCATAATAAATTGGCATGCATACGGTGAATTGTGTATCCCAAAAGGAAAATCCTCGAATCGTGATGTGCACATGCCAAATTGGAATGCCAAACAGGCTGATCAAATATGATTAAGTTGATTTTGTTGTGAAAGTATGCCCTGGGCGCTGGACTCCATTCAAAACATTTGTTGAGTTTATCTTGAAACAAATTACAATCTGCTAAGCTCTGAAAATATTCGCTAAGCAAAAATCGGTTACCGGCTAAAATGTCTTTGTATGTTTATTACTTGTAACTGGTTCTCAATATTTTTATGTTTGACACTAAATTTGCTGGCAACATTTAAAATATCTACTACTCGTTAAGCATTGATTTTTTTCGCTTAAAAAATAAACCAGTTACAGGCCACAATGTCAAGGGATGTATACAGCCCAGTTTGCACAATTTTCATGTGTAGAACCGGCCTCTTGGAGCCTCTCCTGCTAAGCGAAATTTTCTTCTCTGTGACAAGTTGTCCAGTGCCCAATTTAGCAGAGTTTCTAAGCAACAGATACTGCTCAGCAAATATGTATACTTATTGGAAATTGGCTGGGAACCGGCCAAAAGCATGAATGCATTCCATGATATTTTGGCTGGTGACCTTTCTTTGCTGAGCAAGTATTTTTTTGTGCTTAGCAAGTATCTGAGCTTGGCAGTTACATGAAATTGTCCCCAGTTCTGTTTAGGTATACAGTACTTTTAACCTGTCTTTTCTTAAACTCCCACCACAGGTCCTCCACGCTGACATCACTGCCCACCAGCAGCCTGTCGCCCAGTGCGTCCAGGACGTGGATGCCTTCCTCAAGCAGTACGGTGACCGCATCAGCCCGGACAATGCCTCCAAGCTGGCCGAAGGTGGCGACAACCTCAAGTCCCGCTACGAGGTGGTCCTGACCCAGACCTACAACCGCCTGAACCAGCTCAACCCGGCCCTGGAGGACATCGGGAAGTTCGAGACGGACGTGACCGGCTTCGAGGACTGGCTCCAGGAGGCCGGGTCGATCCTCCAGGACCTTGTCGACAACGTCGGCACGGACTACCCGACGCTGAAGGGACAGCTGGACGAGCACCGGGTCTTCATGGAAGACCTGAATGACCAGAAGGGCGACCTGAAGTTCATCAGTATGAGTGGCAAGAAATTCCTGGATCAGTCCAAGGTAGGTCGATCAAGTCTGTTGAAGTTGGTTTCCTGTCTCTCCAAACACAGGACATGGAGATTCAGACATGAAGTTTCTATGCATAGTCCTCGAATTGATTGGAAAGCACTGTTTCGGAGCAGCCCAGGTTTTTATGACTTTTTGAGCATATTGCTTTTGGGTGCAAAGTTGCAAATAATGTTAAAAAAAACAAAAACATTATGTGATTTTACCATTGTCAGTAGTAACATTGCAAGAAGTGCTGTAAATGGAAAAAAAAAAAAAAATCTCCATGTAATTATTTTCAATTGATAAGTTTTTCTTTTGTAATTTAGAATTCACATTCTCATTTAATTGTCCGTGAGCAAACCTGTGACTTTTTGCCTTGCAAGTTCTCAGACAGAACTGAGTACACAGTGCTAAGAAAATAACATCGGAAATAGAAATGAACATCTCCCAGATGCAAAATTTGTGCTTACAAGACAGTTATATCCGGTTTACTTTCCAAACCCAATCTCAACAGGGCTACAGGAAGATGCTAGGGGACTTCCGCACAGACGTCCTGTCACGCCAGTTCAACCGCAACTTCCAAGAAGACCCGGAGCCCAGCGTGGTCCGGGAGCAGACGGCGACCATCAACGCGGGCGTGGAGACCCTCAAGAACCGGGCCCAGGCCCACGGCGCCACCCTGCGGGACCTGGTGGAGAAGCACCGCGTCTACAACGAGGCCGTCGGGGTCTTCTCGACCTGGCTGCCGGACGCCGAGGTCAAGCTGGAGAAGATGGAGCAGGAGCCGATCAGCGCCGACCCGATCGTGATCCAGAAACAGATTGACCGCATCCAGGCAAGTTGTAGCAGCGGTAGGGGGAGGGGAAAGGGGGAGGGGAAAGAGGGAGGGAGGGTAAATAGAAAGAGGGGTAAGTGTTGTGATCGAGTCTAAACAATTCTCATTCGATGATTCTTTGTTTAGGATTTCACTGATGATGTCGTGGGCCATGCCAGCGACTTGGAGAAGGTCAAAGACACAGCCGCCGACCTGACTGACACCCAACCAGAAACCAAGCCACAAGTCAACGAAACAACAGGTACAGGGCTCATTAAATTACACCAATTCAAAGCTGAGTAGGATCATGTGCAATTACATGGATAAGTACCTATCCATTCAATGACAGAAACCTCGTTGAAAGTGAAGTTAGAACTGGTATCAATTGCCCTGTGAAATTATTCTGCCTGAAATGGTATCATTTTGGAAGAACTCTAAAAGGGTCACTTTTCTGTAAATTGCTATTCAACTAAAAACTGTGAATAAACCGCAAAGGGAAACTGACTAGGTGCATTATAACAATTTATAAGTTGCACAAAGAAATTGACTGGAACTGGGTTTGAACCTGCGACCTCCGGATTGGATTGCTGTGCTCTACCAACTGAACTATCCAACCCCATGTTGGCGATTTCCCCAACGTTCCAGAGGTCATGGGTTTAAATCCTGCTCCAGTCAATTTCTTTGTTCAACTTTCAAATTACATCTTTGAGGGCTGAGCAGTGCAGTTCTTGCAAATTGATGAGTCAAATTCATGTTCTCTGTTTTTGAAACCCTTGCTCCAAAAGTGGATCTTACAGACCGCTATGAGGACCTGCTGGCCCGCCTGAGGGCCCGCCTAGCCCAGCTTCAATCAGCCCTGGCCGAGTCACAGAGCCTCCAGGAGCGACTGGATCTGCTGCTGCGCTGGCTGGACGAGGCCGAACGCAACGTCCACAAGATGGACAAGGGATCCATCATCGCCGCCAAGAAGGAGCCGCTGCATGAGAACATTGAGGAGCACATGGTGAGATCACAACTCACACCATATCTCTTAATCTGAATTTATGGAGGTGATGTAGTCAGGTTACTTGCGATGGGTCACAAGTCATCACAAGAATATCACAAATCAATCACAAGTCATCAGAAGAAAATAATAAGACAATCACAAGTCATCTGAAGAACATCACAAGACAATCACAAGTCGTCAGAAGAACATCACAAGACAATCACAAGCCATCAGAAGAACATCACGACTCAATCACAAAGTCATCAGTAAACATCACAGGTCAATCACAAGTCATCAAAAGAACATCACAAGTCAAAAACAAATCACTTACTTTGGACTGGCAGTGGATTTTCACTTGTGATGTACTTGTGACAGACTTGTGATGTACTTGTGATCTGTCACACGTAGCTCAACTACGACTCTGTGGCAAATTACCTGCAAGGAAACATCACACCAACATTGAGATTTAGAAGGGAAAAATATGATGTTTGGAACTGGATAAAAAATGGCCAGAACAGGGTACCTTCTTAAAAAAACATTGTTAACCCACAAGCACCTGTGGTACATTGTATTACATTGTACTTATTGCCTGATGAATTCACAAATACGTAGAGTGCTAGGGTGGTTTTGGGCAGTACCAGGAGTACAAGGCGGTGCAGGTTTTGGGCAGAAGAGAGTAATAGGTTAATAATTCCTTTTGTGTTTGCATGCGTAGTTGATCCACACAGACATCGAGGCCCACAGGCCGGCCGTGGAGTCCGTCCAGCAGGCCGCCGCCCAGTACCTGGAGACCTCCAAACCCAGCGAAGCCAAGCTGGTCATGTCCAAGCTGGACAGCATCAACGACCGCTACGCTCAAGTGGCGGACACAACCGACAGGCACGGGGACCAGCTGCGCCTGCTGCAGTCCAAGCTGACGGACTTTGACCGGGAGGTGGACCAGCTGGAGGACTGGGAGATGCCCGTCATCGAGGCCCTGGAGGGACGCGACCTGATGAAGATGGACATGAACCAACTCAGCCGCAAAATCAATGTAAGTCTCTTGCCTTTTTTTTCTCCTCCAGAAATGTTTTGTCCATGATCTTGATATAAATTTCCTCCTGACATATTTTTAACCTCTTAACTTAATTTTTAAAACTTATTTTTTTTCCCTCTCTATTTTGAAAAGAGCTTTTATTTTTGGTTGTCTTTGTGCTCAAACAGATCCACCCTGCAAGTAGACTGGTTCCTGGTCCCTGCCTCATTGATTCTGATAGGGTCAGAAACCAGTCTACTCTGCAAGAACTGAGTTTTGTCTGGCCGCTCAAAGAAATCTACAATAATATGAACAATTGGAGCGTTCGGTTCATTTAATATTGCATGGCAAGACCACAAACAAGTTTGTTTTTTTACTGAAATCTTACACATTATCCTCAACAGGACTACAGCAGCCAGTTTGAGAACCACCGGCCCCAGTACAAGCTGATCCACCAACTTGGCGAGGACATCGTCAAGAAGACCAAGGCCAAGGACACCAGCCACGTCAACGCTGTGCTGAGCAACGTGGACACCAACTGGAAGACGCTCTCGGACCTCCTGGAACTCAGGTAAGCAAAACACTCCTCCCACCAAAAAAAGTTAAAAGTGGGGACTTGTGAGACTTTGTCATGGACTTGTGAGGACTTGCGGTGGTATTGTGAGGACTTGGGGTGGTATTGTGAGGACTTGTGGTGGACTTATGATGTCTTGTTGGGACTTGTGGGCACTTGTGAGTGACTTGTGAAGGCGTGAGGACTTGTTGGAACTTGTGGGGACTTTTGAGGACTTGTTAGGGCTTGTGATGACTTGTGGGGACTTTGGATGACTTCTAATGACTTGTGGGGACTAGTGATAAAATGTTGGGACTTGTGGGCGCTTGTGAGGAACTTGTGACGACATGAGGATTTGTGAGGACTTGTTTGGACTTGTGTGAACTTTTGAGGACTTGTGGGGGCTTGTGATGATTTGTGGGACTTTGGATGACTTGTAATGACTTGTTTCATTTGACTACAACACTGTTCGGAAAAGAGTTTTTGTAGAATTCTCAAAATCATAATTCTAATCTCTGAAACATCCTGAAACTGTCTCCTGCAGGAAGGGCCAGCTGGAGCAGAAGCAGCGAGCGACGGCCAAGTACAACGAGGGCTACCGGGACACCAGCGGCTGGCTGACCGGCATGGAGCGCAAACTCAGCCAACTGCAGCCTGTGGCCATGGACAACAAGACACTGGACAGACAGGAGAAACAACTCAAGGTATGGAGGAGAAATACTTGCAATTGGGACTTTTCCTTTCGACCCCAATGTGAGCCGTGTTATGAACACTAGACAGTTCACTTTGGCAAGGGGTCTGCATTTCTTAATGATTTGAGCAGCGCAAAGCGGAATTTGGTTATTTTTTTCCTGAAAGTCTCAAGCATCCTTGGTAATTTTTTTCAACATATCGAGATGTGAACAAGAATTATTTTGGGCACAGCAATTCAGAAAGGAGTATCTTTTTGATGTTTTTGTTGACTGGTGGGTATTTAAACTTGGCGTGGTCTTTTGGTACTCAATTAGGCAACCATTTTATAGATTATAATGATTATTTTCCTTTAAAAAAAATCTAAATAGTCTAAAATGACTGTTCAAAATAAATATTAGTGCAGAATGATATTCTCCCAGGTGAGTTATTTTTAGCATTAAAACAAACCTCAGATAAGATTTTCCCCAGTTCTTTTCATAACCTCACCACCGTAAACTTAATCTTGTCGAAATCTGACATCCTCATAGCCAAATGGTTTGAAATGTAAAGGTTAAATGGACAGGAATCTGTTTTAGGGATCAAAACTGAGCTATCTGCAGATGAAAGATGATTTCAATATTGCAGAAACTTTTCTTTGACTCATTACCAATATCTTTCGGCTGATTAATACCCTTTGCGACCATGTGTTTTTGCAGCCATTCCAAGTGGAGGTGGCCACCTACCAACCTGCGGTGGAGGAGCTGAACCGCGTGGGCAACGGTCTGGACGTGCTGCTGAGAGAGCTGCAGGCTCCGCTGTCCACCAAGCCCCACTACCGGTCCAATCAACTCAGCGGCAGCATGACCAGGGAGCAGATGGAGCAGAGGGAGATCCAGGACAGGATGGACAAGAGCATCATCCAGCCTGAAGCACCAGGTCAGTTTTGTATGCCCTTGTTTTTTTTTTATCATGTTCTTTTCCGAATCCCTGTGTAATAATAATATCGGGGTCTTATATAGCGCATGTATCTACCAACAATTAGGTATTCAAGGCGCTGGAGATATGTCTATTATTAAAGAAAGGTACATAAAGTTTATGAGAAGTATGAGACCCATTATGTAGCACCTTATAAGGGTTGACAAGGTGCTGCGTCGCATATTGCAGCCACTGCCAGAAACACCGGGGCAAACCCCTTCTCTTAGCGATAAGTGTTACTGGGTTCTTTAACGTGCATTACACAACACTCGGGACCTACGGCTTTACGTCCCATCCGAAGGACGAAGCAATAATGGTAAAGTGCCTTGCTCAAGAGCACAAGCACCATGTTCCCACGGTCAGGATTCGAACCCACGTACCACGGCACACGAGTCGAACACCGTAACCATTGGACCACAGCACCCCACATTGGACCACAGCACCCCATGACATTTTCAGGGTTCCACAGTCATGGACAAATCCTTGAATTTAAAGCTGTCATGGAAAGCCATGGAATTTTGTTATTTTACAAGGAGTCATCGAGAGTTGATATTCCTAGAAAAAATCACAGATTCCTGCACAACCCATACGTGATGATGCGTCCTATTTAGCTATGGCAGTCTTCCACTTAAGTTTACCTCCTCTTTCTCATTGTATGCTCCATACTTGTTGTTTGTGATGCGTTTGTGTTGCTCAGTGGTCTTGTGTCAAACTTGAAGGCTTAAAGGCAATGGCGTCCCTTGCCTCAGCGTAATGACTGGCCAGTGTATTACAAATTGGCTTCCAAGACGCAAACACAGCGTAGGGAAAAGGCCATGATTATATCAATTGTTTTTGTCGCCTTGTCGCAGAGGATTCAGACATCCAGCGTCAGCTGTCGGACACCAACCGGCGCTACGACGCCCTGAAGGTCAAGATCAATGACCGAGAGGAGGACATTGACCTGGCCCGACTCTTCCTGGACCGGCTGGGCTTTGTGAATGACCGGCTGGACTGGTGCGCCACGGTGGACAACCGCTTGATGAAGAAGAAACCCACAAGCAGGGAGCTGGAACCACTCAAGAAGGAATACTCCCAGTTCCAGGTTGGTTTGCAGTTTTTCTGTCCTGCTTTTGAAAAAAAAATCCATCAAGTAAACCATAAGGGAAGCTTAATAGGTTCTCTTTTACATGTGACCAGTAGTCAGGTAATTTCACACTGAGCGCGATGCTGACGCAAATTTGTGGTAAGTCTTCAAGTTGCAATTTTACAAACTTGAACGCATTTCAACTCCGGCGAATTTTGCAGCGACTGTTTCATGACGTCACATTTGCCTTGCATTCTTGTGAAATGATGAACTGGCTTTATAGGTTGAACTACATGTAATTTGATCTTCAGGCTGACATCTCAGTTTGTTGAATGCCAGTTTGGGTGTTCCAGAAGAACTCCAGGTTTGAGTTCTGCCCCAGTTAATTTATTTCCGGGTTCAAATTCAAACTTCACCAAACAGAGAAATTTCAAGCTAGATAGCACAGTTGGTTCAGTAACAGTACCAGATATATATAAGAGTTAACAGTCTCGAATCCAACCTTGGTCGCTAAACTTCGTTAAAGTGATGATGTAGAGTGCAAGATGTTTTCCTTCTGTGGTGTGAATAATGAGTCATCACTGTTCATCCTACACTGACTTGTGACTGACATAATTACAACGCTGCATCAACACAACACCCCTCCCCCACCCCCCGGAAAATTGTAGTGAAGTGACTCAAAATTCCTGAATCCACCATCATGTTACAGTAAATCTTATATTTGAAGGTGATGAAGGGTAAAAAAAAAGGAAAAGATCGTATCAAAGAAATGTTTCATGTTTGCTACTTTCTTCAAAACAAACCTTGGATGTAATCCTTGCATTTTGTTTCCCCCTCTTCCCCCTCCTCACCCAGGATGTTCACGATAGCATCGGCTCCAACAAGCCAGCCGTCCTGGAGACCATCGTCATGGGGGAGCAGTTCCTGCAGGAGAACCGGGGCCGGCTCTCCCCCGAGCAGCAAGAAGAGATGCAGCGCAAGATTGACGAGCTGCGGTCCTACTTTGACCAGGTGGACAACCGCAGCGACAAGATCAACACGGACACCCAGCGCACCATCGACAGGCTGGAGAAGGAACTGGAAGAAGAGGTAAGGAAACAGGGGGAAGACTTTCTTGTTTTCTGGATATCGTCCAAACACAATGCTGGGGCCACTCAAAGGCAATTTTTGATATGGACAGGGATTTTTGTGTTACAGGGGTTCTTACACTGCTCTTTGTAGGTCCAGTTTTTGTTGGGTTGCTCAACATATAGTCTTTTGCTATTGGATCCTGTGCTGGTACTTGTGTTCTTGGGCAAGACACTTTACTACAATTGCCTGTTCACCCAAGAGTATAAGTGGGTACCTGTAAGGGTAGAGATCAACTTGTGCTGAACTCCGTCTTGGTGTCATGGCCTGATGGCAGGGGTAATAATTGTCTAGGCATCAGTTCATACAGTCGTAAAGAAGAAAGTGACTGGCAAACTTTAATTTCATATTATCTTCTGAGAAGTTTCAGTATACTGTCAGAAACTTATATTTTGTTCCCACCCTAAAGTTCCTTTAGTCTGAGGTTTATTTGTTTGCCATCAACTTCCCTTTAAAATGGTTCATGATGTGACTTGGCCACTTAAACTAAGTGACTGGCAAACTTTACTTTCATATTATTTTCTGAGAAGTTTCAGTATACTGTCAGAAAATTATATATTGTTCCCACCCTAAGGTTCCTTTAGTCTGAGGTTTATTTGGTTGCCTTCAACTTGCCTGTAAAAAGTTCTTGGTGTGACTTGGCCCCTTAAACTAATTTTTCGGACCGGGATTGTTAGCTCAGTCCCATGTATTCAACAAACCCTCTGTCCGCGTTTCTCCTCAGCTGCGTCTGCGTAAGATGTACAATGATTCCAGCCAGTCCGTGACCACGCTGATCGACTGGGTGACAGAGGTAGAGAAGCGGCTGGCAGCTGAGCAGCCGCAGAGCGAAGAGGTGCCACCACTGACAAAGCAGACAACAGATCACAAGGTAAAGACAATTTTAAAAAATTAAATCATCGTAAATTGTGCTGGGATTTTTTGAAATAACAAAATAGGCAATTCCGGCGTTATGTTCTGTTCGTGACAGGGCTTTTAAGAGCTCAGTAAATAAACCTGAAAATGTATTTTTCAAATCTTATGCATCCATCATCTAGTTATAGTCAAGGAGATTACAGACTAGGGGTTTTGGATAAATTCTCTGTTTCATTTATAAAATATCATGGTTCTTTGGCTCCATCAAGGACATTACACTTCCTTTCATAACGCTGGAGTTGCCCAAATAGTAGTAGAAGGGAATAATTTTATGAAGATGAAATCATAAATTGCTTAAAAACACAAGTCTGGATTAAAAGTTGGTTTCGTTTCATGTTTTCGGAATATATTTGCTAGCTATGATATGTAAGTTTTGTTGTATATTTGATAATTAATCGAAAAAGGTGACCCAATAAAATAGCAAAATGAGTCCCAAGTTTCCTTTTGAGTAAAGTTTTTATTTCTTTTGAAAAGACTTTGCAAAAGGGAAAACATGGGAAACTTTCAACATTTCCAACTCACATAATGACTGCATATCTTCAGATGTCAAAAGTGATATATCGAAACGGAGAGCAGAGCATGCTCTTTGTAATGCATTTCAAAAGCGTGGAAAAATGTCCTTAAGACTCATTTTGTTGGATCCAGTTACGCATTTGAATATTTGTCAAAGTCAATATTCAGAGCAATATTAAAAACCTGTAAAACCCTGCAAGTTCAGTTTCAAGTGAAGGTACATGAAGTGTTAAAGTAACTGTGTCACACAGCGAGTCACTGCTCCAGAAATTAGCACGGTGCAGGGACTTGAAGTGTTATCCATACTCCACAGAAGATTGCCTCAAAGGAATTTGAAGTGTGGGTGCTATGTCTATGGGAAAAAGGGGTTTTGCAAAACTTAAAGGGTTTTTGAAGTGCAGAAGACTAGGAGGGTTAATAAGTTGTATCCTCCGTCTTTCCCTCAGTCTCTTCATACAGACATCCTTGCCCGGCAGCAGCCAGTCATGGAATCCATCCACACCGCCAACCAGCTCCTGGACCAGTACAACAACAGGCTCAAGGACCAGGACATGTTCAAGCTGCGCAACTTTGCCGACGACCTCAAGACGCGCTACGACCAGGCACTGGGCCAGTCCTACGGCCGGCAGAACAAGCTGTCCTCACAGACAGAGGAGCTGAAACGCTACGAGGGCGACAAGGACGAGATGGAGACATGGCTGGAATCCGCAGAGCAGGCTTTGGAGTCGGCCCAGCGCCAGGTGGGCACCACCCCGGAGGAGCTGGAAGCGCAGTACGCCGAGCAACGGACGTTTGCCGACGATGTCGTGAACCATGGCGCCGACTTGAAGTACCTCAACAAATCCGGGGAGAAATTCCTGGACAGTGCTAATGTAAGTAGTGTCTTTTTAATCAAGTAACACACTTGCTACATTTGAGTACAAACACTTTGCTCTGTTCAGGAGGAACATTCTTTAAAATTCAGCAATGTATGTTTGGAGTTTTGATAGAATTTTGCATTCTTGGGAGATTTTTTAAGCACTGTGTGGTCAGTAGCATCTGAGAGCTTGTGAAAAAAATCACAAATTGTTGATCACAACCTGCTGCTTACGGTTGCAGGTGTTGTAATTGCACTTTTTTTCCAACTTTATTCAACAGGGCTACCGTGAAGAGCTCGGCGAGTACCGCTCGGCCGTCCTGTCCCGCGATGAGCAGCGCGCCTTCCGGGAGAACCCAGAGACCAGCCGCATCCGTGACAATGTGGGCGTCGTCAACGACCGCTACGACAACCTGAAGCTGAAGACCAACGACCACACCAACCGGCTGAACACGCTGCTGGACAAGCACAGGCGCTTTGCGACCAACGTGCGTGGCACCGACCGGTGGTGCGACGAGACCCGCGTGGATCTGGACCAACTAATGGCCGAGCCCATTGCCGCCGAGCAGGTCAACATCCAGAGGCAGATCAACGACCTCAAGGTACCCATTATTATTATTATTTTTGTTGATTATTCAGATCACAATATTAACGAAAGAGGAATGGCAGTGCATTCGGTCACCTCCAGGTAGACTGGGAAAATCGGATATATATGGGTGATGGTCAGTAGCCAAGGTAAAACCCCAAACGTAATTACTGTACTTTTCATTGCATATCGCCAGAGATATTGTAACGGGCTCGAAAACTACTGGTACAAGTACTAATGACTGGGGCCCTATTGCTAATGGGAAATTCCAGCGTTATGCAATGTCCTTCACAGAACTTTTAAGAGCTCAGTGAATAGACCTGAAAATGTATTTTTCAAATCTTATACATCCATCATCTAGTTATGGTCAAGGAGATTACAGACTAGGAGTTTTGGGATCTGAATCAATAATTAGATATCATGGTTACGTGGCTCTGTCATGGACACGACACTTCCTTTCACCACACTGAAGTTGCCTTAATGCAAGAATTTGGACATGTCATATCAGACTTTTATAAGCAAGTTCATACATCTCAATTTTCAGTTTGTTTGGTATGGTATTGCTGGGAAAAAAATTCCATACTGGGCCACCACTCATATTCCCTAATATGACCTAAAGAGTACCAAAAGTTGTAAATCTGATGAAGAAACACCATTGAAAGAGTGCAAAATTTCTTAGTTAATACTCTAACTTTTTCTGTCATTGCCCATAGACTTTGTGCAGGAGGTCTGAATGGTGGTCCAGTATGGAATTTTTTCCTTGCTGTTTTTTTTTTAAAACTGTTTCAGGGTTTCTTTTTTGCAATAATTGATTTTGACGATTTCTTTGCTAGGCTTTGAATGACGATGTCGTCCTCCATGGCAAAGATGTGGAGGCAGTCAAAGACACAGGCAATGAGGTTGTCGAAGTCCAACCAGAGACCAAAGAAGCAGTCGACAAAACCAAGGGTAAGACAAATATTCACCAAAATAACAGATTTTAATATAAAAATAACAGAAATATCTCTGTCAACTGCCAATTCCTTAGAAATATCCATTTATTTGAATAGAATAGTTAAAAGAAATATACTCTTAATTGTAATCCTTTTTCTAAACATTTTTCTCTCTAAAAGGAGAGAGTGAATTGAAGGCATTTAGGATCATTTGCTTTTCATGTATTTTGTTCGTTTCCAATAATAACACCACTCAAAATCCAAAGAAGAATGCTCAAAACGTAACCTGTTGAAATTTCAGCTCAGTGAATGTTACACTTTTCGAGAAAACAGTGAAAAACATGCAAAATCTTTTTATCACGAAACCCGATTTTGTCATGCGAACTCTTTATTTCAAAAATCAGTCAATTAAGTGATCAGCAGAAATCATCCAAATTTCTTGATTTCTTCCAAATGACAGCAATGGAGTAATGTCACGGGTTGTTTAGTACCAGTACGATCTTTAATCCAAGTAAGCTTTTTGATAGTAAATCTGCAGGTTACCTTTGGGATAAATGCAAATGATCCTATGCCTTTAATGCCATGATGTGGACACATTTTGGCGTCTGTTGAAGAACGTTCGGGGAGAGTGACTCTACTTTCTTTTTTTCATGTAATCATCGCAGCTGGCATTCAGCAGAAGTACGACGCACTCGAGGGCGACATTGCCGACCGCATGCGTCAGCTCCAGAAGGCCCTGGCTGACTGCCAGTCGGTCCAGGAGAGCTTGGACGGCCTGCTGAAGTGGCTGGAGGACAAGGAGAAGGCCCTGCTGAGGATGGAGAAGGGAACGGTCATCGTGGTCAAGAAGGAGCCGCTGGTGGAGAACCTACAGGAATACAGGGTTAGGGCTGGCTCATACTTGGCTCAAACGCAAAGTGAATTCATACCGTCCTCTCAAGACCATCACAAGACCAGACACAAGGCTAGCACAAGACCAGTCACAAGACCAGCCACAAGTAACAGTGGATAAAAAATAACAAAGGAATGCCTTCGTCACAGTTCATTTGAATAGCTCGTGACTTGAACTGAGACTGGAGGTCTTGTGTTGGTCTTTTGATGGTCTTGTGATTGTCTTGCAGGGTCTCGACTACAACATTGCTCTCAAGCCCTTGCGCTGCAAATCCGACAGTATTGAATACGGTTTATGGCTTCTGACTATCGCCCCTTGAACGAAGACATTGACAAACTGGGGAACTGCCGACTTAGGGCTTGATAGCTCAGTTGGGAGAGCATCGGAATGTATTCCAGAGGTCGCGGTTTCAAATTCCGTTCCAGTCAATTTCTTTAAAATAAGCAGTTTATGATGTTCCAAGAAGCTCTTCTAAATCTTTCTTTGTCTTTTTGCTTAGCTTCTGGAGAAGGACATTGAGAACCATCGTCCGACCATCGACCGCGTCCTGCGCTCCACAGCTGACGTGGTCCGCCAGCTGAAGCCAGAGGAGAAGGGCATCTACCAGGACAAAGTGGACAACTTCCAGGAACGGTTCGGGGATCTGACCGCCTCACTCAAGACACATGGTAAGAGGGTTAGCATTCTGGGTTATTAACACCGTAACTCCCAATGCATTCTTGCCAGGAACCTTCCTTCCGATTCCATGAAACTTTATGCAGGGCGTAACTCCACTTGCGCCACAATTTATTTTGTAAGACACATTTCACAAAAGTTTCGTAAGGCTTAATGGTGCATTTATACAACAAACTATGGTGTAAATTAGACAATCATTTTTAGGTGGTGTTAAGTTATGGTATAGCAACTGAAAATCAAGCCAAAGCAAGCCAAATTCCATCTTATTACTGTGGCAATGAATTTCGTTCTCAAATAAACTGTTGGTAAACATCTCCAACTCTTCTGTATCTGACATTCCAGGTGAGTTGCTGCAGACACTCTCAGGCGACCTGGTTGACTTGGAGAAGCAGCTGGACACCCTGGAAGAGTGGCTGGTACCCTTGCTGGAGGAGCTGGAGTCGGCCGACTTCAACCGCAAGGAGATCCCAGAGCTGGAAGAAACACTACAGGTGAGGATTCTTCAAACTTGTATCAATTTTATCCTGGATTTATTTCTCAGGGTATTTTGTTGTCTTAAAGTGTTAGGAACCCTGTAAATACTTTTAGGTTTTGCATGACTCTGGAACACCGATCTTAAACAAGTGTAAGTCAGTCAAACTTTATAGCCCGTTTTGTGATTGCCTTGACCGTCCACAGTTCATCAACCAGGACGTTGAGAGCCACCGCCCAGAGTACCACACCATCCATGACATTGGAGAGCAGCTGATGCACCACCCCAAGGCCGGCGACACCTCCTTCGTCACGGCCGTCCTGACCAACCTGGACCAGAATTGGCAGTCCCTGGACGATGTGTTGGCCAAACGGTATGTCAAAGCTTTTCCTATCTCAAACCTAGTCTGGGCAAGGGATTCAAATTCCTGATGCTGTACGGCCCACTCACTGCAATGCTTCATCAATACATGGTCTGAAATATACATGGTAAATTTTGATCAGAAGAAGCACAGTCCTGAAGCATCTTTACAGAGGAAGGCACTCGAGCATGGGCACAAGGTGGTCATGGCACTCAAATTCTAATCACATATGTCGTTCTAATCATATAGCTCGTTTTTCACCATTGCACAAATGATGAACAGTGAGTATGTTTCATTGTATATTGTTACATGTGAAAAGAAAGGCTGATATAAATCTGACTAGAAACCTGAACTCATGTGAAAGTTGATTGTCTCCCTTTTAGTATCATTGAACGAGCTCTCAAGTACACATACAGCCAGACTCTATGACCAAAATGATAGATATGAATACCTTATTTCAGACTGGCATTTCAGAATTCTCTTCATGAAAGATAAACTATTGCAGTCATTTGAAATGATTCCAGAGTCCAGTCAATGGAAAATTTTGTTCTTAAAAGTCACCTGTCTGAAGCAACTTCTATTTGGGTCGACTTGAGTAGCTCTGAATACATTTTGGTTTGGTACGACTCGGTAACACCAGTCAGAATTTGATGTAAGACAGAGTTCAGATTAAATTGAACCTTGTTCGTCTCTTTGCAATCCTCCTTTTTCTGAGTAGACTTCAGCAGCTTGAGGACCGCCAGGTGGCCACCAAGCGCTACGAGAGCCGTGCCAAGGAGACCGACTTCTGGCTGGACGGCATGGAGGGCAAGCTAGGCAAGCTAGACCTGACGGTGCAAGAGGCCAAGGCAGTGGACCTCCAGATTCAACAGCTCAGGGTAAGCTGGTGTTTGAGCTCTCCTAGCTCAGTTCTGAGTTTTAAAAAAATTGGCTGTCATGAGACGATATGGCCCATCAGGCCGGCGTTTGTCTCCGGTTTCTTTGCCATGAAAGGACAGGGAACATTTCTATTCCCCCTGGATGGGATGCAAGTCCATCGCAGGTTACTCCCCAGCTGATGCCTGTGTCATATGAAAATCACACCCCTATGAAAATCAGACTCCCATGAAAATCAGACTCCTTTTACCATATTATTGGTTAAACCCTCCTCAGGGTCACTCTCCTAATTATCTTCACTTGGGCATGCGCAATACTACCAATGAGTCCGTATTTTACAGAGTCCTAAATTCACGCTACACCGGTACCCATTTATACTCCTGGGTGGAGAGAGGCAAGTTGCGGTGAAGTGGCTTGCCTAAGGACACAACCTATTGCCAGCAGCTGGATGTGAACCCCTGACCTGCTGATCGTAATTCATGAACTGTTGAGTCAACGGTTCCCGGAGTAACCGGTTTCCTTCCAATGCTTTTCCAATGCAGCCCCTACAGCGAGAGATCACAGACTACCGGCCCAAGATCGTGGAGGTCAACAAGGTCGGCGCGGCCCTGGACAACCTGATCCGAGAGGTGATGGGCCCCGTGGACGCCCGACGCCACTACTGGTCCTCACAGATCGGTGCCCAGCTCCAGACCGACTGGCAGCCGCAGAAGGCTAGGCCCAAGGAGCCAGCCGACCAGTTAGACAAAGGCTTCCTGGAAGGTACGTTTATGTCCGATTTCACTACGACTGCAGCTATGGATTTGCTTTTTTTAATACTTTTAACATATGAAGTGATTTTGTAGTCGTAGCCAAAAACAGAGATGTTTTTGTTTAATTTGGGGGCTTCAGTTTTTCTTCACACATCACACATTGCAAGTAACCTCAAGACATATTAAAGATACTTCGGTTTACAACTAACTTCTGTTTAAGAAACTTTTGAATCCATCTTGGACAAAAAGATTAAACGTTCCATCTTGATAAAATTATTTCCCTGAATTTTCATTTGACCAAAAAAGAAGAAGATGCATTCGAGTTATTAGTAGCATAGTCTGCAAACGTCTGTCATAGTAACAGAAATTGACAGTGGTGTACAATTCGATGAGGCTGTAGCACATTTGAAGCATAAAACATAATGCAACTTAAAATTGTTTTGACTTCATTCAAAACACAAAATGAAATGTTCCATTTTGTTGATGTCCTTCGTGATATTTATTAGTTATCCAAAAGGGAAATTGTCAAGCTCTTTTGCAGTTGGAATACCAAACTGGTTTAATCAGCCAATTAACGGAAAGCTCCCAGAGAAATCTAGCTACCCAAATTTAAAATGTGTCGACAAATATATGACGAGTACATTCTTTGGCCCTATTCAAATGCAGAGGACACAGAAGTGGAAAAGGAACTGGAGACCATCAACCGTCGTTACGATGACCTGGAACGCCGCCTGACCGACGTGCTGGAAGACCTGCGCATTGTGCGTCTCTGGGCCGACAAGGTGGAGTCGGTCCAGAACATGCAAGAATGGGTCAGCTCAGTGGACGTCAGACTGACCGAGACGCGACCGACCAGCCAGGAACTGATGCCGCTCAGCCGGGAAGTTGAGAAATACCAGGTGAGTTGTTATTGTTTCTTTGATGGGAAAATGCTGCCTGTTCATGTGGTGAGCATGCTATTCTCATTTGGGAACGTTCTTTGGGCATTCTCAAATTTGGAACGTTGTGCCGTGCTCAGAATCGACTAGAGAATTATTGTTTGTAGTTGGGATCAGCTGAATCAAAAGTTTGGTTTTGCCCAAAAAAAGTTGTCTGGAGGAAAATTTTGGTCCTGCAAAAAATCAGTTCCTCCACAAGATTTTGGTCTCGAACAATACTTAGATCAATTTTAAATCAAAGTTTGACATTTAGCTTTGATTTTGGAAAATTTGAAAACATGTCTGAAAGGGTGGCACTTACAACCTAAAAATATTGTTGAAAAAAGTTTCATTTTTTTTTCACATTTCAGTATTGATTTTGACAATTTTTTATGTGGAGAATATCAAGAGAAAAAAATCAAGAAACTGCCATCGGTAAAACAAGAATTTGTACCCCTGATATGGGTTTTGCAGACTCACTGCAGATTTTATCATGAAATACGTGGAATAACGCCTTCGTCCCTGTTCCATCCCAAACCCTGCCTGTTACTCCCTGTACAGTCCAACTCTGCCCCAGCACTGTGTTGTTTTTTTGCAGTCAAGAGAAAATAAATAAAGTATAGTGCAATGTATTACAGACGCTAATTGCTTAAACGTCTAATACCAACCAATTTTCTCAAACAGCCTGTACATACCGAAGTGGCCGACCACCGTCCCATCATCCTGGAGGTGGTGCACAACGCGGAGCAGTTCCTGCGTGACCACCGGGACAGACTGTCCCCCGAGCAGCAGAGCAAGCTGAAGGTGATGACCAACGACCTGCGGGGTAACTACGAGCAGGTCTCGGTCAAGAGCAACGACTGGCTGAAGGAAGCCCAGATACTGATGGAGACGCTCAAGTCCCAGGAAGACCAGCAGGTCCGTACCCCAATTTCTGCTCATCAAATCTTCTTACTAAGCAAATACCTGCCAGGTACCAGTCACAGGCAATGTTTTCCTATGACTTTGCGGCTGGTACCCTGTTTTGGCTAAGCGAATGTTTTCTGGCCTTACCAAATTTATCAGGCATTAGGTTATTTTTTATGAGACTTTAGTCTGAAATCAGACTTTGGAATCCCACTGATAAATAGTATCAGTGTAGAAAGAAATGCATCTTTCAGACCTTCATCCAATATTTAGCAAATTTCTGTTCTTAACAGGTCCATACATTTAATATGTTGCGCATTTTCATTCGCTGGTATTATTCTTAAGCAAACTTAGTCACACAGAAAGTGTTCAGATCATGTTTTTTTCGGAACAAGTGAAGGCCAAATTTGGAATGTTTTTTTAATTTAAGGTTGAGATTGAGGACAAGCTGAACGGCGTCATGAAGTTGCTGACAGACCAGCTGGAGTGGGTGACGCAGGCTGAGCGACGTGTGGGTTCGGAGCAGCCGCTGAGTGAGGAGTCACAGCCCCTGCTGTCACAGCAACAGGACCACAAGGTACCCAATCACACCCCTCTCAGATTGGGTTGAGCTGAACTTAATTATTCTGAAGATTAGAATTAACCCATTGGTACCAGTAGCCCCGAAATCGCCCTGCCTATTATTTCTGTAGCCCCAGAAACCACCAGTGGTTACGTGGTATGTGAGTTTCAAACTCAACGGTGAACTTGATGCTTGTGTTCTTAGGCAAGACACTTTGCAACAATTGTCTCTCTCTCTCCACCCGGGAGTATAAATGGGTACCTGTGAGAGTAGAGACCAGATTGCGCTGATCTCGAGAGCTGTTGCAGAAAAAATGGTCTCATAGCCTAATGATGTTGGGTAACACTTGTGAAGCACTTTGGACTGTTGCTATTCAAGCACCACATTATTATTATGAGGGTGATCAAAGCGAAGAGTCTGATATTAAATCTTTCCCTCCTTTCCTGCCACCGTTCAGGTCATCCACGATGACATCCAGGCTCACCAGAACCCCGTCCTGCAGGCCATGCAGGAGTGTCAGTCACTCCTGCGCCAGCACACCCAGAACCTGCGTCCCGAAGACCAGACCAAACTGACCGAGCTTCAATCGGAGCTGCGCTCCCGCTACGACGCCCTGTCCACCGAGTCGCTCGGCCGGGCCAACAAGCTGCGCTTCGCTGCCGAGGACCTGCCCAAACACGAGGAGGAAGTGGCCGACTTCGAGGGCTGGCTGCTCTCAGCCGAGCAGGCCCTGGAGTCCTCCCTGGCCAGCAAGTCCAAGGCTCCCGAGGCTCTCAAGAAGGAGTATGGCCAGCAGCGGGCCTTCACCGAGGACGTGATTGCCCACGCCGCCGACTTGAAATTTGTGGTCAAGGGCGGACAGAAGTTCCTGGACTCTGCTAAAGTAACTGCTCTATTGTATTCATTACTTGCTTTATTTCGTTGCTTTTAAATTGTTGAAAGTATTTTTTCAAATTGTTTGTCATTTTGCCTGTAGTTATTCAACTACTTAAAAAACAAAGGTTTAAAAGTTTATGAAAAACTAAAAGCAAAACAATTTCGTGAAGACTTATTTTGTTAGAAATGGTTTCACATAAACATGTTCTTCCTGTAAACAGGTGTATCGCCAAGACCTAGCCGTGTACCGGGACGCGGCCCTCCCGCGCCAGTTCACGCGCTCCTACAACGAGAACCCAGAGACCAACGCCATCCCCAACGGGCTGTCGGACATCAGCGGCCGCTACGAGCGGCTGAAGAGCCGCAGTATGGATCATGCCAACCAGCTGCGGGAGGTGGTGGAGAAGCAGCAGCGCTTCGGCGACATGGCTGATAACTTTGGCGGCTGGCTGCAGGAGAAGGAGGGTACCTTGAAGTCGTACCTCAGGGAACCCATCGGGGCTGACCCGGCCACCGTGCAGAAGCAGATCGACAGACTCAAGGTAAGGGCGCTATAATCTTAAAAGCACATAGGATCATTTGCATTTGTCCCAAAAGTAATCTACTGAATTGTTATCAAAAAGCTTACTTGGATTAAAGATTGTACTGCTACTAAACATCCTGTGAAATTATTCTGTCTGGCGTGCTGTCATTTGGAAGAAATAATGAAATGTAGTTGATTTCCAATGAATCAATCAATTGTCTGATTTTTGGAAATAAAGAGTGCTGTTGACGAAATCATGTTTCGTGATCAACAGGTTGTGCATGATTTTTCACTGTTTTCTCGAAAAGTGTAGTATCCACTGCGCTGAAACTTCAATAGGTTAGGTTTTGAACATTCTTCTTTGGATTTTGAGTAGTGTTTTTATTGGAAAAGAACCAAATGCATGAAGAGCAAATGATCCTATATGCCTTATTACAATGTTGTAGCTGAGGTACTCTTGATGAATCACTAGTACATCACAAGTCCAGTCACAAGCACATCACAAGTCCAGTCACAAGTAAATAACAAGTCGATTCACGAGTAAGGGGATGATCTGCATTTGTCTCGGTTCAGTTGAAAAGCTTGTGAGTCGACTTTGGACAGGATGACTTGTGGTGGACTTGTAGTGGACTTGTGATGACTTATGATGGGTTGTGATGACTTGTGATGACTTGTGTCGACTTGTGATGGACTTGTGATTTAGTTGTGATGACTTGTGAGGACTTGTGATGGACTTGTGATGACTTGTGATTGACCTGTGTTCACTTGTGATGGACTTGTGATTTAGTTGTGATGGACTTGTGAGGACTTGTGATGGACTTGTGATGACTTGTGATTGACTTGTGTTCACTTGTGATGGACTTGTGATTTAGTTGTGATTTAGTTGTGATGACTTGTGATGGACTTGTGATGACTTGTGATTGACTTGTGTTCACTTGTGATGGACTTGTGATTTAGTTGTGATGACTTGTGATGACTTTTGATGACTTGTGATGCCTTTTAATTGACTTGTGGGGACTTGTGATAGTTTGTGATTGACTTGTGATGATTTGCGATCCATATTAAGTATCTGAACTACAACACTGATTGAATAACAAGGTGTAACTGTTTGATTGTTATTGCATTTTGTCTGTCCGCAGATTGTGCACGACGAGGTGGTCCTTCACCTCAAGGACATTGAGAAGACCAAGGAAGCTGGAAGGGACCTGGCCGACGCCAAACCTTCGCTCCAACCGGACATCACCAAACAAATCGGTGAGTGAATAGTCCAGAGGAATTGGATGGTATGTGGTCAGCTCAGGGGGCGTCGCCCCTCCAGCCTTGCAAAAGAGGGGGCCCTAAGCCAATATTATAATTTGAATTTAGCAGAAATTGCACAATAGAAACTAATGGAAAAGGGTTTTAAAATGCAGCTATGTGCAGCTACATATATCACGAACAGCACCCCCTTGTGTTAATTCGGATCAAGCCTGCCCCGCCCCCTCCCCAGGGCACAATTTCAAAGAGGTGCTAAGCAGAAAATATATGCTTAGCAGAATTGTGTGGTAAGCAGAAATTGGCTGAGTACCAGTCACAAACTGTACACATTATATGAGATTTTGGTTTTAACCTGTTTTTGCTAAGCTTATAAGTTTCATGCTTAGCAGATTTCTATGCGTAGCAGCTCAACTGAAATCGGCTCCAGGTTTTTTTAATTTGCCACAAATAAAAAAAGATATATTGCAAATTTCAAATTTGTTTAAATCTCTTCATTTTCTTCGTAAAGATGAGCTGCAGCGTCGCTACAACGATCTGGACGGCCAGATCAAGGACCGCAGCCAGCAGCTGCAGAACGCCCTGACCCAGTCCCAGGACATCCAGGACAGTCTGGACAGCCTGCTGCGCTGGCTGGACGAGGCCGAACGCAACGTCCACAAGATGGAGAAGGGAACCGTGCTGGTGGTCAAGAGGGACCCCCTGGTGGAGAACCTACAACAGCAGAAGGTGGGCTCACGTCTCTGTGTGTAGATGATTTTGAAAAAAAAATTGCTGGATGCGTAATTGCTGAAAGACCGAATATTACAAATTGCGTTTCTGTGAGTCCTTTTCTAAATTGCTATTTCTCTAGCAATACAAGAGTTATTCACTTTTGCATAAGACATTGACCGAAAAAATCGGGCCATGCTTATTCATTGAATTATTCTTTACAATTTTAAATTATCGGCTACCAGACAATGATTCCATTTCTCGAATGGTAGGCTGGTTCCTGCCCCACAATCAATATCGATAATGTACGGACCGGGAGCCAGTCTGCTCGCACAGCAGATCTGTTTATGCCCAAAGCAAAAACCATATTTTCAGGGGTTTGCTGACCTCCAAAAGGATAAAAAGTTTTTTGGGTTGAAAGAAAACAAACAAGTTGAAAATGTATTAATAGAAAAATATTTGAGTTGGTGAAGAGCATAAAGAATGCAACTTTAAGCTGGATAGACTGAAATCTGTTCACATTTTCTTTGCTGGGCTTGCAGGTTGTGGAAGACGACATCGTCAGCCACCGTCCCAGCGTGGACACCATCAACCAGTCGGCTACCAACCTGATCCAGACCAGCGAGCCCAAAGTGGCCAAGGCCCTTCAAACCAAGCTGGACACGCTCAACGCACGCTACGACAAGGTCAGCCAGGGAGCCGACCGTCACGGCCAGACCCTGCAGACCATGTTCGACCAGTTGAACAACTTCGAGGCGGAGGTGGATCAGTTTGAGGACTGGGTGCTCCCGACGGTGGACACGCTGGAGTCGCGGGACATCAGCCGCATGGACCTGAACGAATGCGACAAGAAACTCAAGGTACCGTCACATTTTTCCATTGGCATTCAAATGTATTTTCAGGATTTTACAGTAACAAAAAATTCCAATATTCACCTTAACTCATTAGACCTTGTACCGCCCCAAACAGCCCTGGCTGTTACTCCTCATACCGCCGCACTTGCCTCAACCTCTTTACTGATTCATGGAGTAGTAAATACAGTGTACTAAAATTTAATACAAATGCTAAAAGTTAAAGAGAGTGACCCATCGTTTATTTCATGGACATTCCGGCCAGGGTGAGCAGCCCCACATTCTAAAGAAGTGATTTCCTTGTAAACAAACTTTTTGGTGGCAATTTGTGGGTTATTTTTTTGGGGGGGGGGTGTTTGAAATGTCATGGAAAACCAACAGTTTTTTTAAAGTTTACTTTATTGTCACTTGAAAAGGAGATGAAAAGTTACAACTTTACCCTCGTTTTGCAGGAGCAATAACGGACAGAGTTGTTCATCAGATGGAATTTGCCTTGGGGTGATATCAATTCAATAGTGGGTTTTGCCTTTCACCGGACAAAGTTATGTCATCCGGACCAAGCTCGCAAAATGTGTAAACAAAGTGTGACGTCATTATGTCTTGGACCTTATTTTATTTAGTAGAAGAATTTAATTAAAGAGGATTGAAATATAGGAAAGGCATCAAAATCCAGCCACAATAATTGTGGTATCATCATCCAATTATTTGGAAATGTTCTGATTTTGTGTGGACAGACTATCAAGCAGCAGCTGAGCGACCACCGCCAGGCCCACAAGCGCATCCACCAGCAGGGAGAGCAGCTGGTCCGAGACCCCAAGGCTAGCGACGCCTCCTACGTCACTGCGGTCCTGACCAACGTGGACGCCAACTGGCGCACCCTGGAGGAGCTGCTTGTCAAGAGGTAAAAACCTTGGGGAAAGTTTGATCAAGGACGTTTTGTTGATGAGTGACAACAAGAGATCCATGTCATATTTTTTCTCCCGCAGTCACACATCACAGAAATTCACAATCCTTTCTCCCCATTGTAAATTACTGTTAACTACACACTTAGTTCGGCAGTATGTAAGTTTTTGAGAAGGCAACCTTTTTACTGTGATTTTTTAGCCTTGGTCTTCAAGACACATTTTGTTTCTCCATTTAAAAGACACTTTTAAATGAAACGATTTAAAATCTATTTTTTTTTAAATCACATACCAGACTTGGACAAACTTTAAAGCCGACCAAGTTATGAGTATAAGTGTGCTGTTTCATTAAAAGAAATCACAAGAACAAAAGCAGATATTTGTTGTCCTGTTTAAGGGGCCAATTTTGTAATTGGCCAGTTTTCAACATGTTCAGTAGGGTTTAAATGCCAGTTTAAAACCACCCAAGCTCTTGACAAGAACAAGTTAACTTTTTGAGGTATTTATGCTTTGAAATTGAAAGTGTTTTGATACTAAGCGTATCATGGAAATAAATAAAAAAATAAGTTATTTTCAAGGAAAAAGTCTTACAAATTTTACTTTCAATGTTCTGTCATTCAGGAGCAAACAGCTAGACGCCAAGATGAAAGCCTCCAAGCGCTACGCCCAGTCCAACAAGGACACCAACAACTGGCTAGACACCATGGAGCACAAGGTGACCCAGCTGCAGCCGGTGGCCCACGACATTGTCACCCTCAACACACAGATAGAGCAACTCAAGGTGGGTACCAGGCGTAACACCCTCTGTTCACTGAGATCAAAATCTGTCCAAAGGCATGATATTTTTTTAGATGTTAGTCTGCAATCAGACTTTTTTGTATCTTGAAGAAAGACTTTATCAGTATAGACAGAAAATGCATCTTTTAGACCTTTCGTCAATTTTCAGACTTTCTGTTATAAAGTGACATTACCATCTTTGTATTTAAATATAAATTGCTAAATTTCAACTGGAGTAAAACTATTAAGAAGGATATTAGAAAATGTTTCGAAGAAATTTTTAATGCAAGTTGATTTTCATGGCTAAGATTGAGTTTCATTAAAATATTAAAATCCCTTTTTTTCTGTTTAAAGACACAGACTTTAATTTTGATTGATTTTTTGTCCATAGTTGAAGAGAAAGGGTTTGAAGTAGAAGAATAAACAATTGATATTTTTTCTCAACCTGTAACAGCCACTGAAGGCCGACGTCGTTGCCTACAAGCCCAAGATCGTGGAGGTCAACAAATACGGCCACAACTTCGACAAGCTCCTGCGAGATGACGACATGGCGATGACCATCCGCCCCCGCTACCGGTCACTCCAGATAGGCTCCACCCCTATGAGCGAGCAGCCGCGCAGGCCGTACGACGCCCCGGATGCAAGCGAATACACTGGAGAAGGTGAGATGCGGTTTGAGAAAAAGTCAATTATGTTAAATTGGAACCACTGATCTGTACATACAGGGTGATGCAAAAAGAAGGTAACCCACTTTTGACAGCAACTTTCACCTACTTGTTGAGCATATTTCAAACATTCAATTTAATGGTATTAAAATATTGATCTTTAAACATAATGGATGAAAAAAAAATGATTGCAAATGCACATTTTGTCTCTGAGATATGGTAGTTTAAAAATTCATGTGCCAAACCTGTTTGTCCACGGATGGCTTTATTCCATCCGCTCCGGAGTTTGATTTGATGACAAAAAACACTACAATAGACGTACACGTGGACAACAGTGATTTTGGTGACTTGTTTTCAAATTAGCATAATAACACTATTCTTGCGATTTTTTTAAAGATTTTTTCACCACGTATGGTTGAAGAGCTATACTTCACTACATTATTAAAAAACCCCAAAACAGTTCAAGTAAGTTAAGTAAGTAGGTTAAAATTCCTGTCAACGGTGGGTTTCCATCTTTTTGCTCCACCCTGTAGTGTCCAAATAGCACACTGAGGTTACACATTGAAGTCGCAAGTGGGCCGAAATGTAAACAAGTCTATGTTCTGTGCTATTGATCTTTATATAGAGATCAACGGATGCCTTGGCTGAACATGGTGGCGGCCATGTTGGGAGGGCCAACTCGCATAGTGTATCTAAGCAATGGGACGTTTTGCACACAATTACACGTTTCTCAAATTTGCTGTTGCTATCATTGACAGTACGTTTAAATTAATCCCAGAAGCTCATGACAGATTGTGTTCCCATTTTCGTACCAAAAACAGCACCCCACATGGCGTAACTCTCTATATATATTCCTCTAGTTAGCAGGGAATCCTTGCTCATGTTAACAAAGATTTATTTATTTATTATTTTTAATTAATTAATTTTGTTTATGTTGGAACAGAGGAGACCAAGATCCAGCGTGAGATAACAGACATCAACAAGCGCTACGAGGCCCTGAAGGTCAAGCTAGGGGACCGCGACGAGGAGCTGGACCTGGGCAAGGCGTACCTGGAGAAGAGCGGCAACATGGGTGGTCTGATGGACTGGGTGACGGTCACCGACGCCAGGGTGGTGGAATCGGCACCCCGCAGCAACGACATGGACCAACTCCACACTGAGCTGAAGTCCAGCAAGGTATGTGTTTGTGTGCCCAACCGGCCAACTTTAAGATGCTGATGACCACTTGGCAATCTTCAATGGCGGCCCAATGTTTCTAAACGCAAAAGGCCACAGCACATGTATGTCCCTGTAGTAGAATGAAGGAGAAATTAGGAAGAAATTTTCAAAATTTAGGAGGGCAATAATGCTCCTCTTCTATTCCCCAACAACTTTCTTGACTATGGCAATATAAGAGCCTCTTCAAAGGTATATAGGATCATTTGCATTCGTCCCCAAAATAACCTACTGAATTAGTATCAGAAAAGCTTACTTGGATTAAAGATCATACTGGTACCAAACACACAGTTAAGTTATTCCATCTGGCTTGCTGTCACTTAGAAGAAATCAAGAAGTGTAGGTGATTTCCAACAATCGGTCAAATGACTGATTTTTTGAATAAAGAACGCTGTTGATGAAATCGTGGTTTAGTGATCGAAACATTGTGCATGTTTTTTTCACTCTTTTCTCGAAAAGTGTGATATCCACCGAGCTGAAACTTCAACAGGTTCGGTTTGGAACATTCTTCTTTGGATTTTGAGTGGTGTTATTTTTGGAAACGAACAAAATGCATGAAAAGCAAAATGATCCTATGCCTTTAACAGAGAGTGAAAACAGCGGCATATTGTTCAGTAATACACATTCACACCAAGTAGAAAACCGAGCAATGTTATGTTAATTTATGCAACTTATTGAAAGGTTAATAGGGTGATATCAAGGCAAGCTCAAAATGAATATTTAATTGGTTCCTCTGGCAGACACTGCACTCTGACATCGACAGCAACAAGGCGGCCATCCTGGACGCCATCCACACCACGGACCAACTCCTGAAGGACAAGCGCAGCAAGCTGACACCCACGCAGGTGGAGGACCTGCAGGGCCGCAGCAAGGACCTGCGAGGGCAGTATGACCAGCTGACCAGGCGCTCCGAGGACGTGTGCAAGCAGACTGAGGACACGCTGAGCAAGATGAGGATTGAGATGGAGGAACGGGTATGTGTACCATTACCCTTTTTTTATATTTGTTCATATTTTACCAAATTTGGAGCAAAATCAACATTTTACTCGCAATCAAAATTTTACTTGGTATAACTAAGAAGGTAACTAAGTTGTTATTCGGTTGTATGAAAAAACAATTGAGGTGTCGATTATTGGGTTATATTTTCAAGTTTGACCAATCGAAAACTACTTTTCAAAAATGAAGGCTTCTTTTCAAAAGGTTGAAGACCATGTAAGTAAAATTCCTTGAACTCTCCGAAAGAAATGGAACTAACACAAAACTGGACAAAAAGTAGGTGAAAAAAAATTTCAAGACCAATTTTTTGAAAAGGCCAGTGAATTGCTGGTTATTGAAACTTCTGTTGTCGATATCATTTATGTCAATGAGTTGACACCCAAAATAAATAAGCCGTTTAATTAATCATAACTATAACTTTAAAAAGGAATGATTATTGTAAGAAGAAATAATTGCAAACTTGCGGGTCTCTTTCTTTATTCACTGAAAGGTTTTGCATTTTAATCTACACACTGCATTTTTGTGACAAATTATGGGTATGGTTGCAAAATTTGCCAGCGTGGAGTTCTCAGTTCTGTTTATTGCTTTGTCTTTGTTGAAACTTGACAGGCAAGGCTGAAGGCTGACTACGACCAACTGACCACCGAGCTGAATGAGCTGCAGGATTGGGTGACCAAGGCAGAACACCAGCTGGGATCAGAACAGCCACTCAGCGAACAGACCCGGCCTCTCAATGACCAGTACAACAAACACAAGGTCAGTAAGGGAACCAGTCTATTTAACCAAACACTCAACTCATTTGTGTTACCCACTGGAATCAGAATAGCCCTTTACTTTATCAATTCTGCCACAAATGTTAATAACTTTCCAGTGTTGAGACAGGGTTTGAATCCTACCCAGAGTTTTAGAGGGTTCGAACCTACGACCCCTGATATACTGCACTGGTGCTGTACCAACTGAGCTATTCAGTCCTATTTCGTCATAGTCTTTTGTTCACAGGCACTAGTTATAAGCTGTTAACCTATATGCAATGTAGTCACGGATCACGCCCAAAGTCACGATGCTAGCAACATCAGCAATGCTGCAAACCTGGGAAATAGCAAACCGGGTTCATGCAAAGAGGATGCGGCTTTTTATAACAAATTTTCAAATAAACTGTAACTGGAAACTGACTAAGTGCATTGCAATGATTTTCAAGTTGAACAAAGAAATTGACTGGAGTGGGGTTTGAACCTGTGACCTCCGGATTGCCATTCCAGTGCTCCACCAACTGAGCTCTCCAACCCTGTGTTGGCAGTTATCCATTTTGTCAGCGTCCTTATTCAAGATTTTATATTTTTAAATTTCGCAGACTCTGCACGAGGACATAGTATCCCACCAGGGCCCCGTCCTGGAGACTGTCCAGGAAGCCAACCAGCTGCTCAAGCAGCGCGGAGACAAACTCACCGACGAGGACCGCGGCGCGCTGCGCGGCACGGTGGACTCACTCAAGTCCCGCTACGAGGCCGTCAACGTGCAGTCCAACACTCGGCTGAGCGCCCTACGCTTTGCCTCTGACGACCTGCACAAGCTGGAGCCAGAGATTGGGGACTTTGAGGAGTGGCTTCGCAACACTGAACAGGTGGGCTTCAGTTTCTTTTCCGTATTTTCCTTTTTTTGTGAAGGGAATTACCAAGGGCGGATCCAGAGGGGGGGGGGGGGGGGCAACGGGGGCCATGGCCCCCCAAATCGTACCAATTTTTTTTTTTTAATTGACGTCGCAATAAAGGTAGGAAATTCACCACCGCCATGTTTTCCTCAAAAAATTTTTTTTTTAAGTTTTAAATTTTTTTTTCTTCTTCAGATTCCTCTAATCTCACCCCTGAGTATTGCATATTTCATGCATCCTTCATTTTTTTCCTTAATTGGTGCAGCAACTGGAGTCCTCACTCCGCAAGATCGAGTCTGAACCGGATGCCTTGCGAGACCAGTACACTGCCCAGCGAGACCTGGCGGAGGACGTGCTGACCCACGGAGCAGACCTGAAGTTTGTCAACATGACCGGACAGGCATTCATCAACAACGCCAAGGTAAAAACTACAAGCAAAGGAATCATTTCTTGTGGCTCCCTGCCGCAGTGGAGTCGAATTACTTTCGATGGATCACAAGTTGATCACAAGTAAATCATAAGTCAATTCTCAAGTCCAGTCATAAGTACGTGGGAAGGAACAATGACACTGGAATGCCTTTGATTAGCTTCTGACTTGATTTGGGACTGGGTGACTTGTGACTGCCTTGTGATGACTTGTGATTGCCATATGATGACTTGTGATTGCCTTGTGATGACTTGTGATTGCCTTCCGATGACTTGTGATTGCCTTGGGATGACTTGTGATTGCCTTGGGATGACTTGTGATTGCCTTATGATGACTTGTGATGACTTGTGATTGCCTTGTGATGACTTGTGATTGCCTTCCGATGACTTGTGATTGCCTTGGGATGACTTGTGATTGCCTTGGGATGACTTGTGATTGCCTTGGGATGACTTGTGATTGCCTTATGATGACTTGTGATGACTTGTGATTGCCTTATGAAGACTTGTGACTGCCTTGTGTTGACTTGTGGTCCGTCCAAAAATACTTTTGCCAAGTTGCCGAAATAATTATTAAATCATGGTATACTCAGTCTGAGAGCTTTTGAGAACAACTTCACAAGCTTGCTCAGGTGGGCGTTAAACCCATAGTTATGCCCATGGTCTATGAAGCATTTCTGTACTTGGCTTTACATAATTTTACAGCTTTTGTTTTATTTGATGGTAATTTTTTAAACAACAGTCTCGAAAATTTGTTCTTGGAGATAGTAGTTTCTGAATTTGTAAGAATGGTTTTGTAAGGTAACAATTAATTCCAATGCGTTTCAGAAACTGATTGTAAAAAGTTTTGATTTGATTTTGTGAATTGCAACAGACCTACAGGCAGGAGCTGGCCGACTTCCGTACCACGGCCCTGCCCCGCCAGTTCAGCCAGACCTTCAGCGAGGCGCCGGACTCCCACGTCCTGCGGGACAAGCTGGCCAACGTGAACGGTCGGTACGAGCGTCTCAAGGCCCGCTGCCTGGACCACCGCAACCGGCTGGCCGAGGTACAGGAGAAGCAGCAGCGCTACCGCAACGAGGTGGAGCCTGTCCTGCCCTGGCTGGACACGTCTTACGTGACCCTTGGCAAGATGACCAAGGAGCCCATCGCTGCTGAGCCGGAGGCCGTCAAACAGCAGATTGAACAACTCAAGGTATGGAAGCAGTAGTAGTAATGCATTGGGGAGATGTCAACTTTACGATTGGGTTTTACCCTTAACCCTTTAGTCACTGTAGTGCCCGAAACTGCCCAAGCACTCTATGGTTTTATTGATTCTTTAGTGAATAAACACAATGTAATACAATGTACTACAATGTATTGATTCTTTAGTGAATATACACAATGTAATACAATGTAGTACTAACAGGTTAATCAACCTAATTACATAATCACTCTTTAGCAGGATTCCCAGCCACTCTGGAAATCAGGGCAAACCTTGAAAATGAGTTTCCGTTTATCCAGTCAGAGAAAACATAAAATCAGGGAGAACTCAGAGAATTTGACAGTGACCCAGAAGGGAAACGTTTTTGACTGTTTGGCGTGTGTGTGTCTCTGTTGCATATGTTGAGGAAAGGATGGCTATATTAAAAGGAAGAAGGGAGGCTATCGCATGTCAACAAGTTGTTTGGTTGAAACTACCTCTTGACATGCTTGACCTCCCAGCCACCTCATTAAAGTGAAAATATTTCTCATGGAATTTGGGGAATTTCTCAGGGAAAACTTGGGGAATTTTGTTGTCATAACATGATGGGAACCCTTATAGACCATGTGAGCTTTGACGTCATGCCATTTAATACCCAATTTTCTCTTTGGGAAAGTAAATCCTCCACAGATCACCTTTGAAGGCTAGTTTATGTTTACCCCTCAAAGCAGTCAATATTTATACTGTAATTTGCTCCATGATACTGAATATTTTTTGTTGTTGCTTTGCTTTACTCCCATTTCAAGGGAGCTGGTCAAAGTATTTTTAGTGCCCTCCAAGGATCTTTCCCGACTCCTAACTTGTATCTTATTGTGCTATTCGTTCAGGCCTTCAGCGACGACGTTCTCCTGCACAGCAAAGACATTGACCGAGTCAAGGACACAGGCAAGGAGCTGTGTGACGTCCACGAAGATGTCAAGAAGGACGTCGGCAAACAGACACGTAAGTCACTTCGAACAAGAACAAAGATTTGTCATCATTCTTCCATTTTTTTTTTTTTTTTAAATAAGTTTGATCAAGCTCAATCCAGAACCGTAATTCCAGCAGTAGTCAATTTTGGTTGTACAAGATCCTGCACACTCGGCAGTTCTAGTGGAACTAGAACTATTAAGAACAATAATAGTTTGTCGGGTGTTGCATGAAATTTGGATCGCATAAAGAACTGACTCTCAGATCATATTGAGCGTGCTCAGTACAAAGAACCAAAGAAATCACAAATATATCACATTGAGGAAAAGAGTCTGTTTAACAGATTTGCTGGTTTTCAAAAGTTTACTTGTATATTTAAACAGTGATTCAATTCAATTCACCTTATTACTCCTTGACGCTAGGTGATGTGAGCGACCGCTACAGCCAGCTGGAGTCTATGATCGCCGAGCGCTCCAACCTCCTCCAGACTGCCCTGACCGAGTCCCACAGCGTCCAGGAAGGGCTGGACAGCCTGCTGGCCTGGCTGGACAACACCGAGGCCACGCTTGACCGGCTGCAGAACCGCACCACCGTCACTCTACGCAAGGAGCCTCTCAACGACCACATGCAACAGTACAAGGTGGGCGCTGATTTCCTTGGACTGGTTTGGTCTGTCTTAGTCCTTAGTCCCTGTACCGCCCCAAAGCACCATGCTTGTTACCCCCTGTACTGCCCCAAACCGCTCGAGCATTCTAAAGTTTAACCTTGGACTGGTTTGGTGTGTCTTTGTCCTTAGTCCCTGTACCATCCCAAATCACCCTGCTTGTTACCCCTGTACTGCCCCAAACCGCTCGAACATTCTACAGTTTTGTGGATTCGTCAGGGAATAAACACAGCGTTTGGTTGACGGTTGTTTTTGAAACTTGAGCTTCGTCTTCAGCTCCTCTGAGCATTACTACAGGATACTATATAAAGGTTTTGGACTGTAAATTTGAAAAGTGGCATCTCTGAGCTAGATGGTTGTTGATGTGCTATAATTTGTTCATTGCTCCTGATAACTCCCTACTCTTTTTTTTTTCGTCACAGAAACTGGTAGCGGACGTGGAGGCCCACAAGCCCAGCATCGACAACGTCAACAAGGCCGCGGGCAAGCTCCTGCAGACCTGCGAGCCCTCGGTGGCGCGCACCATCAAGTCCCGGCTGGACAACCTCAACACCCGCTTCGCCGACCTGGCCAAGCCTGCCCGGGACGGCTGCGACTTCCTGCAGCTGCTGACGGACCGGCTGAACCGCCTGCAGGACGAGGTGGACAAGCTGGAAGACTGGCTGATCCCGGCGCTGGACTCCCTGGAGGCGCCCGACATGAACAAGATGGAGATCGCCGAGCTCAGCGGCATCTTGAAGGTTCGGCAATTCTCCCAGATTTCTGTCCAGATTTTGCAAAATGAGTCATGAAGACATTTGTTTGATGTATTAGAAACATCAGCGGCTTGTGGGGAGTGATCTGTCTCGAGATATGCTCGTCTTTTTTTCTTCCGAGTCTCATTGACCACTTGTTTTATCTCGTTTCAGGACGTGCAAGACCAGATGGACAGACAGCGCCCTCAATACCAGCTGATCCACCAGCTGGCCAATGAGCTGACCAACGAGAGAAAGGTCAACGACCCTGGCGCGGTCAAGCACATTGTCCGCAACGTGGACGACAACTGGAACGCTCTGATTGAGCTCCTACAGTTCAGGTAAGTTCATACAATGTTCTGAAAATGGTGACATAGTTTAAAGAATAGTCTGTCAACAACATTTAAGGCTTTTACGAATTGTTTAGTCTCACATCTGTTTTTTTTTTTCACCCTTGTTTTTTATTGTCTTTTTTCCCGGGACAGACAAAAGATGTTGGAAGAGCGACGCCAAGCCCAGAAGTTGTACAACGACAGCCTGAAGGATGTCAGCACCTGGCTGATCGGGACGGAGCGTCGCTTCAACCAGTTCCAGCCAGTGGCTAAAGACATGGACACCATCAAGACACAATACGAGGAACTCAAGGTAAAAACTCACAAAATCCTGCCTCACGAAACCATCTTTTGAGAAGGCTGTGGTTTCCAAAACTTAAATAAAAAACTACAATTTGTTTGACCAACAGCTGTGGAATTTATTGCCATAATTCTAGGAACACTAGCAGTCAAAATAAGAGTGAAACTCCATTCCCCAGTGAAACAGGAACATGCTCATACTTGGTGCAAACTTGAACACATTCCTACGCCGATTTTTCTTCAGAGTAGAAATTCATCAACGCCACAAATGTTCAGTGAAGTCAAAATCACATTTTATAAATTATGAACTGGCGTTTAAATTTTCATTCATTTCAAACTCAACAATGAATTCAGGCCCAACTTTGCACACCAACAGTGTAACCGAATTCCGTTCACATTCGGTTCTTTACAGTGTCCAAATTTAAGTAAAGTTTCCACAGTTTAGTCTGGCATCCATTCTGGGGCCAGGTTGAGTTTCACAGAAAATTTGCTAAGAATAGAAAGTATTGGCTTATCAAAAACTGGTTACCAACCAAAGCTATGTGCAATGAAGATAGCTCATGCACAGTACCCTGCTGATTATTGCTTAGCATCCAAATTTGCTGATAGGTATTTCCATGAAAAAGGGCCCTGCGGATGGTGATGCTAGAGTCATTATGTTGGGTTTGGGTCGCAAATTATCCCTTTTAAAAACATTTCGTTTTGGTAACACATCCCCAGCCCCTGCGACGCGAGGTGGTCGAGTACCGCCCCAATCTGGACCAGCTGAATGACCAAGGCACCCGCCTGGACACCCTGATGCGGGGCATCACGACCGCCCCCAGCCGGCCCCACCGTCGCTCCTCACAGATAGTCACCTCCACGCCCAAACCGGACCAAGGACCCGCCAAACGGGCACGTGCCAAGAAGCCGTTTGAGGAGGCCAACATCAGCGGACTGATCGAAGGTGGGTCAAAAAAGTCTGGATTTCTGTCGATCAAACAGTTGGTCATTGAAGGAACGATTTGAAGATCGCGATTTTAAAAAATGGTTGATTGTTTCTTAGCAGCTAGGCTGTACTTGAAAACTTTGGAGTCCATAGATACTCTAACCTTATTTTCCCTGTCTCATATTTTTGTCTCGACAGAGGAGTCTGAGATCCAGCGTCAGCTGGCTGACATCAACAAGCGCTACAATGCCCTGGACATCAAGATCGACGATCGCGACGACGAGCTGGACACGGCCCTGGCCCTGGCGGACCGCACCAAGCCCGTGGAGGACCTCCTGGACTGGGTCAACACGACGGAGATCCAGTTGTCCCAGGCCCCACCCCCGCCGGGGATGGACCCGCTTGAGGGGCTGGAGGAAGAACTCAAAGCCATACAGGTAGGTACTCTCAAGCGTCAACGACAGAGGGCGCTGTGTCGTCATTGGTAAAGGACCAGTAGTCTCCGTATACTCCCAAAATGTGAACGATTCAGGGGGCGCTATGTCGTCATGAGGGAAATAAGGGCCCCCAGTCTCTGTATACTTCCCAAGCATGAACAATAACAAGCGCTGAGTTGTCCTGCAAAGAATGTTGCAACATGAGGCAGTACTCAAATCGATACAGAAAGCAAAAGACAGCCAAAAATCCGATAAACTATTTTAAATTTCAACCACAAATTTTCATTGTATAGGCCCAGTTGTTTATTTTAATGATCTTTCCAAGTATCGTTTTTGTGATCAATGCATTTTAGTGCTCAAAACGGCAACTTCCAGTTGAAAGTGATCCTGTTAACTCCAGCTCTTCTTTACAACAGTAACTCCCCTATGTGTGTTTGTATTTCCTCCAATATTTGCAGAGCTCACTGGCAGTAAACATGCCATAGTAAACAAGTCTGTAGTGATTTCCTTCCAAATTAGCACCCTGAGATAAGCCCTCAAATGCACTCTAGCAAGTGATATATGGGTCATTCTATAAATTTAGGGCCCAAAGTGCGACACTTTTCCTGTGTCTGCTACCTTGGTACTTTGTAATTTGCCATTCAAGTATCATTAAGAATTACTTCAAACAGTTTTGTATGTCTTGGGTAGGTTGTTTGCTATTCATAATCACTCTTGGAGGACGGCTGCATTAAGGAGTGCATCAGATTTATATAATTATAGATGTAACAGGGACAGGACAAAAAGTGGATCCCCAATTTATGGGCAAAGGTAAAGGGGACGAACCTGTGTTTTCAGGAACAAAGTGCCCATCTCTCTTTCGAAGCGATTAGGCCAGACTCGGGCCATGAAATGCTGCTGTGGGGGGATGCCACACCTCCTCCACAGCGAGTCTGTTACCTTCCAAACATTGAATAATGCCGGTACCCAGTTTAACACCTGGGTTGAGAGGAGTAATTGAGGTAAAGCGCCTTACTCAAGGGCACAACACGCATGGCAATGGCGGGGCTCGAACCCACAATCTCACGATCATTAATCCTAGGCTCTACCGCTAGACCACACGTGCCCCCAATTTGTAGAGTGACCCGTATTTTCCTTATCTTGTTGCAGGCCGTGGAAGAGCAAGTGGTCTTCAGCCAGGCGCCCGTGGTGGAAGCCTCAGCCGGCGCCGTCAACCTGATCAACGAAAAAGCCAAGAAACTGCGACCGGAGCAGCAGGAGCAGCTGCAGAGCAAGAACACGGACCTGAAGACGCGCTACGACAAGCTGGCCGGCGACGTCAAGGCACGCAAACAACACCTGGAGTCTAACATCAACCAGATGCGTACTGAAAAAGAGGAACAGGTCGGTAACTTTAGTCTGAAATTCCAGAATCTGAAATTTAGAATTCTCATTACTGTGCATATTCGGGATGAATGGGCTTCTTTTATATCCCTCCTTGTTAATTTTACTGGTTTACATGTTTTTTTTTACAGTCGGCCATGAGTCGTCGCTTCCAGGACGTCGGAGGCATGCTCCAGGAACATCTAGACTGGCTGGCACAGACAGAGCAGAAACTAGGAGCTCAGCAGCCAATCAACGAACAGATCCGACCGCTGACAAGCCAGGTGGACAGACACAAGGTAGGCTGTCCGGGGGTTCATAGAGTCATGTTACACCATGCTAGAGGATGCGCCTTGGGTGCCGTTTGCTTCCAGCAGACAACGATTGAATTGTTTTAAAATTCAAAAAGAAATATTGTCAACAATTAAGATATTTTTCAGGATATTTTATGTTTCTGTCAGTAAACTGATAGATTCTGAACTAAACAAAATTATGCTTCAAAGTGAAGGAAGATATAAAAAGTTTCGGAAAACACACAATTAAAGTGATGAAAAGTTTATATTGACCACTCATCTCGAACGAAGAGCGTCTTAAAGAATGACATTCCTACAGTTGTAATATTTAGCTGGGTGACACACTTGAGCAGTAGTCCAGAGTACTGGGGTTCGGATTCAGCTTGGTTCAAATGTCAACGTTCGCAGATTTTGAATAAGATATCAAAGATGTCATGGTGAGGTCAGAATAAAGGGAAAGTTTGCAATGATACCATACGACGGCAAAAGTTTTGTGAATTACACAGTTCTAAAAAGAACGCGTGTTTCGACAGTATGCTCTGTTCATTCTCAGGAGATTTCCGATGTGTTTCCAGTTTTTTATGACATAGTTTCTTTTTTCCTGTCATGAAGGTGCTGCGGGATGACATCGTAGCCCACGACCAGCCCATCAACCAGAACGTCAACGACATCAGCCAACTCCTGCGCGACTTCGGCGGCAAGCTGCGTCCCGAGGACGAGTCCTTCCTGCACGCAGGCCTGGACACGCTGCGGCCCCGCTACGACGAAGTCAATCGCCAGTCCCTGACCCGCCAGAACAAGCTAGAGTCGGCCCTGGATGACCTGCAGAAGTACCGAGAGGAGTTTGAGGAGTTTGAGGACTGGTTGAAGGACGCGGAGAAGACCCACGACGGGCTGCAGAGGGCGCCGGGCCGGGACCTGGCCGCGCTCAAGAAGCAGGTGGAGGAGGAGAAGCGTATCATGGAGGAGGTCAGTGACCACAAGGGTGACCTCAAGTTCATCCAGAGGTCGGGTCACAAGATCGTGGACAACGCCAAGGTAAGAGTTATGTTTGAGGATGAAATCCGTTGGCAGGAGGGACAGTCCATTCAGTTCATACTTGAGGCAACAAATAAACATAAAGATAAAGACAAACTGGACAAAGGTTGAACATGTTTCTACTCTTGATGAATATCATCTCAGATGTTTTGTGACATCGAAGTTGCTTAGAAAATGGAGTACAGAGTGGCCTTTATGTGTGAACTCTTTGCGACCTTTTTTGTGAATGTTGGCAGCTTTTGTGCTGAGGATTCTAAAGTTTGTTTAGTGACTCAACTTGTAGCTTTGGAGTGTGTAAGACAGCAAAGATCGTTGACAGTTTTGAAAGTATTCTTAAATCTCACTTATAAACCTGCATTAAATTTTCAATTGATATCTTCTTGTGTATTTAACAACTTTGGAATGTTGATAAGTGCTTTGGAAAGTTCTAGATGCATCTAATTACTACATTGGTTTATGGTTTATTTAAAAACATGACAGTTAGCTGTTAAAAACTGAATTGCATGCCATTTACAATAATAAAATAACAAATAAAAGACAGAAATAAATATTAAATGTATTTGAAGTTACAAAAAAGCCTCCTCTGTAGTATGTACGAGGATAGAGTCTAGGCCTTACGTGAAATACGTTTCTGTATATAAAAAAAGAAAAGGAATGGACTTAAATTGTACATATTGTTTAAACACATACATGTAGCCAGATGTTGGCTTTGGAGAGTGTAAGGCAGTAAATATTATTAACAGTTTTGAAAATATTGTTCTTGGATCTCCTTCATCAACCTGTATTAATTTAGCTAGTGGTGAATGTAAGAATTCTTTCATCAAGCTAAAAATATGCATGCATCATTCCCCAAACTGCCACAGAACTACCGGGAGTCGCTGACGGACTTCCGCATGTCCTCCCTCCCGGCCGACTTCAATCGGACCTTCGCCGAGGCCCCCGACGCCAACGTGATCCGGGACGAGATCAACGACGTCTACGAGCGCTACAACAAGCTGCGGACGGGCAGCCGAGCACACTACAAACACCTGAAGCAGCTGACTGACAAACAGAACAAGTACAACAGCTCCTGTGCCGTAGTGCTGCCATGGGTGGATGAGGCCTACGGCAAACTGAGCAGGGAGTTGCAGGAACCCATCGCCGCTGAGCCTGAGAACGTCCGGACACAGTTGGAGAGAGTCAAAGTAAGATTTTGCTGGATTTTGAGGTATTACTTGCAATGCAGAAAAGAACAAGTCGGGGCGAGGACCCTTAGTCGACTAGCGGTTGATTCGTGATGTAACTGACGCCTGCACGCTAATAGCAACGTGCGAACCCCTCCAGTCAACCGCCGGTCAAAACGTTAGAAAACTTCATGATCCTTGCTGCCAGCGGTACATTATGATGTGCGTGGATATTGGTAACCAGTGCAGCAACTGTGCCCCTGGATCCGTTTCCAAATAGTCGACTAAAGAAGTCCAACTATCCTGTGTTTGACTGGAGTAAGTCAAACTACGGGTAACCATTGTCTTCACCCGTACTTGCTCACCCAAAAGCTGCTGTTGCAAACATAAATCTTGCTGTACCTGCGTGGTGTCATCGAAAAAATCAACATCTGTTTACGGCTTTTATATTTATAACGAGCGAATGTACTTCTTTTTCTTGGCAGAAACTTCACGATGACATCGTGCTTCACACCAAGGATGTGGGCAAGTTCAAGGAGTACGGCAAGGACCTGGCCGATACGCAGGACACCGTCAAGGATGAGGTCTTGGCAACCATCCGTAAGTTACGGAAATAAACTCCACCAAAAAACTCCTCAAAATATATGAATTATTTGTCCAATTTGAATGGTTGATTAACGCCATAAAGTTTTTAACCAAGCTCCCAGTAGTTGACTCTGCTCCCACGCTCCCCCAAGTTGACTCTGCCATAGCGGAGAACGACTCGGTTGACTATGCATTTTATAGAAGTCTGATGACCTACATCTGCGGATCAGCAAAGTTAATTCCTCCATGCACACTTAAAAATGTCCCTTAAAAAGCCCTGCTTGGTTTTTTTTTTAGTGATGCAAGCCATAGACCTCAACAAAGATAAAGCACAAATTTACTGCATGGATGATTTGTCAAAATAGCAAACTGTAGAGAAGAGAGTAGTTGTGCACTCGATGAAGATGACCCAAACTGTGGTAAGCCATAGTCCGTGATATTAACTCTAACCGCACTATCCCTCCCTTGTCCTTCATCTTATTCAGGCGAAGTCTCGGAGAAATGCAACTTCATGGAGTCGCAGCTCGCCGAGCGCACCAACCAGCTCCAGAGCACCCTGGCCCACTCCCACAGCGTGCAGGAAGGCATCGACGGCCTGCTGCGCTGGCTGGCCGTGTCTGAGAAGAACGGCAGCCGCGTGGTCAACACGCCGATCTCGGCCAAGAAGGAGGCCATACTAGAGATGATGCAAGACCAGAAGGTAGCTGACCAATCACAATCCTGTATTTTTTGCTATGACCAATCAGCAGCCTGGAATTTTTGTGGGAGGGGGTTTTAAATAACAATGATGCAAAACCATAAGGTCTGTGACCAATCACCAACCTTTTTAATTTATTTGGAGGGATTCTGAATATCGATAAAAATAAAAAAACAATAAACAGTTCTTAAGGCCAGTTTTGTACTTTGTCCAAATGTAAAAGTAGAGTATTTGCATTACTTTATGTATTGGGATCCAAAATGATCCCTCACTCAGAAACATGTATTTCTCAAAATTATGGTCAACGAGTGGAAAAATAAACTTAACCTGACAGATACCTGACGTGAATTTGACGTCATAGAACAAGCGCACTGACATTCGCCATACTTGAAATGTTTTGAACTTGTAAGATTTCGTAGTTTATAAACATGCCATGTAGTCACAAATTCGAACTAAGTATTAACCAGCATCAAAAAAAGTGCAAATCGTTATAGGATCCCTACATGCTGAACATAATAAAATGAAAATATGACAGAACTAGAAACTAGTTTCAGGAAGGTTTTGAATGTCTAGATTCTCAACTATCCACCTGTGTTCTGTTTTTTCTTGGCACAGTACGTGATGACCGACATCGACGGCCACAAGCCCGCCGTAGACACGCTGAACGAGACCGCCGCCAAGCTGATCCAGTCCAGCGACCCGGCCGAGGCCCGGCAGACCCAGGCCCGGCTGGAGGACGTCAACGCCCGCTATGCCAAGCTGAGCAGCAGCGTGCGCAACCACGGCGAGTACCTGAACAAGCTGATGGGCAAGCTGTCCCAGCTGGAGGATCAGGTGGAGATCTTCGAGGACTGGCTGGTGCCGTTCATCGACCGGCTGACCTCCAAAGACCTCGGTCGCATGGACCTACTGGAGCTGGGTACTCGCTTGCTGGTAAGATTGGCTGGCGAAGACCAGTTGACTAAGGGGTTGAGAACAAAGTTGCTGACAGACCCTCCAGTCTCGAAGGTAGCCAGGGATTTTTTTCTGGAAATCCAGGCATGGGAGGGGGGTCCCCTGGAAAAGCAAAAAAGAAAGAAAAAGGAGACCAAAAAAAGAGGTGCAAAGTCATATTGCTGTTAATTTAATGCGTTCGCAGGGGTGTCAATTGGGGTGGGGTGGGCATGTCCCCCTTTGAAAAAATGATAAATTGAGAATATGCTTGAGAAAGTACAAGAATTTTGGGATATAATGTGCTTTGCCACCCCTCTAGAAAAAATCCTGGCGATGCCCATGCATCCAGGCACCACAAAATCATAATAGGGGGTAGTGGAGGTGTCTGATTATTAAGGGCACTGTTAGGGAAGGGGGTGGCATCCAACTGTTGGGGGCGCTGCTCCAAGCAGATGGTCTAACACACTATCGGTCAATTAGCGGCGTTGCTCGTTTTATGCCATATTTGCCGACAGACGCAGGATTTTGCCGACAGCAATGCCCGTGGCTAAAATGTATTGTTTACTTCACCAGAAGCCCACTTAACTTTGTCTTTTGGATCCCCTTAACCAGTTCACGCAGGGATTATTTTGAGAAGAACGGAACGAGGCGCGGGATTACTTTTCACTCGACCTCACGCCGGGCGGGTTGAAGCCAACACCCTCGGACAGCACACTCATATTTTGGGCCTCGCTCGCTGCGAGTGGGTCACTGACTGATATTTCCGGCCTCACTTCCTGCGTGTTTATCAGTCATCCGTTCGGAATACTGCAAAACGCTTGCGTGTATACTCGGCCTCCGATGCAAACTGGTTAATAAACAGTTTTCTTGTTTCCCAATTTCAGGAGATGCAACGTGACATTGACGACCATCGCAGCCAGTACCAGGACATCAAGGTGCTGGGCAGCGAAGTGACTCGCGACCCCAAGGTCTCCGACAAGACCCGGGTGGTGGACACGCTGGCCAATCTGAACAAGAACTGGGAGTCACTGGAAGGAATCATGCAGAAGAGGTAGGTCTAACTTTTCAAGAAAAATGTGTAGTTTGACAGTTAACATTTTGTTGACCGATTGTGATTTTGGAGCGCCAGGCATTTAGGACAGCCACAGAAGTTATAACGCTATGTCTTGAGCCAAGACATCTCAAATTGGGAGGCTCAGTGGGTAGAACGCCAGCTAAGAGTTCTGAGGTCACAGGTTCAAATTCCGCTCTAGATTATTTTCTCAACGCTAATTATTATTCTTTGATTGACAGGAACCGCCAGCTACAGGAACGTCAGGAGGCGCAGGACAAGTTCCAGGCACAGCACAAGACCACCCTGGACTGGCTGGAGAAGTTTGAGGACAGGGTAGACCGCTTGCCGCCGGTGGCCATCGAACCGGAGGCCCTGCAGCACCAGATGGATGCATACCAGGTTGGTGTCCCTCTCACTACGCTGCATGGCAACCATCTTGGTCTGGTACCCTGACTACACATTTGTCACTACATTGATTACTTTACATGAAGTGAATGTTGAACGACCTTGTGTTTTTTTAATCCAGCCGCTCCAGTCCGAATACGACAACTGCCTGAACCGCATCGACGACGTCAACCACCTCGGCATCACCTTGGAGTCCCTGTCCCAGGACCCAGACCTGCCGGGCATCGGCAAGACCTCTCCCATCAAGCGCTCCAAACTCTTCCTGTCCATGCGCTCGGACACGCGCAGCTACGACTCGCGCAGCCTGAGCTCCTCCCGACGCAGCTCCATCGGCTCTGACCTGGACCAGAGCTCCTTCATGCTGGATGACGGTAAGTCATGAAAGTCCAAATTTGTACATTTACTTAGATATTGTTTGTAACTTTTTTATTGTTCGTTTTTACTGTTCGTGCAATTGTATATGTAACTGTGTTTTATAATGTGTCAATGTTGTTATTGTATGCGAGCATTTTAAATTACCCCAGTGGGATATAATAAAGATTAATTCAATTCAATTCAAATTCATCCGGGAATCAGTTACAGGCAATAAACATCATGCTTAGTGCTTAGCAAACTTTTTCTGCCTCAAATATTGCTTGGTGATGGTCAGGGCATGCCTACCAAAATGCCTAGTTTATACTTCTTCTCTCAAAACTAGAGTTAGTCACTACACATGATGTATCAACAGCCATCTCCAAATTTTTACTCTCCAAAGCCTAAATAAAGTCACAAAACAGATTGTATATTTGTAAATGAACTTAAACAAAACAATTTTCAATGGTTTTGGCAGGCATGAGCGAGGTCCAACGCCAGATGGCGGACGTGAACGAGCGCTACCAGATGGTCGGCGACAAGCTGACGGAGCGCAAGTTTGACCTGGAGGGGGCGCTAGAGAAGGCCCAGACGTACCGTGACGAGGTGGGCGACTTCCTGGCCTGGATGGACAAGGCCGAGGTGCAGCTCAAGACCGAGGTCACCCCGGGACCCACGGCCCAGGAGGCTCGCAAGAAGCTACAAGACCACATGGTAGGTCTGCGGCAGTGTTGTAATAAGGCCGATCCATTTAACACAGCTCCCGTGCTTTTTAAACCAATTGCAGCAGTGATTATTGTCCAATATGCATGCACAAAAGTCTGGCATGCGTCTGAGTGGTATGACGTGCGCAGCTGGAGCGTATAATGTGGCATTAGAGAAGCGCGCATGTTGTTGTTCACTTTTTTGTGGGCGGGGCCTAATGGGTCAGGAGTTCTTCACAAGTTCATCGCATGTCCGGTCACAAGTAACAGCTGATGAACAGTAACAAAGGAATGCTTTTGACACTGTTTGTTTGAGTAGCTTGTGAATAAGCCATTTGCGAGTTAAATTTGAATGAAATCTAGGACGCTGACTTAATCCAATGCTTTGCACGATTTAACTTTGCATTCTCCCGACCAAAGAGACTGTTACTATATCACGTGATTCGGGGCAAGCCTTACGCTAGCAACCCCCAGCTCCGGTATGGTCTGGTGTCTTTGTGCCATTCTCACCCATTGTGAACAATGTGTTGGTGCTGAGCGTCTCTTATGTAACTATGCAAGAGCTTGCCCTGAATCATGTGATTAGCAACAGTGTCTGTGGGCTGAAGAATTCAAAATTAAAATGTGACAAGCATTCTGAGCAAGTCAGTGTACCAGATGTTTTTCAAATATAGGGTATAGGTTACTCACAGATGGCTTATTGCCTTGAGAATGTAGGATTTGTGTGGACTTGCGAGGACTCATGATTGACTTGTGGGGACTCATGATATATGCATGAGGAGTTGTGATGAACTTGTGGGGACTTGTGAAGGACTTGTGATGGACTTGTGGAGACTCGTGAGGACTTCTTATGGACTCGACTACAACCCTAGTCCAGGGAATTTGATTTTTCCATGTCATGGCATGGTCTCAATGGGTGGCAAGGAGATGGGACGCACTGTGTGTATGGAAAAGTTTGTGCACTTGTGACGCAAAGTACATGCGATATAATTTTTAATGTGCGCAGAACTTTATTTGCATGAGTCCCAGGCGTATGGGCGCAATAGCAATCAATAGCTGCCAAAAAAATTCAATAAATGATTGCATTCTTACATTTCCTGAACTAATATTTTTGAAAAGACTGCTAATTGACCTATCACGGTAGTATTGCGTCAACGCAGCTTGTGAAATATTGTCCAAGAAATACAAATGGACGCGGAACGCGCAAAATCTGAGACAAACAAAACTTAGTGTACAAAAACTCCATAGGGTTGTCCAAGGGGCGTGGCTAACTCGCAAACGGCGACAGGTCAATTCAACAGAAACTGATTTTAAAAAAGAAGCAACTTTCTCAAGAATGCAAACATTGTTTTCACTAACAGGTCTTTGCCAGCGACATCGACGACCATTCTGCCAACGTCTCTACCATCCGAGGCCTTGCCGAGAACCTGACCGTGAACAAGACCCATCAACCAGGAGCTGACAACATCCTCAAGCAGATGTCTTCACTCGGTAAGTCCTGGAATTTTTTGTTTCCTTGTTTAATCATAAACACCGAAGGAGTTACAACTCAGCACTTCAAAGTGCGAGGGGATCGTCACCACCGTCTTAAGAAAACAATGGTGCAGCATTTGAGTCCCATGTGAACGTGGAACATGAATATGTCATCAAATCCAACAGAAATGAGGTGGAAATATTGAGTTTTTAATTTGCCTTACAGGTCCTGTGATATTAAATTCATATGTAATATTTTAGTCATCACATGATCCTGAAATATTTTGTGATGTGAATGTCTAATTCTCAACAAATCTATGTGAAGTTGGAGTGCATTAAAAACAAACCTCAATTTGTAGGATATGATCACACATTTGGTTTATTTTATATCTTCAAATATAAGTATCGTGCAAACCGATGATACAAAGAATGGTGAACATTGGAATGGCTGTGCAACTTGAGAGACATTTTATGTGAGATATTCTCTGAGGCTTATCTTCACCTCCTGAGATCGAAATTGGATTCTTATTGGATTCATAAAAAGCTGCGACTGAGTTACAGGTTTTGGAACAAAAGGAACAAGGCATTATTGTGAATACTTTTGGTTTCCATATTAACAGATACGTTTGAAGATGGTTCAGTGTTAGAAAAGCTTGCGTAGTCAGAAGGGAATACGAAATGGTGAAAATTCTGGAGAAAATATTATATACTTTTTAAAGATAGCATGAAATGCTGCAAAAATTTGCCATTTTTTAAAAAATGTTTTCGACCTTTTTGTGTATCCGATTGAATTGTAAAATCCAAAAAGTCTGCCAAAACTTGGTATAACATTAAACAGATTTTTTTTAGCCTCAAAATTGTGCCAAATCGGAAATTTTGATTGTTCTCTTGAATGCCCTGTTCTTTTTAAACAACAACCCTTTGAATTTCAACCAGCAAAAGTTAAAAATGATTATTCTTCAGTAATTGTTGCATGGAATGATGAAATAAAGGAATGACTGTGTTTACAAACACCCCCTTTTTCCACCTAACCCCGCCCATCCATCCCTCCATTGTGTTTTTGCTTTTCCTGTATGCCGGGTTGTTGTTTTATTTTCCCGTGTGTTTGTGTCTTATTTTTATATTTTGCATCATGTTTCTTTTTCAGCATTCAGTTTACAGTTTCATATTGTGTGTGCTTCCTAAGGCCAAAAAAAAAAAGTCTCCGGTTTCTGGTACGGAGCTTGCCCGAAAAGTGGTGTGGCGACGCTGTTTTTTGTTTTGTTTTGTTTTATTTACCGTTTTTTTTTCCCTTCAAATGTCGGCTGATCACTGCAAATGGTGCCCGACTAAACTTAGTGCAAATATATGGGAGTCCAGAGAGGCCACATAAAGCTTATTCTCGATCGTAACCCCATCTAAAAACACGTTAAACTTGTGCAGCAGCAGGATTCCAGTCAAACCAGTGAGTTTGGCGGTTTTGAGACATCATCTTTCATTGAAAAAAAAAACTTTTTCATTTTGCCGATGCGCATGGCTACGGCGACGTGCACATACCAGAAACCGAAGACTTTTTGGGGGGGCCTAAAGGTTGTTTTCAAATTTTGCTGTCATTTTTCTTTCTTACTTTAGCAGTTTGAGTTTGATAGATTATTTTAATTGGGAACAAATTTTGACCAACTCATTAACATTTGACAAACTGGTTCATTATGTTTACCGTCTGTCTGAATCATATGCAATGAGCACAAAAGCACCTGTGCACATAGTGTTTAACACAAGGGGATCAATAAAGCTATAGAGATATGATTCAAACCCAATCAATTAAAACCAATTTGCATACAGCCCTCGCCAGCTGCTGGTTCCTGTTTGGCACGTTTACATAACATCATGGTTGTGTCGTCAGGTACCAGACATGCATTAGCCTTGTACAGCTTGATAAGATTGGAACATCCAGGTTACGTAATTTGCATAAAATTAAAGGGTTCTGTCAATTTTTTTTTGAATTACTTGTGCTTCATTTTATGGGTAAAGAATTCTTCGGAGCATTTGAATTTTATATTTTGGTTCTGTGTTTCATGTTGGTTGTACCGGGTTCGAATCCTGCCAGGAGCGAGCTTGTGAAGTTGACAATCTCTTTCCCCGACTGAAGGTTTATTCTGCATTCATATGGCATCCATATTGGTCTTGTGTCTGCCGCCTCCCTCTGTGCGTTTCACGGGTCGTTGGCTTTTCGTGAAACAGTTCATTGATCAATTTCTCCTCCACCGATTGAGGAATAATCTAACATCTGTCACTTGGCATTTTGTCCTGTCTCCTTCACTGTATCATAACATAGACTCAAGCAGTTGGCATTGGTGGCTCAGTATTAAAAATAATTGAAAAGATAATCAGGTGGATATTTTTAAACTACATTTCTTGTGTGCACTTCTTGTTTTTTTGCTTCATATCTTCAAGAGAAAAACAAACTGATCTTGTTTTTTTTTTTCAAATTAGAGTAATATACATGTACTGATTGAAAGCTTAAACTGCTCTAACACCCCCACTAGAAATTGTTTTCAGTTTTTAGAAACATTTACAGAATTTTGTTTTAGGGTGGGGGAAAAACTCAGAAAGTTTCGTTAAAAAAATGAAGGTCCAATTCCACTGTCATTTTCTCCGATCTATGCAATACAGTTGCACACCTATCATTAAAAATGGATAGGCCAGGAATGCCCTGATGTAGGCCTAACCCCCACCACCAATTCATATTCAAATTTACCCAATCAATATTGATTTGCCATGCAACCAGGCCTGCGGTTTCCCCCAGCACTCCCTGTCCATTCATATGTAAATATAGATAATGATATGCACCGCATAGCAAATGAGGTTGATATTTTAACCTCACGGTGTGGGTGGACCACTACCATTAGTAAATAAAGAAGGGTGAAATCCTGTGTGGCTACACAGCATCCAATATCAATCTATAATATACAGACACACATGACACTGAAAGCATTTTACCAAGTGACACGTAAATGTTTCACGTAGTGTAGATTTTTGGTGATAGTATCGTGTCTGTATGACATCTGTAGCCTACAATCGAATTGTCATCTGTAAAGAGACTCAGGATTTATCGTGTACGGCATCTAGTGAATCAACATTCGCCGATTGCCACGTGCTGAACATGGCGTACGGACGTCCACGGCGATATGTAAATTACGTCTGATGGCAGCACACACCTCGCACCGTGATCAGCTGTTTTATAACTGCTCCGTTATTCCTCCTGTTGCCGTGCCACCCCATGTTGCCATTTAACGCCGACTGATTCTCCGACTCGACACCTCTGGTGGGTTATAATGGGATATGTTGTTACGTTCACGGCCCATTTCACCCAGTCTGTTCGGGGATTTCAATCGTTGACACTGGTGCAGTTGTATGTTTTCACACGGTGCTCACACTTGTGGTAGTGTGCATGTTTTCATTCTGTGTTGTGCTTTTCTCAGTGTTCTCCATATCGCAGGTCCCAAGTGAGGATTTTTTTCCCACTTGTCCCATGTTGCCTGCTGGTCAATTCTTGCCATGTTCGTGTACTGAATTTGTCAACTGAATTATTTCCATATGATCTGGCGAAATTGATAAATTAGGTGTCTAATTTGAAATTGTACAAATGATGCAAATTCCAAAAAAGAAGAAGAAGAGTTAGAGGAAATGTGCCGTTTCCCTCTTTTTGTTTTTAAATTTTAGCTAAAATCAAAGCAAAAGGTGCAGTTAAATGTGTTATATATCGCCTATTGTAAAAACTGTTATAAATTTGATGTCCTCCGATTGTGTGTAAAATTCATAGAGATGATATTTATATGACCTGTATATCTGGCATTATGCCAAATGACTCGCCATGGTCATGTATGAAGCTCATGTTTAATTCATGAAACAAATGGGGTGGGGTGAATGGTAAAAACAATGCCATTTGTAATGATGGGACTTTTGTATGTATTTTGTACTTCTACTGCTCATTGCTGAACAATTGCGTGTTTTTTTTATCAGGCTTGCATATTTTTATATTTTTCTGAGAAGGTCAGTTTGTTCATCAAAACTCATCAATCATTTGTTTGAATTGGCTTGAGCTCAAAAGGGCAAATTAACTAGCAAGGTTGTTTCCATGGCAACCGTTGAAGATAATGGTGGTGCCAGTCAGACTATACTCTGACAATGATGCAGCTCCAACAGGCTGTGTTAAGCTCCAGCTAATTGTCGAAATACTGACTTGGAAATGGCCAAAAAAAGTACAGTGCCCCCAAGCTTAGGGACAATGCACTATTGTCGATTTGGAGTCATGCATGTATTCATATCTATATTAGCTTCTTCATAGAAAGATAAAACATGTTCCGACACTACCATCCGTCACCAATTAAAAAGTAACCTTGGTTTTTATGGTGTTCACGTTGGCAGTGAGGTTTACTGCGTGCACACTTAAACCAGGGTTTTTGTTTTTTTTTTCAAAAGTGTCATTGTTTATATTCATGGTGTTTATATTTTAGTTTTTAATAATTTTTTAATGTTGCAATCCAGCTAGGTCTTGTATATTCAGGACAGATTATTCTAGGACAGATATACTCCATCCAAAAACCAGCTTGTTTTTTTTTAAGTGATCAGGATATTTTTTTTTTAAATGATACATTTTTGGGGATCCAGGCAAAATATATAATACGAATCTGCTCCTTAATTGTACCTGTTTGTTGGATTTTAATAGTAACATGCATGCCATGATTTTGGTAGATGCCATTCCATATTTGCAAAACAAATGAGAAAAAAAATGGAAAACTGAAATATAACTCAGCATATTCGATATCCATTTAGTTTTAAGCCGAAATATCAGGAAAAAGATATTGCGATATACGATATTATCGTGATGACATCATTTTTGTTTCTTTATGGAAGCATGGCTGACTAAAAAATACAATTTGCCCGAATTTTTCAAGTACTTTTTGAGAGAAAAAAATCACAATATCAAATGACTCAGAAGTTGTTACAGCCAGATTTTTTTTCCCTCTTCGTGCTGA